CTCGTTCCAGAAGTCCGCTCTATCCTATACAAAGTTCTTTGGCTACTGCTTTGAAGGTGTACACCTCAGCAAAAGCCGAATCTTTTTTTATTAAGATGAAACGTTTTTTTAAAATTGCCATTCAATTCACAGCCATTGTAGCGCCAGAAAATGTACGCTCATTGGAACTGCTTTATGCCAACCGCATTGATAGAGGACCTGCAGAGAGCGTCATTTATGCTGTTATCTTGATGTGTGACTTTCAGGCTCTTGCTGTTGCTGCTGCGAAATAAGATAAAAAAAAGTTGACAGGTGCCGAGGTTGCTGAAAATTCTTAAAATGTCACCAATTTTGAAATGCCACCCGAGACGAACACAGAAGGCCAGCCCATCGCGATTACATGTTCCCATCATCACCTCTGGTAAATATAAAAGCAGCGCTTCAAAGGCGCAAAATAATTATCGGGGGTTTTTTTTTTTAAGGCGATGACAATGACACTCACGTATTCTGTGATTGTTATAGATGCACCTCTTTTAAGGGTGATGGGACTCGTGCCAATTTTAACGGCAGAGAAAGCCGTGACAAGTCCAGCTCGTGGCGTGCGGCGAGTTCGCGGAGGAGCGTTGGGGCCGAGTGTAGGGGTCACATCGGGGACAGGAGACCACGCCGATAGAAATAAGGAGAGGGGGGGGGCAAGAAAGGTAGGACACGGGGATTGTGGGGGAAACCCCAGTGGTAGGGAAAAAAGAATAGGGTAGAGAACAAAGGGGGAGACAACGGAGCAGAGGAGGTCCGAGAGAAGATGTCTCACCGTAAGGATCCGTGTGCGTGCCCAACCTTTAATTGGCGTTGGCGTTGCTTAGAACAATAAAGTTCCCTTACCAGGACCAGTCGTGTGGACTTCCTTTCGCTGAAACTATCAACAGGGTAACCGCAAGACGCAGCGGCTAGCTCTTTAACCTACCCAATGAAGCACATTAACACTCTTCAAAAACCTAAGAATATAAAGGTACCACTGCAGCGTTTAGCACAACACAATGTTGTCCTTATATAAAATATCTGCTTCCCAATCTTGATTTGAAGCTTTCGTGACTGCAGGAATCCATACTCTTTGGTTCTTTCGGTAAAGTCACGTAGATAGAAAATAAAATAAATCACGACATTTCGGGCGCAACACAAGCATCCGTCATCTGCTTCCCACTTCCTCCTGCCATTGGTTGTCGCATGAAGAGAATGCAGTGCTTTTAATGAAAGCAATTCTTGGGCTAAGTTGAATCCCACCAGGAACTGCTGAAACGGTCAGCCCTGCCACGGTCCTTACCCACAGGTGGACTGCGAACGAACGAGTCCCATTGTCCTCTCAACACAATGGCAGCATCTCAGGCATCAGAGGTCTGTTACTTCAGGGAGCCCTTGCGTGTTCAGCACGTCGACTGCTGTCATCCTGCGCCGGTTGACCAATCAGGTGGGCGCTCCAGGTCCATTGTCCGGTATCTATTGTTGTAACGGCTGGAGGCCCATGGAGTGTCGTGTTTGACGATGTTGCCATCAGTGCACCATCAGATGGAGGTCCACTCATGCGGACTCCTGGAGTAGGAATGGATGCTATGTCCAGTCAACTGGGATTCAAGCATCAACTGCAGTGGACACATGTGTAGCCTGGTGACCTATCTGTAGCATGTCCCCAGTGGAACGCTGTCGACCCAGCAGAAATAGCACATCCGTGACCTTGACCTGTGACTTCCGAGAGAGATAGGAGATCTGCAATCCATGGCCTTTGTGACGGGTGAGGTACAATCTCCCAACAATTGATTGAATGTCCGCCTCGAGGTGGATATGAATCTGCTGGCGATAAGATTGCATTTATATGTTGAAGAGTTGAATGCTTTCGTATAATGGGGTTTTGTCGTGTTTCCTTAGATTACCTGATTGGTTTGTTGTCCACATGAGGATAAACATGCACACATGACCTTCTCTGGCTCAATTAAAGTATGTTTTAATTACACATTCCACCTATTCAAGGCTGAATGGAAGCTCGGTATACCGATAATGCTCGTCTTGAATGGAAAGTGAGGGAATGTTGATGCTCTTGATGGATGGGAACGAGCAGATAGGTCCACTGATGTCATCCATTACTGGGGTTGTAAGGCCTTCATCAGATAGCTAAGGGACTCCATCGCAATAAGATCATTACACAAGTAAACCAATCCAATTTAATTTCTGTAAGTAATTTCCAGAAAGTGCTAGAATTTAGTCACCCTTAAGCAGTGTCCAAACTGTCCTCCAAAGTGATGGGGAGAACACCTTGTCAATTTAAGGACCATGAGGTACAAGGCAGCACTAAGCGTTAGTGGATATACTTTGGTGAGAATTCCGACAAAAGTGAAAACTGTAAATAGTTATCGCATTGTCCTGCTGCTGTCCAAAAGGGCCACAATTTTCCAGTTGATTAGTTTGTGTGCATTAATATAATCTATGGTTACATCACGTGACATGCAAAGTATTATGAAAGGACTAATGTTACGTCGCAATCATGCCGTTCGCCGTCTATAAAACACTCGTCCTCTGCAGTATTTTTCTTCACTCGGCCTCTGGTAATTGAGGATATGTTTGGAGTAATACTGCTGTTGAAACGGCTTATACTGAGAATGAATATTATATTTGAATGATACTGTATTTGGATTTCTAATCGACACCCTAGACCAAGTGCAGCTTTGCTGGCAAGTACTTTGACAAACCCTGTAACTCCTACATATAAATGGGTGACAGATAGGAGGGGTTCTGTAATGGAGATCCCATAGACCTCATTAGTTAGTAATAATATTTTATTCCAAGAATCACATCAGTTCTCAGCCGGGTGTGAGGGTTGGTCCATTTCGACCGTCACACAAGGGATCATGCGAATTGGCCAGCATTACTTTTCATACACTTAAAGATTGCTAATGCTCCCATGTAACTTTTTTATTTTGTAATAAATATATATCATTCAGCCATTTTCTTGGTTCTTTCGGTAAAGTCACGTAGAATGGAAATAATAAAAGAAAATATTATTGTTTTAAAATAATAAAAAAAACATAATAAAATAAAATTGTATTGTTTTATTTTTATTATTTTATTATTTCCATTCTACGTGACTTTACCGAAAGAACCAATAAAAATAAAACATAATAAAATTGTATTGTTTTCTTTTTATTATTTTATTATTTCCATTCTACGTGACTTTACCGAAAGAACCAAGAAGATGAATCCCTGCAGTCACGAAAGCTTTAAATCGAAATTCATTCAGCCATTGTCAGCCCACTTCTGAATGAAGGCCTTCCACACGGCAGTCAATAAGGGCTGCATGACCATACTTGACCACTAACCACTGCAGGTTGGTGAAGAGGGGGGGGGGGGTACTCGCCTCTGATTTTGGCTTTTGCTGGTGGCCAGGTTGTCAGCACAATGCCAAACAGCTGCACCACCCCTTACAATGAGCATTATACAGATAATCACTGCCCTCTTGTGGCTGTGACTCAAGCGTACATCAATTTTCCAATGTTTCACCAGCTGTCTCGGCGATAGGCATGCATCCTGCAATGGAATTATGTATAACCGAGCTCATCAGAATGTACAAGCCAGCCTCACATACGACACTTCTAACCCATCTGACCGTATGATTGCGATGCCAATTCATCGTTGCTTTTCCATCAGCAGTCGCATGCAAGGCTGACGATGACGATGGACGATCATCTTCCTCTGACGGTTTTCTTTGATCGTGGCGATCGCTTCCCGTGGAGTTTTATAGTCATCCACCTTTTTTTTAAAGTCGTCAAATCACACCCCGTGTGGATGACCTCTCCTTCCTGCTCCTTCCACACAGCAGGACGAGGTCACTGACGGTCATTCTTTGTTCTCCATTCTGTTGACGCACCCAAACCAGATACGCCTACATCTCTATCTTCTTCTTCTTTAGTGCTGCCTAACGGCGTGTGCGACTTCACGATGATATTGGTCCCGGTCTAGCACGGCGTGTAGAGTTTGTGCTGTTGTTAATTGTAGCCATGTTTTGATGTTACTGAGCCATGTCGTTTTTGGCCGTCCTGGTCGTTTTTTCCCTTCTATTTTTCCTTCCAGGATTTGCTTTAATAGCTGGTATTTGTGGTCGTTTCGGGCAATGTGGCCTAGGTAGTAACACTTCCTGCTAATGATGGTCTTCAGCAGTTGCCTGTCAGTGCCCATATCTTGCATAACTTGTGTATTGGTGGTTTTGGCTGTCCATGGGATTTTCAGCATCCTTCGATACAGCCACATTTCGAAAGCTTCGAGCCTTTTTGTTGCTGTTGTTGTCAGTGTCCACGTCTCTACTCCGTACAGCAAAATTGACCAGATGTAGCATTTCAGTGTGTGCAGTTTCATCTCTATATTTTGCGTTAAATACTCCTGCTGGTTTAGTTTCTCTGCGCAGTAACTCATTTCTAACCTCTTTTTTTACATATCCCTCATTAAATACCGAATTAACTTTTGTGTAATTAGCCATTGTGGCATATGTTAATACAGTATCTATTTTACAATTTTGTTTTGTATATCTATGGCTACGATTCAATGTTAAGCTTCTTCTTTAAAATCAAATAAGCTGCATTGAGGTTAGCTCACTATCCGATCCCATGCATTTTCTGTTCACTCTAAACGCAGTACTGCTGAATGTTAGCGATCCATATATACCTTTTAACTGAGGTGTAATGATGTTCAACTGTCCAGAACATAAAACACCGACGACTAAACGTGTGTATGTTGAACTTTTTTCGCACCGTACGTAGCCAACCATGCTCATCGGAGGTGTGGGGGAAGGACAACAAACTAAACACAAAATTCAGTTCTAAATAGCTTTTCAAGCTATGTGATTGAAAAGTTTATAGCTACAATGGCTTCCTAATATCGGAAGGAGAGAGCATTCCAGACGTCCGCAGAAGCACAAAAACAGCACTTTGTTCAGTTGAAAGCTTTCCCATAATGACAAAAAGTATTGCACGTTCACAACATACATTAACTACCAGTTTTATTGGAGTGACTTTAACAAAAAAAAAGCCTAATTTTAAACAGGTGTGTGAGCTTGCAGTAAGAACACTTATGAGCGAACAAATGGGAAACCCCATAGGGTTCAATGGCAAAATGGACCCCACTTAAGATTCCTGACGCCACGCAATGTGCAACAAATAAATAACCCCCGACCGCCACTGTGTCGTCACGGCCCAGTGTCGCACCGAGGGCCACCAAGACCCCAGCACCGGGCTACACCTCACCGTCACGGTGTGCCGTGTCCGGTCAGAGTGAGCGTCATTTACATTCACACGAGTCAAAACATACGACCTTGTATACAACAGCGACACGCACGCGTGGCTTATCCTACAACAGTGCAACAATAACAAGAGAGTATGAATAACAATATCAAATGCAACTTTAACTGCGTACGTCAACTTCGCAATGTATTAACATTGCGATTAGCAGATAATAGCAGGTAAAGCGTTGTGAATGCGAACTGTTGAATTTTAAACATCGGGAGAGCATTAGTGTTAACCGAGGTGGGTGAATGAGAATGTAGCAATTGTGATAATCAAATGGTTGGTGCTGAATTACCAAAGCTAACTTCAACACGGAGAGACTGCTGCATCACTTGACCTGTAGCAACACATCAATGTCAGTTTGTGTGACAGAAAAAGACTAAGATTGCAACTGCACATTCAACCTCTGTGCAATTAACCATTCACTCTCAGGGTATTTTGTATGTGCTGTATTTTATGTTATGGTAAATGCACATAAATCAGTGATGGTACTTTGTGATTTTTTTTTAAGAAAAGTTATTTTTTTCTTTTCAGTTATGTAAACCGGTGGGTAACAGTGTATCAAAATGATAAGTTACATCATTTTAAGAAAAAAAGATAAGGTTGTAAAATTGACCTTCCTCACAGCTAAAATCGACGTACATTATAAAGTATTGCATACAGCATTGCAGCATTTTGATAAGTTAATGCGCAGGAAGCAGGGAATGCACATTTTTACTTTTTTAGTTCAGTCCTTGATCCTTATTAACGCACACGGCTCATTAAAAGCCCTGTTAAAATACACACACGTGAAGCCTACACATGCATACTTGTGGGACAACTTGCCAACTGTGTTTAGTATGTACACTCCACCTCGCACTCGCGCGCACACACACACAGTTTATATTTATTAACAACATAAAGTGAACATATAGTTTGTGTAAATATATATACAACGGTGTCATTATATAGTGTATATATGGATACACACGCTTTCTTGCATGGACAACGCCGCCTCTAGGTAACCTTGGCCGTGTTCGTTGTCAACAGAACATGACGATCCTTACACATTTGAGAATCTGACGAACAGTATCTTTACGGCAGATCCTCCCAGTGCAGAATGTTTCCTTTTGAGCTCTTCCAGTTACCACTCACACGTGTTGATCGTGCACGGAGTGAATGCGGAAAGTGTTCAGGTGTTTCCACGAAGGATACATTTGTTCGGCGCGCAGGTGGAGTGGAGGAGTGAGATGTGACCTATGAACTGCGTACGGACATTCCTCCAGGCAAGGCAAATAAATCCACCGAATTCTTAAGTGCTGTCAAGGGTAAGTCAGACTCAGAACCATGTGGTTTGAAGCAATGCTGGGATCGATGGGTCACAGACCCGACAAGAGTTACGTCCTGGAGAAATATCTGATGAGCATAACTGCGTTAAACACAAGTCAATGATGCCAGTGTAAATGATCAACAAATAGGAGTCATCAGAAGCTGGTGTCAGAATTTATGTGCTCATATGATGGCTTGGGGTCTTGAGATGTAATGGTTTCCTTCTGATTCTTAAACAGAGGTGTTGGGTTTCAGTGAATTTTTAAATAATACTTTTTGAAAAGTTCATACAAATTTAGTGAGAGAAAAATCAACAAGAAAATGGCAGTGGGTGAAATATGCATAACTCAGTTTATAAAATCTAAACATGAAACACGTAACAAAAACATTACATACACCCTTTTGAAGTTTCGATGATGATGATGATGAAAGTGACCTGCCTTAAAAACCTAACATCAGCCTGTAGTTGGCTGGAACAAAAAAAAAATCTCCCAAAGAATGTACAAATTCCCACTCTATTAAAAAGTGAGAGAGCGCACTCCACAACACTTAGTCCACCCTGTGCCACCTGGGGCTATCAAAGCTGCAACCGGCGCTGATGACCGCAAAGCAGTCGCGGATGCGGTGTTATGGCTTTTTCAGACAACCAAGTGGGAATGATGCGTTAAGACAGCCAAAAGCTTGGGGAGGGCGCCTTTTTTTCTCGAACGTTCAGCTCCGACGAATTCCGAGCACGAAGCGTACATTGCAGCGATGAGATGTTCACTTCGCAGGATCACGCCGTCGTTGAGCGACGTCTGCAGCAATTCAGGAATTTGGGGTGCCGCATTTAATATGGCAGCAGGCGTCACTGGTGGACGGCAAGAGGCAGGAGGTTCACCTCGGCGAAAAAAACGCCGGTGTGCCGAATGCGGGGGCATGCCCCCATGCCTGTTTCCATTTTGCTGACCCCTGTGACATTGTTCGGAGGAGCAGGCCCATCGTCGCGTGCCGGTATTACCGTGGAAAAGCTTCTTTAGCACGAGTGCCCAGTTGAAAGGAAGCATGGGCCTACTTACAAAACGAGCTGCTCACAGCTCAGTGAAGCTACCCTGCACGATAACAAAAAAGATGACCGCAAAAATCAAGACAGGAGGAAATTTAAGAATTTGTTAAATAAACAAGAGAGGAAGGAGACGGGAAGACGTACTGTAGTGCAGGAGGGCTGGCACTGTTAGGCCGTTGGGCCAGCAGCCTACGAGCTACACTCCCCCTCCTTCTTTCCTCAAGCGCTGCGGCGAGGCCCGCACTCGACATTCAGCCGGCAAAGAACCACCCTCAATGCAGCGGCCGGGAGCGGAGGGGGCCAGCGGCGCTCACGTCCAGTTGAAGGTGTAGCCACGTGACAGCATGATGGCCTCGATGTCACGGTCCTCCTCGCGCTCGCGCAGTCGTTGCTCCTCCAGCAGCGCCACGAGCGAGTCGCGCTGCTCCACCACGTCCAGCATCTCGCTCAGGATCCGCTTCTCCTCCGACAGCTCCGCCTCGCTCTTCTGCGCGTCTGCTCGCGAGTCCGCGCCGGAGTCAGGGAGCGAAAAGCGGAAGCGTCAGGGATGCGGTCGCCCGCGACGCACGCGCATGGCCCTGTTGCCAATCCACCGCGGGAAGAGGGTCCCCGCCCGCGACGTGCGGCCGTAGCGGATTGTTTGACTGAACCTCGCCACCGTCGGTCCACGAGGATTTGTGGAGGCGAGGAGTACAGACGTGGAAGCGGTGTACAGCACAATAATAATAATAGATTTTTATGCACTGCCCTCTGCTGCCCACGACATAGCTCCATAGCAGCCTGAGGCAAGGGTTGGTGGATCTATGCTGATCTTTGAGTGTTAACCAGCCGTATGTGTGGCTTTTCTCTGAGTAATCTGGTTTCCCCACATAAAACAAGACACCCATTTAAAATATAAACCCGCCAAACAATTCAATGCAGGACCCTTCTAAAAACGCCCGATACTCAGTGAATCTGCAAGACATTGTACAAGTTATCAAATTGGGGTCCCGACCCTTTGGACCGCAAGCATCATTCGGGGTCTGCAAATCCACATTCATAAATACAGAAACCGTGCTCAGCAAAGGGCTTCTCTGAAATTTTGATCGCGGCTGTAAAAATGTCTTCAGACAAAAACAATATTCAAAACCATGGAGCCACTGTGGACTGGCCAGGACTACTCAAATTGCTAATTTTTAAGGTAATCTCCAAATAATTTACTTAGACATTTGTAGCCCCAGTCCTGAACTATGAAGGTTCCCATTCGGTTTGTGGAGGGTCTGAAGGATGGAGAAGGGGGGACTTGTGTGTGGAGGGATGTAGTGGGGACCAGTGGTGTCAGTACCGTCGACAGCCATCCGTTCACGCAGGTCCTGCTGCAAGCGACTCTGTCGATCCTCAAGCTCCAGCTCTCTGGCACTGTAATGCAACCATGCGTGCACACAGAATCAGAGAATCAGAACATGTATTTAGACTGGAGGGGTCCGATAAGCTATACAGCTCTTTTTCAGATGTCCAGTAAAACACACAAAACACCACACACACAAACACCACTCCCTTCAACATAGTTTGATCGGAGAACACCAACCTACTGTGACGTGAGAAAGCTGTAGAGGTAGTACCACACTCAATGCCTTTGTCCTCCAAGGATATTTTTACTCTGATACTACATGCCAGTTGATTAATTATATATATATTAGATGGCTCTTCAGAAATTAACTGGTGGATGGAAGCCTGCCCACACCATGTAGGTCTTGGAAGTTCTGTTACCATATTTCACTGTGCTGATCAGTGCTGTTGAGTGCAGGGGGGGGGGGGGGGAGATTACTGGGAAAGGTTTAGATATCAGTCGCCACTTATCTTCTTGTGAGCGACTGGAAATGTATAGCATAGTGTGCCAACTACTGTGCCACCGCTCCACCAGATGAACACATTAACCAGTTACAATAATTAAGATCCAAGCAATGAGCTGACAACTGACAGTGAATTTAACATCCAAGAAAATCAAAGTTATGCCACGGACCAGAAACATGTATGGGTACAGATATATACGTGGCCACTCACAAGATCATGAGCTCGGACTCGTAGCGAACCATGGTGTTCTTCTCCTGCACCAGCTTGAACCACTCCTGCATGAGGCGCGGGTCGTCTTTCTTCCCGAGTCCTGCGACACACGGCAGAGTGCAGCACGCGTTCAGCAGCCGGGCAGCCGTGGCCACAGCGCGCCAAACCGGACCACGCCTCACCGCCGGGAGAGCCACCCTGCCGCCTCCATCCCCTCTCACTGTGCTTGGTCATCACTTTTCTCCTCGCCGCAGTGAAAATGGGAATTAAACATTACCCCCCCCCCACGACCCCCCCACCAATACATCTGAACAAGTGGAATGGTTATTTAAATGTCAAATTTCCAGGGATGGCATTCTCTATTGAAATGTCCTGTACCAATTTGCTTTGGGGTAACGTAACTCAAAGTGGAGCGGAATGTGAGCAAAGTGTAAATGTTCTCAACAGGTATGACTCCAAGTGCTACCATTTGTCAAATGATTAAAACTACTATTATTGGAATCACACCTCTGAGTGTTGGAACAAAACACACATTTCCTCACAGTTCACATTCATCCCAATGTTATGAGTCACTCCCTTTCCTTCCCTTACCCTTAGGGGCCTGATGGTCCAATCCCGTGATCTGTCACCATTCCTGGTGGTGCAGAGACTGGATGGTGCTCATGCTCTATAGCTGCGCAAGGTGAGAGTCAACCCAGCATTAAATCCCTGGCGGTGAAGGAAGTCCGGTTTGAACATCGCATGAAGATTTTAAAACGCACGCTCCTGGCATGCAGGCAAACATGCATGAATGAAATGCACAGCTCATGCAACCTGTACCTTGGATTAAACATCGCATCACTACTCATCCTGGTGGCACATTGAATGCAAATGACATCACAGTGGAACCCACTTGGCAATCACCACAGTCCAGGACACGATGTGGTGTAAAAACAATCAAAGCACACGCAACTTGGATGTGGTGGGCAATGATGCTCATCTGGATCGCAAAGTGTGGTTTTCAGCACCCAAATTGTATCATCTTATTTTATGAATCATTAAACACGACAGTGTTGTTTTCAACATTATTTATCGCTTAAATTTTTCTTTCACAACTTTAAAACTTGGCGGGGGGGGGGGGGGCAGCGAGGGGGAGTGTATTTAGACTGAAATTGTCTGCCGCCAGCTGAGTCGCCCGTGAAAGAAAGCTTCTTAGAGCTCAAATGAGCTTGACTCAGTGGGAAATGTGCTCCTGATTCTGCCGCTTCAATTGTTCGAGCAGAGAAAGAGAGCAGTGCCCCCCACCCCGGATGCAACCACCCCTCCAAGCTGTGTGCGTTCTCGGCAACAGTGGCCATCATGTCGTGTGCAAGCGGGCTCCACTGCGCGAAACGCATGCCGACCGACGTGACAAGCAGTGATGTGTTCTGTACAGGAAATGAATGAGAGTCACATGTTGCAGGTAATTTATAATGCCTGCTGCGGAAGGGTTTTAGAACGATTGTTAAGAAGTGATTGGTAAATGATTGCATTAAATCATCCAGAAACATGGGTTACGCCACCACTTGAAATGATCTGCATTGTTTGCTTGTTCATAAATGCAGGACCTTTTTTGTTACCAAAGTGTGGTGTGTATAAAAAATTAAAAATACTTTAAATAGGTTATTACAACTTGATATTGCTATAGCTTGTGATGCATTTAAGTATTTTTTACTTCAAATTGCTGGTGCGATGTTTGTTATCAAAAGTAAGATAAGTTATTTTATAAAACAAGCAAACACGCAAATAAGACACATTGTTACCCCCCCCCCCCCCCCCCCCCCGGAACATTTCACATGACCTTGTGATGATACAATGAAAAATTACGGATAACGGCAACTGCCCAAATATAGACATTGCTGGAGTGGACAGAGATGTAACAATTACCGTATTCTCCGGGACTATGACGTGACGTCTTCCTATATTTTACAATAAAGGTTTGGGGTGCACCTTTATAATCCAGTCGATGTGTGTGCACATGTGACCAGATTTATTTAACATGAACACCCACTGCAAAGATTGGGGGTGCGTCTTACTTTCTGGAGTGTCGATATAATCCGGGGAATATGGAAATATGAATCGCAATTTGATCATTTATGACTCGGGGAGTAACAGGTCCTCTGTTACAAAACAGCTGTAAGTGAAGGATTTTTTAAAAATGAGAAGACTCTTTAACCCGAGTCTAACCCTTATCTATAGATGTGATGGTTCTAGTGCGATTTACATGGGACTAGAAACCTACGCTCAAACGGGAACAAGAAAGGCTCAAAGGCTCCACAGAAGCAGTCGCGCCGACTGCATTAGCAATGACCACGTGCGCCATTCGCATGAAATGTTTACACAATGCAACGGGAGCTGCTGAGAGCAGAGGTCTTCAGAACCGGCGACTGATGAAGGCTCAACAAGCACATTAACATGGTACAAGCGTATTTAACGTTCGCAATCAGATTCGCATGAAAAAGGGAAATGTGTGGAAGGCACCACTTTGGTACTGCTTAACATTTTGCATTTATATTGCAAAAATGTGGCAGCACAAAGATTTGGATGCAGAGATGTAGCAGAAGCAATTATGGACTGTGTTAATAGCTTTTCATGATCGCATTATTGTAATGATGTTTATAGTAAACAGGAATGACTTCCACGGACTTCCATCCGAGACGAGACTCAGCATAAGGCAATTCTTAAGTGAGATAGACAGAAGCACGTTTTAAATAGCAGACACACACAGTACTCGAGAAAATGATGCAAAAACAAGACAGTCGTATTAAAATACACTCCAACGGAAAATACACATGCTGTTAAATGATGAAAAATATGTTGTTTTTTTAAACGTTCCATGGGCACAAAACACATGGGTGGCAGACAAGTCTTCAGATGGGGGTTTAGAGACAACGCGAGCACATTGCCATCAGCATTCTGGATGGTAATAGTTTAGACGCTCACATGCGGCGGTTAAAATACACGGCAGACCATTGCAGCCAGTCTTGACCCGAAATCAATGGTTAAGCCAAGGCCTTGGGAAGGACGTGAAGGCTGTACCGGTGGATGTGTCGTTAGGAAGCGGCACAGAAAAAACTAAAAGCCCGAAAAAATGTAACAATTGAAACCCCTTCACTCAAGACACCGTTCAATGGAGGCCTCCCCACGTCGTGTCAGCATTGTGGGTTGTTTAACCATACTTCACCATCAGTGCGGGTTTGTGAAGGGGCCCGGACTAGTTCGATACTCACCACTGACACTAGCCATAGGTGGGTTTTGGACTCAGGTTGGCATATTCACAGCGCTATGCACTAGAACTTCAACCATACATCATACATACAACCACTGTGTCCCCACACCCTACCCTGAATTAGTGAGACGCCTGATAAATATTTTACGAGATTTTTTTTTAGGTTCGTTAAGGAAATGTCAAATTATAGGAGTTACGGTAATGCCCTCCAGGAAATCATAACAAATTTGGCTTTGCATCTGGAAGAACCAGTGTTATGTAATTTATGTGTTTTTAAAAAGGATTGTGGTTAATGCTACATGATGTGAATCATCAAGTCACGGGAAGAATTAAGGCATGCTGAGGATATTTTTTTACAAAACACTGCTTTACAGTTAGAGTTGTCTTGTAGGATTTATTCAAGTACCAAATTCTGATCTTTTATTTGTGGTAATAATGTGACTTGAGGCTTACAAGAAGATTTCAAATTGTTAATGGGTAAATATTGATACGGAATGTCGTGTTCTCTCATGCCTACCTATCCCGTCGGCTTAAGATTTGAACCAAGCAGCTCAAAAACAAGCAAAAGACACCTTTCCTCGAACAAAGTCAAACAAGGTGGCAACTGAAAAATGTAAAACCTCTCTCCGCCGCTCTGGGTGCGGGACCTAACCCCAGCCCCCCACCCCCAACCCCTCACCCCGGTAAAAGCACCTTGGGGCTGTAGGCCCACTGCCTGCGCCGTCAGCAAGATACTTTACCTCCTCGTTTCGGAGAACAGCAAGGACAGAAGGAAAGAGCGCGCCGTTGTGGGGGTCCAGCTATTGACTCGACTTGAGGAGCAGAGGACACAGAGAGCAGGAGAGTGGTCGAGGCGTGTGGGGGGGGGGGGGAGTCGGGGAGGAGGTGGTGGGAGCCGTGTGTAAGGAGGTAGTGGGGGGCAAGGGGTGGCACGGGCAAGGGGAGGAGGACAGCGGGGGGGGGGGGGATAGGAGGTCCGGAGGGGTTGGGGGTGGTGGGCAAGGTGGAGGTGTGAGCAGAGGCAAGCCCGTGGTGGCTCAAGAGCAATGACGGCTGAGGGGTGCGGGCAATCAATGCCAACAGGAAGGTACAGGTGACAGCCGCATGAAGAATGTGACCAACGCAAAAATTGATTGGATTTTTTTTTTAACTCGTACAAAAAAACAGGCGAGGAAATAAAGTGAGAAAACAATATACGTAATAAGAAATCAGGTGGAGAAAAATACGACGCGCAAGTTAATTTATGGGTGCAGTGGCAGTGCTTCTGAATCGTAGGGACCTCAAGCTAAAACAGTGGATTCCCAGCGAACGATTCAGCTCTGGTGGAGATGGGCTTAAAAGCATGCGCCGGCATGAAGCCCACAGCCACGAAGCTTAGAGACCCCCACAAGGAATGCTACTGCTGCACGTTTACTGCACACCGGGTGCACGGGGCCCACTTGTGTCCGATGCAACCGCACAGAACTCGAGGCTCGGAGAGTGAGTTTAAGATCAGAACACGGAAAGACTTTCGTCTGGCGTTTTCCTTTCTTTTTGCATCTTAATTTATTTCATATTCCGTTATGCAGTCACGCAGGGAAGGAAATGATAACATATATAAATAGACACGCACTCATACATACTCGTATAAATATACATACACACCACACTATGTAACATACATGTAGTATGTATGCATATGTAGTGACCGGACATTTTGGAGAGACAAAAAAAATTCATAACAAACGTAATGACACAAAACAAAAACAACATTAAGAGAGCAGTTTGGATTCCACCAAATATGTAACCGTTATAAACAAGGAAGTTTACGAAAACGTAATTCATCTCAATCAGAGCGTAACCAAGATTTTTGAAGTTTTCATTGTGATAAGCTTCTGCGACGTCATAACCAATGTACTAACCCATCACACAAACTCCGTCTCATCCCTGCACCGGCTTTTGGCTAATCATCAAACAAAGACGGTCACTGCATCGCGCACTTTCCGATGCACTTCTGCGGCCGTCTGGAACACTTTTCCTTCTAACATTAGGAAGACATTGGAGCTATGTACTTTTAAATCTAGATTGAAAACGAATTTCTTTATAACTGCCTTTTGTGTTTAGCTTGTTGACCTTCCCCTGCACCTCCGATTAGTACGGCTGACTACGTATGGTGTGAAAGAAATTGAACATACATACATACCAGACTGACTAGTGGTCATGAACGAGCTATTACATTGTAACCATACGCCATTTTTGTTCACGTTGATGCGAATCAAAGCGAACCGCTTAACGCTTCAGGGGCTACGCTGTTGGAGAAATCAACGGAGGCACCTCGAATGGGGAAGAGGCACTGTGAACGTCGTGCCACAACTCTACTGGTGACGGCGGCACGAAGCAGATTCCACGCACGACGCAATTGGCTACAGAACCAGGCGCCACGCCACGCGAGGTGAAGGCGGCGATTGCGTATGACACGAGCACCTGAAAACCCGCTCCACGGTCCGCGTTGAAATGTGTTTAGGTGAGCGAGGCTCAAGTTCATAATCGACAACGTGGCCTTATTTTGTATTCGGTGGCGATGAATGTCAAGAAAAATTACCCTTTGTCCATTTTTCTGTGGTTGACATTTTAAATAACAAGCGCATTTAATCAAAATTAAACACTTAGAAGTAATTCACAACTACATGAAGCATATTCAGGGTGTTTTAAAATCAGGGTAATTACAATTAGACTGTATTAATGCTTTTTCATGAATTTTCTTTTAGTAAAATTGTGTGACAGAACACATTCAGGACATTGAAAATTGGTGTCTTCAATTCCAATTATGCATATATCTATTGACAAAACAAGTTGCCGACAAGGAAAAATTACTGACTGGTAATTAAAATGACACAATTCGATGATGATGTTTTACTAACAGTACAGAAATGCAAAGTGTCATCCTTGAGAATATCTGGCCAGCTGTGACAATCCTGAAATGTGAAGCAGTCAGCATTGCAGTTACCGGAAATAATAACGACCCCCACTTTTCAGTACAGAAACAAATTCATAGAAAAGTGGAAGAGGAAAATGGGTGAGAGAAAAAAAAACAATCAACCAGACAGTGGCAGTGATTGCATAAATGCTGATAGGAATTTCCATTTGCTTTACATGCATTGTTTGATTGTTCTTTTTATGCAACTCATGAGAAAGGAAACAAAGTGAGGCAACCCACTTGAAAACAACTGGACTACAACTGCGGTTACGTCCAGTTTAAGGGAATGTGGTGCAAGTTAAACACAGACATAAGCGCAGTCTTTTCCAGATGCTTTTCATGAGATTAAACATGCAAGCCTCTAACCAGACTGATGTGGCAATGAGGTGAATGCTTATAACGCAGAACTCAAAAATGAATCCCTTATACATTAAATGAAATGTTATTAAATGCGCAAGGCCCATTCAGTCGAGGGATTGAAAAACTCAGTCTAGTTCATGCCCCATTATCACCACCTTCAGACAGTGTGAGACTTGCAGCCACCATCAACCCAATAATGGATGTAGTCAAAGACACTTCATTCATACTAGAGGCTATTATTTAACTTACGTGCAATACATTGCCAGAAATATTTGGTTAAAAACATTGATCCCCGATTGCACAAATGTGCAACTAGTGATATTTTGAACATTCCAATAATTAACGTATTGCAATTTGTCGATTTTTCTGATTTAACTGAACGACGCGGAGCAATACGAGTTTTAATTACAGGAGATGCTGCCTGTATTTTGAACGGGCCGCCTTGACTTTGTTGTAACACTTTTAAGCCTCCAGTGGGTGAGGAAGTGGCTTTGTTGCAATATCCATTAGATTGATGATGATTAGATTAAAGTGGGTTCATTAAATGCTACATCTACAAAATCGCCCACAACTAAACTGAAACACAAGGCTCACCAGAAAAGAAAAACAAGCCAAATCACCACTTTGAACAGGACAGAGTGTCTATCACACGGACAGAAAGCAGCCTTCACAGCATACATACCAACCAGCTGTAATCCGTAGATATCTACAGTGTTATTAGTGTCTCCCCAGTAGTCTACAGGAGGGAGCAGAGAGAGAGTTAGTGATGCTGCATTACACAGTGCACTCCCAATGCAATGACCGAGGTCTCGACCAGGCAAACACAAAGCACGAGCAGAGGCCGCAGGAGACATAAAGCTGCAGACATACATGAGTTAGCACTTGGCGGACACAACGCAACGCCGCCATTTGACAACCAGCAAGATCACAGAAGCATAGACAAAAGCTGATGGGGTTTTTACTGAAATGCGATAGGAGCCAGGCATTATTCCGCAGTGTTTTAAAATATTATTTAGTAAATAAGAAAATAGTCTACATCGATTGGCTTGGCGTCAACGTATGAGAAAAAAAACAGAAATCGTAAACAATCAGAAAGTTTGTAATCATGCACTACACTAAAAAAAAGTTTACCGCTTTACCTTTGAGGCAAAGAAAGCTGCATGGTAACAGGCAATGAAATGATCATTGCATTCATTTTTTAAAATATCGGAAATAGTGTTTTTATCAAAAACATCTGGCATCAGGTGAAACAACCGGGAAACGCTCCATGCAATGTGGCAGGAGGCACAGAAGACAGAGCACAGAAAGGCAGGGCCCAAGTCATTGAATTTGGATGCACCATCAAACTGCCAATCAATACGCGATAGCTTTCATTAAGTATTATTACGTAACGTGTACGCATTATGTGCCTGGGGATAGAGAGAGAGAGAGAAAACAATACATTTTGAGATCTGGGGGAAAAAACAAAGCAGTCTGTGCCATCAGACTGCATTGGAAGAAGACCAATTCTTGCCCTCGTCAGCAGAGGGCAGATTGCATTTGCAAATTAACTGGGTGACGTGCACTAAACACGTCAATTGATCTCGGGTAAAATAGATTGCGTGTGGCCTTGAAGGCTGCAGTTGGCTCTGACTATTGTGGTTAAACACCGAGGGAATTAGCTTCAACGGTGGCCAACTTAAACAGGAACGACTGTCGATGTGTAACTCTGATATTACGCGTGATGGGACAACAGCCGTTTTGTTTTTAGCGGACGTCTGCTACGCACGTGGGTGCATTGGCTTTCCAACAGAGAGCAGGCACATAGTTATTGTTACTGAGTATACGAGTATATGCGTATATTTTACAATCTATTTAGTGCAAAAACAGTTTCATTCCGTCAATATTGTACATACAGTAGTTGCACGATTTTAAATTGATTTTAGGATTGATTTGTAAGCATTATCGTCCTACACCGATCAACCCCATTTGGCTCATGCAGAAAGTTAGGCCTGTCTGTTAGTCACTACTGAGAGGACCTGCCAGTTTGAGTGTGGACGGAAGAAAGAAATCACAGTTTCTTGAACAACGAAAAAACATCAACAAAATGCACACGAGAGAGAATTGGCTGACTGACGATGGACGACAATCAGAAGTGCCTTACAAAGCAAAATAAGTGGACACCAACATCAAGTATGAGAGGCAGTGAAACGTTTTGAGACTGGATGATAAAAAATCAAGCAGCTTTACGTGTTTTACACTGTCAAGCACATTTAGTCTATGACACCTGAGCAGGGCATAGAGATGTGTTTTTTAATACAGTAAAAGCCCGAAAAATGCAGGCGGCGGGAGACGCGAGTAACACCGGTATGATAGACTACCCGCTTTATAATGGAAAATGCATCCATGTCTCTGTGTCCCTGTGTCTGTATGTGTCTCCATGTCTGTATGTGTGCCTCCGTGTCTAGTTGTGCGGAGTGGTAGCATAGCAGTTAACGCACTGCACTTTGAATCCGGCGACCCGAGATCAATTCCCGCTCAAGGCCAACACCAGTGACAATTATCTGAACCGGTCCTGGCATTCCCCTAGGTCGACTCAGCCTCAAATGAATACAGTACTTGGTGTGGTGTGTAAACATAACTAAGGAAGGCAAAGGTGGCAGGGTGTGGTGCTGTATAGGCCTTCATAGGTGCTCGCTAACAGCACTTGCCCTAAAAGTCTGCTAAAGGTTATATGGGAGATCTTTGTCTTTTTTTGCGTCTATTTTGCCCAACTACACATGTGCTACCAATGGAGAGGGGAGGGCAGGTGGTGTAGAGTTGGGGTATGGATCAGCCAATTAACGAGTTATATTTGTTTTTTCGGGGGACATGAGTTGACCCACAGTATATATCCGAATCTATGGTGTCATGAGCCGTGCTATATCGGGCTTCTACTGTAATGCGAAATTAGGTTGGTGAGAATTATTGTAAAAAGGAACAAGTTCTCAAAGGATTTCAAATGCCCCGAGTGTCCATTACACTTTATATATTTACACAGTTCAAGGCCATGACTATAACAGTGTCTATTTTACAATTAAAGCAAGTAAACACATTTACTGCACCAAATACTTTACAACACGAAGAAGCATTGAGCACAATCGTGGAGATCACTTGGCTTCAAAAGAATTAACATCAGGCAAACAATTAGGCAGTCATTATGGCATAGTTCAGATCAGTGCATGAGGGCATACAGTGCTACTTGTGTATTCTCTTAGATTCAGTTAAAAGTAGCGTGAGGCTGTTCAACATCACAGCCTCAACAAGAGATGAGCGATACTCTCGGGGGTCAATGTAATTGCTGGAAAACCAATTTAAAGATACAAATTTCAAATGAAGGGGTTTTTACTGGCAGTGAGATACACACACGGGCCAATAAACACAGTCTGCATTCATAATGACTAAAAACATAAAAAACATGAGTTCGTGATTTTCCTTTTATCAGTTAGTGTGAATGATGGTGAAATATCCATCTCCCGTATCAATTTTGTAATGCTCACACTTGCAGCTGTTTCAGAATTATGATTTGATCCTTGCCAGAGAGCCCTGGCTGTGGCAGGATCAATATCCATGATCAAATCGCTTTTCTAAGACACAAACTTTGGTTTCCACGGTTCCGTTTCCAGCAATCTCTGACCATCCCCCCCCCCCCCTAGATGCGTCAACGGGGCATCGGTAAACGCACGACGGCCGGCGGAGCGTCACACGAGCGTGGATAATTCGCCGGCGGGAGCGACGAGGGTGGCGGCGGTGGGCAGCTCCGGCGAGTGCCTACCTGCCTCCCCACGCAGGGCCTTCTCCACGGCCACGCCTCGCTCCTCCAGGGCTCGCTGCTTCTCCTCTACCTCCTCCAGCTGCCGCTGGATGATCTGCAGCAGATACACGACATGGCCAGCTGAATCAGAATCTTTATACTGGAGGAATCGGATGAGTGATAAAGCAAGCACTTTTTCGCAGATGTCCAGTCGGGGGCAGGTCGCGACGTTACAACAACATACAACACAAGAACACGATAGGATTGCAAAGTATAAGAAAGGTAAGCAAATCACTAAAATCACGGAAAAATGTATTTATAGAAGCATAATGCTGTTATTTTAACAACGTTGTACTCACCGCAAAGAACTGTAGCGACACGACCACATTTTAAAACAGATGGCGCCAAACTGCACGACACACCCTTCCGCATGGATTTGTGGGAGCCTAGGTACCGATAAAGTTATTTTATTTTCGTTTTTCTTCCGGTTCCATTGTGGAACGGAATCGTAAGAAAAACTAATGTCGTACATGTACGTCATCGGAATGGGAATGGGTACAAAAAAAATGTGCTCAGACTCTACATAAATCACGAAATGTGCCGTGTTGTGCCGTGCTGTGCCGAGCTGTGCCGTACTGTGCCGTGCGCGGCGGATGTGACGCGGCGAGCACCTGTGCACGGTGCAGCCGTTTGAGTTCCTCCTGCTTGGCCTGCTTGCGCGCCGCACGTTGCACCCTGCGCGTCAGCTTCTCATTCAGCTCCTCCTCCGTGTACGGCTTCTGGGGTCACACACAGCGACTGGTGAAGGCAGGCACGGTGCAGAGGATGGCTCGGCGAGCCATCCACTTCACGTTTGTCATATCCGGGTATAAAACGGGTTGCACTCGGCACACTACTGATTTCCAAACATATTCTTCTCTGGGCAATGAGTTTTATTTACTTGGTGCAAACGTAATTTAATGACATAGGCTTTTGCGATCAATGTAATCCATAATAGATGTTTTTTGGATTAGATCGCGAAATGGTGTGGGGTTACTCTCCAACACATCGGTGTGCTGAACTAGTGACGAATTAGCATGTTTTGTTTACGTGACAAACTTTACTAATTGGTTGTGTCGGGTGGTGGCGGGTTTAACGTCACATTTATTTATTTGCGATCTAACCCAAAAAAAAACTATATTATGGACGTAATTAAATGGATCCTACATTACGTTTATATATAAGATGGATGAGAAGTCCCTATATATCTCTCTATGCCTACGGGTCCAGCAGAACTTTCAAGACATGAGTATTGGGATTTCCCACCCTCGTCTTTTCCAGCGTCGTAGGAAATACAAATACAGTGGACAGAGTGCAGACTCGGCAGTTACCGCATTGCCCTGTGAACTTAGTGACGCGAGTTCAATTACCAAGCGAAAAACGAGCCAGTCCTGGGGATCCTCCCTTGACCAACTTGTACTAACCATTATGGTGAAGTATGGTCAAACAACCGACATGAGTGACATGGTATGGCGTTGCCCCTCACTCAGCAGTGGCTTGACAAAGGGGCTGTAGCCTACTAACTGTTATATTGTCCACAATCAAAAATAACAACTAAACTTGTATGACCGAAAGGAATAAGAAGCATTGCAATGCAATCGTGTGTAACTAGACTTTGCATGTTAGTGTTAACTTTTATTTATTTATTGCGTCTTTTACACTGTGGACGGGAAAGGTGTTTTAAAATTGAATGCAGAGGTCGCCCTCTGCTGGTCTCAGACAAGAAGCCTCCCTTAAGCGAGAGGCATACGGATACAAATGAAGCATTCAAATATTTAAAACGATCCTCAGAAATCAAACGTTGTGTTTCAGAGTTCCCGGTTGATTCATCGCGCTTGCTTATTAATGACATTATCCCTCCCAAAAATCGCACATGTTGTTTTGTAAATACATGGAAAATAGCGGTGCTAATCACAAAATTGAAACCGACATTCAAAGTGACTCGCACATTATTCCGAATAAACCAAAGAGTATGGATCCCTGCAGTCACGAAAACTTCAAATCGAGATTATTCCATCAATTAACTTTGCACACATCTTCCCCCACTCACCGGCACACATTTTAAAACACATCTAAAGCTGAAACACTAAACCTACATTGATTCATAAGCTGAGGACAGCCATCCCAGATACCAGCAGAACAAAAATAAAAAATGTCCTGTCATGAAGCGATAGCCAACTGCACATAATCGGATATAACGTTAATATAGAACATGTCTGTTATTCGTGATATACTCTGTATCAATAGGAATGCCCAAAATCTTATCTAACGTAAAATTTGTACTTTCATGAATAGATCTGGTAAAAATCAATCGATGACAGGACATGAACATTACACTGTGTTAGAGATGTCCTCTACAGCTCTGGGAGGGCTGTCATCATGTGTGGCACCTGCGGAGATCACGCAGTTTAAGAGCAAACCTGCAGAATGCAATCGTGAACACACGCGACAGCACGACATGGAAAGCAGTGACCACAACTGGCATCAGGCCACAGGCAGTGAAGCACAAACTTGGCGGGAGGGCGCGTGCTTTAGTACTACCTTGAGCACAAACGAGCTCTTGAAGGCCAAGGCATGCGGAACATAAGTGAACTTCAAACACAAGGAACGAGAGAGGTCAGTAAATAAACGGAGGCGGTGAACGGGAGGGGAAACCATGGAAGCAATGGATGGACACGCATCTGGTAAAATGAGTGTGTCAGTGCAGATTGCGCCATCCGTAATAACACCAGAATAAGTGAGTTAATAAGTGTTCTTAAGCGATTTCTTTCATGAATAGGTCTGACATAAATCACTTCACTGGCTAGAAGGGACACGAACATTTTATTGTGCAGCAATTCACTCATTATGTGTACTTTTATTGTGAAATGCTCAAACAAGTTTGGTGTGATTTTGAATTCAAATGCATAATCAATTTCCAGAACTAAAATAAAAATATAACAATGCATGTTCAATTATGAAGTATTCTAATGGTTATGTCTGCATTGCTATAACAAAGCCACAAAGAAGGAAGAAAAAAAACGAAATGCAATCGTGTTTGTCGACATTTCTCGTTTCACAGGAGGTGGCCTGGATAACGAAGAGATCCCGTCTCCAACGGTCCTACCTGTAACTGCCCTTCTCTTAGCAGGGGCTGAACGCGGTCAAAAATATCGCGGGTCTGTGCATGCCATGGGTCGTGGGTGAACACAGGGGTGCAATGTTAGATGGGCGATGGATACCGCACAAAGCCAGCATGAGGTGGTGTTGCAGAAGAACCATGATTGTAGGAATAGCAACTCACTAATTAATTGGGTTTTCTATCGATACTCTGAACCCTGTCCTAAGAATGTGCAATTAATAACGAATGGGTGACAGATACAACAGCTGATAACAAAATGCACTACCGCATCATTATTTGAGATTGGAGTGGGAAAGTAGACTATCCAATTGCTTTGTAAAATTATTATTAATCAACACCATTACAACATAGATGTGTTTCTACCCAAATGCCTACGGTTTGTCCAGAAGATGGTCCTCTTTGTTTCAAGTGAAAACTTGTAGCAAGTAATTTTTTAGCTTTTTGCTTTTATTATTGTCTATTTATTTAAATTGTAATGCTATTCTTTTCTATCTACGTGACTTTACCGAAAGAACCAAGAATATGTCATTATTGCTTCAAAGAACACTGCCACAAAAGGCCCTTTCATTGCAAAACCTGCCATCTTATTTTTAATGCTGACAATGAAGACAACAGCATTAACGTCTGTTATATTGGACAGTGCACATTTTGATTAGGTGTCAGATTGTTTCAGAGTGTTGCCCCATGGCATGCGTGGATTTTCTCCTGGTTCCTCCCACGTATAAACACTCACTAGTCGTCTGATACCTCCCTCATCTATATACACCGCAGTGTTCGCGGATAGTCCACTATTGTAAGACTAACTTTGCATGAATGATGATGCTACCGTATATAAAAACTATATAATTCCTCTTGATATGGAAATTATTTTGTCAAGGCGCCCTTCCCCCCTTCCAACCCAGCTTAAATATACGCTCCAAGCCTGGTGGTGTTTCATTCAGACGCTGTCTCCCCGACAGACCTGGTCTTCACCTGAGGACGGCTGCTTGCGTTGTGGCCGAAACGTCGTGAGAATTATTTTATTATGTTTTATTTTTATTATTTTATTACTTCCCTTCTACGTGACTTTACCGAAAGAACCAAGAAGATATATAATAACTATTATAATATATTTGCATCATTCCCTGAGCCTACACCTTATAGTCATGGTTCTAGTGCACGTTTAAAAGGTTACCGAGAGAAGACAGTTTTAAGGCAACCATTACTCAACCCAATTTATGTGGCTTGCCGTGCACGGATGGCCAATTTCTTCCAATGTAGTTCCACTTGTGATATTCCCACAAAGCCACTTAATGCTCTGTACGGCTTGAATACAAATTGCAGAAAACGTGTAATGTGCCCCAGCCACATTAAATAAAATTCGTGCACACGGCAATGCGATTGTCTATGAAGCAGCCGCACTGAAGTCAGGGGACACGGTCAAAGTGAACAGACTGCCCATGTCAAAGTACCTTTCCACCTTCATGCTTGTTATACATGTTAAACGCGTCAAAGCGTTAAAGCCAACAATGTGTTCACGACAGGCAAAACGAGAAGTTCGGTGGCATGCTCCATCCAGCATACGTGCCAAAAAACACAACATTTAAATACAGCTTCCAAATGTTAGAGTCAGCAAAACAATATTAATAAACGACACCGGAATTAATACATTAACAGTGCAGCATGCGTAGCATATGCGTTAAAAGCAAAATAGTTGGCGTCTGCACATGCAAAGAATGACTATGTACGAGTTTAAGGGTGACCGGCGTTTATCCTTCAGAGATACCCGATGAGTGTGTGAGTCAGCAAAAAGCGGGGTTAAAGCTGGCAGTGAGTGAAGTCAATAATTAATGATCCTTTAGAGTCATAGAGCCAGGTGAAAGCTGGGTGAGACACCATATCCTTTAACGAGGGATATCGTGCCGTGTAAGTTCAGTCACTCAACTTGTAATTTTGTTGCAAGGCTGCGTGTACATTCGAGACATGACACACCTGGCACGCACCGGCACACACTGTCACATTGTCCCCATGCCCATTTTTCAGCAGGCGGACGCATTTTGTGGATCAATTGCAGCAATTAGCGGCCTACTCCGCGACGGTAACGCAAACCGCCGGCCCCGTGGGGCTTGGCTCGGGAGGCGGGCAACGCCGCCCGCCGCGCCGTAGTCGTGGGGACGTACCTCGCGCCGTCGCCCACGCTGGCAGGATGGGTCGTTGAGCACCTCTTCGCTCGACAGCTCCGAGTCGTCCTCTGTCTGGCTGGCTTGCCTCCGCATGGCCAGCACAGGGTGCAGCGCCACTAGACGTTGCGCACCGCACACGGGTTACGGGATCGGTTGCGGGTGCCGTGTCTTCGCTTGCCGAGTCCGTTTAGTTGTGAGTGGGTTACGTGGTGGGCGAGCAGTTTGGTACGTGAGTGAGTTTGTGGCCAAGTGAGTGGTCGAGTAAGTAAGTAGGTTGCGTGAGTGAGCGAGTGGGGAGTGAGTTCGAGGGGGTGGGTGAAAGGGTGTGTGAGTGATTTGTGAGGCGAAGCCTACGTGTTAAACAGGTTACACAGGCTAAGTAAGTGGGCACGCTCACAGGTAAGACATTTAAAAAGCACCACGGAAATCAGGACAGTAAAATAGAAGGCATAATGGTCACAAATCGCAATTCATTCACAACCGAATCGATGCATTCATCATGAGAATAATAATCGACGTTAATTGATTAATTTATGAACGTATCATTACAAGCCTGGCTGTCATAACTGAAAAAGTGATAACATCGCACTGCAACAGTTCACAACAAATTTGACAGGAGGCTATGACGAATGAGCACTGGAGATGCTGCTGCTGCCGCCCTTACTTGGCTTGGGGGTGGCTGTGATGATTGGCTGCTCCGTGGCTGAGTCCACCGTGCCCACGCTGGACGTGGTGCTCGACCTCGTCCTCTCCTCCAGCTCCTTCTCCTTCCTGCGCTCCTTCCTGTATCCGTGCGAGAACACCTTCCAGAGCGGCGAGCGAGATTTCGCGATGCTCGCGTTGCTCTCGTTCGCAAGGGCGGCCGCGTCCGCCGCGCGCTGGCTCTCCATCTTGGCCGCCTTGTCCTTCTTGTTTTTCCTCGGCGAGAAAAGCGAGGCGCGCTTCTTGCTCTTGCCCGGCACGTCCTCGCTAGACGTGTGCGACGTCTCGCTGCTCAGGTCCTTCGCTGGGATTTTCTTCTTGGACCTCGGGGGCAGATCGTCCACCTGAGACTCTTCCTTCAGAGCGTCGCCGTCAACAAGCTTCACGGACTTGGAGCCCTTCGCCGACTCGTGCTTTCGTCGCGCCGGCTCGCTGTCCACGTGGCGGTCGCTCGGCAAAAGGGATGGCGGTTTCGTCGCCGCCTCCGCCACCGCCGACGTCGAGGGCTTCTTGCCGTGGGGGGCGTATGCGGGGCTGCTGAAGAACGAGGTCTCTCCTGCGAGCCGGCCCTTGAGCTTCTCACGTTGCTGCGCCATCGCGTCACGCAGCACGTTGCTCTTCACCACCTGCTCGCGCTCCCGCAGCCTGCTCTCTGCCACCTCCTTGGCCTCAGGAGAGATCTTGGAGCAGGGTGTGGTCTTGCGCGAGCTGCTGTCACGGTCGAACACGGGCCTCGTCCTGCCTGCCGGGCGGCTTGTGGGCGGCGTATGGAACGACTCGTCCAAAAACACGCTTGAGGCCGGCGACCGGAAGTCTGCGCAGGAACCGCCCTCGTCGTCGTCGTCGCCATCCTCCTCCTCGTCCGCGAAGGGGATCTCGTCGATACTCTCCTCCAGGGACTTCTGCCGCAGGGTGTCCTGGAGACGCGAAGGTGCGGACCTCTTGGGGGTGAGGTGTGCGTCCAGGGAGAGCGGGCGTGCCCGCGGTGGCGTCGTGTGAGGCCGGTACACAAAGAGCGACGCCGGCTCCTCGTTGGGAGGCGGGGGCGGCGGAGGACTTGAGGGCGGAGTCAGCAAGAGGGACGTGGATGTGTTCGGGTCGTCTTCCCCCTCGGCCCCGGGGTGGACGTCTTCCACCAAACACACGCTCACGTCCTCGGGGTGCAGGATATCGACGTGGTTGAGCTCCTCCCCGTTGCCCACAGTTTTGGCGACATGGTTCCGTGACAAGGCGGTAGAAAGTGAATCGCTCGCAGGTAAACTACTCGGTGTGTTCAGCCACTCGGCTTTGCTCGCCGCGGCCGACTTGACCACTGGGCGTGCGGGGGTCGACATCTGGTTTTCTGGTCTGGGCTCCACGGTGCCACTCCCAGCGCCTGGCTCTGTTCTTGGCGCGGGCGAGCGGGCACGCGCCGACTCGGGTGTGGAGATTGTACCACTCGAGTCGGACGCGGTGGGAGACTGTCGCCTCTCCTGCCCACCAATGCCGAACCGTGCCCAGCTCAGCTCCGCTTCCAGCCGGTGCCGGTCGATGGTGTCCTTTTCCTCGGCTGCCGTCGAACGGAAAACGCCGCCTGCATCACCGGCCGAAATGTCCTTCGCGTGCGTCATCTCAGACTCTGGCTTTTCATTTTTTTCGGTGGCTGTCACGGTTTTCTGGGTGTTGCTGGGCTGCTCCCACGACACACCAGCTCTCTGCATGAATGACCTTGGGGTGACGATGGGAACCTGGGGTAAACCTGACACCAAACCAGGAGACAGCTGAGTCCTCGGGGATGGAATTGGCCTGGAGGATGGCATAAAATAAGCCGACGGTGATACGGTGCCGAGCTGGGGTTTGGTAGCGGCTGGTGAAGCCGCGGTCATCCGAGGCTGCTCCAGATTCCCAATGGGCGACTGCAGAGACCGTGGGGAGGCTTGGTCTGCAAAAGACTTGGGAGATATCAAGGACACCTGCGACAGCCCAAGGATGACACTGGGAGACTGCGTGGAAGGGATCGGAGACAGCGGCGAGAGCAGTGGCGACTGATAGAATAAAGACTTGGAGAGCGATGGCGTTGTCGGAGCTGCGTGAGAAGTCACCGGCGACTGCAGAGCCGCCAAACCCAAAGGCGAATGAGGCTGCGCCGCTACCCCAGTCGACGCCAGCTCCTTTGCCGGTACCAAGGGAGACTTGTTGGCATCCAACAACCAAGATGGCTGGAAGGAAGACGAGGGAGGCTGAGGTGGAAGAGGTGGGATTACCGAAGAAGGATTCTCCAGACCCCAGAGCAGCAAGTCGTACTTTGATGGGGGAGGCCCGAGTGGAGAGTGGCTGAAGAAAGCTCTGGGTGACGCTTCGTGGCCTTTGGAGGCTGCGGCGGACGTCGCATTTGGCGAAGAGACAGGGGGTGGGGATGGAGCGAAGAGAGGCTTGGAGGGCAGACAGTTCGAGCCGCTGTCTGCTTTGGGCTGGGTGCTCACAGGCAGCAGTGGCAAGGTGAGCGGAGGCCCCTTCGCCAAGTCTGGGCACTGTAACTTTCTGCCGAGGCTCTGCAAAAACAAAAAATATCGAATTGTTAGTTGAACAATTACCAAATATGTCTTTTGTAAAATGAAGGGACGCGTTTGTACATTGGCGAAATGCCAAAGCGCACGAAGCCAAATACCAATGGACATGGTTTAAATGCTGGTACCTGCGCTTGGTCTGTTTTAGAGGATGGAATATTCAGTGGGAGCTCAGCCCACACGGAAGGTAATCCATTCAGATGTGGCAAGGCTGGCGTAGCTGGAAAAGAAACATATAAGTCACTTTGTTGTTGTTTGTTGTTGTGCCTCCATTCAAAACCTTTTGTCAACAACTTATAAAAACACCATAACTTTACAAGCAGTGTCGGTATGGGACAAATAGAACTATTACAGTGATGCATGTCGTGAAACATGAGGAATGGTACTCTTGCACTCGAGGAGCAGCTGTTGAATTCAATTGTATGGAATTTTGAGGCCAAAACTGTAATAAAATCTCAGAATAACATGCACTCTCTAATTGCTACAAGGCAAACGCTCAAGTGACTTGGCTGATCAGCTGTTTGGTTTGGGAGTCTCGTGTGAACGCCTAATGAAGAGCGCGAGCACGGTGGTCTGCCACATGTCTTGGGACCATTCTTTGAATCCTGCACCTCTGACCTTTAATTACGTTGGAGAAAAAAGATCACGTTCATCCCCCCCCCTCCCCCCCATAACACCTTCAGACTCTTTATAGAAAGCCATGGGAGTTATTTTGTGGCCCCATTCGATACCACTGATAAATCTTTCAGTCAGCCCCAACATTTGAACTACCAAATATATATGTGTGTGTGTGTACATCATTGCCCATCCACTGCTGGATGAAGACATCCCAACACCGAGTCAGCAATGAGAATTTGTTTGACCATACTTCACCAGACTGGTCAGTGGGGGTGTTGGTCAAGGGTGACTGGATCCAGGACCAGTGCAGGTATCATTCGTACCTGACGCTAGCCACAGCTGGCTATTGAGTTTTGGGTGGCACCACCACTCCATGCCCAATGTCACAGGATCGATTTGATGAATGAGTTGGTCCTTGTCATGGCTGCCACTGAATTGACAGGGTTTTTCGTGGAAGAGGCACTTGTGCATGCGATTTTCAACTTTTTAATTAAGTGGGCCACAGTGGAGACACAATGGTTTGACTGGGTTGACATGTGCCAAACTACAGGGGAAAGCATGCGTAGGCTCCTCAATTGAATTATTAATTTACTGGGGGGAAGGAGCTGGCAACACCCAATATGCTGACTAAATAAAGACAAGCTCTCAGTGCGTTAGCATGGATGTGTGAAGCAGATGTCTAGTGTGGAGCCGCTCTTGCGGATGCTTGTTTGGGCAAGAAACACGTTTGAACGGGGGGGGGGGGGGGGTCGAGTTTCTAACTAAGTTTTAAAGTGCACACATACAATAAATTGAAAATCACGCACGGTTAGTGAAGCTAGTAACGACTGGGTGTTTATCTTCTTGGTTCTTTCGGTAAAGTCATGTAGAATGGAAATAATAAAATAATAAAAATAAAACATAATAAAATAATTCTCACGACGTTTCGGCCACAACGCAAGCAGCCGTCCTCAGGTGGAGAGCAAGTCTGTCGACTCTACGTGACTTTACCGAAAGAACCAAGAAGATGAATCCCTGCAGTCACGAAAGCTTTAAATCGACTGGGTGTTTCTGCATGAGCAGAGTCTGGTGGCTACTGCAAAGGTGTGGCCAAGCCGGGAGCCACCACCTCCTGGAGTGTGGCTACCATGGATGGCTCAAGGGAGCTCAAACTTCAGGAGACCAGGTCGTGTCAGGGATGCACCGATATTCGCAGCAGCTGCGCGTATCGCAAGCGCACATTTAGTTGGCAAGAAATACCGAGGTGTGGTTTCTTATCCGTAAGGGTGCAGGAACCATGGGGTCTGAGCAAGGGACTGAAAGTTAGACTGATTCGTACACCGCACGACCGTGATTGCTGTGTGAAGGTGTGGTGTGGGAGAGTGTAAACCCTTGCTTGCCACACATGTAGACTGGGGGGTTGTAATTACATGCATGGAAGAATACATTGCTTTTAGCATGTAACTATAACATTACTCTATGGGTCCGCCGTTTGGTTTCTTTGCAAATGGTTTTTCTACTCGCCCGTCGTCCGAATACAAGTTTACAATTAAAATCACAGCTCGTCATTACCACCCCTGATTCACTGTGAATCCTGTGAGGTTTGGCTTTCAGCACGCTACCCAAGCAATCCAATAACCCCGTGGACACTCAAAGAAATATCTTCTAATTTGTTTAATGCATTACACATGACGCAGGTTTGCTCCCTGCATCCAAGCTCCCTGTATCTCACCTGTTCCTCGAGCCAAGATATCATCTCCCTGGAATCGACGTCCGTGGGCATTGCCCCCGAACGTCGCCTTTTCGTCGTGAGGACCGGGCACCGGGGCGTGAGGACTCTTGGCAGCTTCGTCTTGGGGCTCTGCGGGGAGAGCAGAAGACACGTGCTCAGGTTTGAATGCGAGCATTGTTTTGCCAACGCACATAACGTCTCAAGCCACGGCGGGGGTCTGCGATTCCCAAGACATTTCAAAGACAGGAAAGATGCGAGTCATTGTGGGTATAATCATGAAGTGGCTTTTTGCTTTGGCACAGCATGTCGTCGACCAGTTAGGACTGCAATTCATGTCCACCTTTTTTTAGAGGGAAAATATCTCCTGAAATACCACGGAATCGGACGTACTTGGATGAGCGGACTTGTTCATCCACAGTGATGGTGTATTCAGCTTCGCATGTGCGTGTGTCATTTCTTTGATTCATGCAATACTCCATATTTGTTTTAAACAATAGACAAGTAATCTTGATTTGAAGCTTTCATAACTGCACAAATCCATACTCTTTGGTTCTTTCAGTAAAGTCACGTAGGTAGAAAAATAAAATAAAAATAATATATCACGACGTTTCGATCGCAACACAAGCAGTCGTCCTCAGGCGGAAACAAGTAAACCCGTAAAAACAAAGTTTTCACTCTAAATCCTTTATATACGTGGCGGCTAGAGTTCTCTCGTCCTCTGGCTTGAGATGGCTGCAATCTATGGGTCAGATGATTGTCTGCTAGCATTAAGCAATTGGTAATTAAATATTTAATTAGTTTTCCCTAAACAGTGTAAAATTTTGGAAAAAAAATTTCACGAAAATTAATTGTCACACACAACGAGTCTGTGTGGAAAATGTCAGCTCGATTGGATCACGGGAAGTGGGTTAAAAAACGAGCGAAAGATTTACACGGTCCTAAGCAAGCAAGCGAACTTAATATAAAGGATTTAAAAATATATTCGCCTGTGGAGGACGCGGGGATCGATCCCGCGACCTTTGGCATGGGAAGCGAGGGCGCTACCAACTGCGCTACTCCACCACGGCCTGTGGAGGGGTTACGCTCTGGGCTCTTGCACTGTGATGTTCAGCCAAAGCCATGAATGCGTTCTATTTGAATATATGTAAAATACATTTTTTTTGCCTAAAAAGTGTAAAATTTTGGGAATTTTTTTTCATGAACAATAATTGTCTGGCACAACGAGTCTGTGTGGAAAATGTCAGCTCGATTGGATCACGGGAAGTGGGTTAAAAAACGACCGAAAGATTTGTACGGTCCTAAGCAAGCAAGCAAGCACGCGAACTTAATATAAAGGATTTAAAAATAATCCAGCTTATGCATTACCTAAAGAACCAAAGAGTATAGAAAAGTGTAGAATAGACAAGCATTTAAAAAATAATACCCCATATGCATTATTAGGATGATGAGGTCATCTAATTTGTGGAACGTCCCCATAGAGGATCGTTGAAAGTAATATTCGAGATACCCCTTATAGGATCATACTGGAACCGAGTGATAAGCAGAATCTCTAGTCACCAATGAGCAAATATGACAGGGAACATCTAATCGGAAGACGTGCTTTGAGAAGTTGGCAGGGTAAGAACATAACAACGCTGGGATACATTTGCATTCAGAAGTAAGGCCTCCTCTAGATTTGAAGCTTTCGTGACTGCAAGGATTCATACTCTTAGGTTTTTTCGGTAAAGTCACGTAGGTAAAAAATTTAAATTAATAAAAGTAAAATAAAACAAATGTAAAAATTCACGATGTTTCGTCGTGAATTACTTGATACTTGATACAGCTGTCGTGGCTGTGATGGTTCCACTTGAAGACAGAGGCTTGTGTTGCCTCCGAAACGTCGTGAATTTTTTAATTTGTTTTATTTTACTTTTATTAATTAAAATTTTTTACCTACGTGACTTTACCGAAAAAACCTAAGAGTATAAGGCCTCCTCCTTCATTGAGACATGGAGAATACAGACTGCATTTGGCCTCTCAAGTCCGGGGTCAAGCGTCAGTGCCTTGGAATGCGTGTTTCAACAATGCGGTCATCTAAATGACCACGTGTCTTGATTCTTCATACAAAAAGGCCGTTGCAACTCGTTAATGCAAAAACTACGTTGACAATTGTTTTCAGTTAAATGTCAATCATTGCACTCAATTCAACTGGAGCATCACTTTGTGAATAAGCTGCAGGCATGCGTAAGTCTTGTACGAGATTTCACCGACTCCTTTGTAAATGAGGCCAAATGTAGAATATAATTTTAAATGTAAAAACATGGAATAGCATTAACTGAAACAAAAAAATATGCCTAGACGATGATGTCATACATTTAAAAACTAGAGGAATATTAGAAGCATTTACTTTTCAGTCTGGTTTCAACAAATCGCTATGCCTTTCAATCAGCCCACCTTCATATGACCTTCCTGACTCAATAAGGCGTTCGCTTACACAGATGTACAGGGTGGCGCAAAAGTCAAGAAACATAGGGTTCTTGTATTTATTTTAACACTGGCATTAAAAATGTTTTATTGTTTATTATTTAAGTTCATATTTTATCATGGGACCTTGTTGCCAGTATTAAAGAATAAAAAATAAGAATAGATTTTACCCTTCCTGGGAATAAAACAGGGAGCGTTAAGATATCTTTTTGCAAGGAATCAAGTCTGCATTAACTACACACACTACTTGTGGTGAACATGCAAACAAAAAACATGCTCTGATAATGAATGCATTGTCCTTGAAACTGAGTGGCATACACCAGAGACGGCCTTCTTTATTTGTGGCCTAGTCTCACCAGTGTCAGACCAGAAAACAAGGTGAACAGTGATATTTTATCTATTATCATTATTAATATCTATTTTGATCTATTTCTTTTTCAGATGCCATTTGAAAACGAATTCAGACGGAACAAATTTGATGAATGTTTAAAGATTACACCTGAAATGTTTAAAATAAGTCCTACGTTAATTTTAAATAGCATTCATGCGTGCATGCATGTTAATGACAATCATTTTGATCATTTGTTCAAATAAATTAAAGAAACTCTACGTGATTTGTTAAAATAAATCTAATAACCCTGACTTTTAGGCCACTCTTGTATGTAAAAAGCTGTTGGCTCTCAGGCCCTGTGAATTCCGGTCACTGTGAATTACTCGGAAGAATTGATTTACCTTGTAATGACTGTTTCATACCTTGTTTTGGATTCAGTGAGTCCAACATTGTGGAATATCATGTAATTGTGTTTTCCATCTTTCATTTAACTACTTAGCAGTTACAGCATTGTTGAAATTATTTCAATAGGCCAAATCCAGTTGCCCTGCCTCTGTCTCATTGCTAACACTGGGTGGCAGTGTGGCCCGCGCTTGACAAGCACTCCACTGCCAAGGCGATGGACATTCCTTGCAGTACATTATTTTAAGGCCCCCGTTCTCCACAGGGACAGCTCCACTGACATGATGAAAATGAGGGCCGCTTTGCCCAGAAGGCATTGCACCGATGGTGGGCTTTGAATATTTCAACGACCAATAAAGAGATCTTCACGTTATCCCAGGGTCAGCCCTGTGACCCCGTTTAGAAGTTCGCGAATAATCTGATATTATCGCACGGATTTAAAAAATAGATATGTATCGTAAAACCAGGTGGCGAGTATTTTCAATGCACCAGTATATAGTTACACTGTAAATAACCTATTTTGGCCGTGACTGCTGCAGTAGAATGGTAAAAGCCAGCAGGAGCTCACTAATCTGCCTCTAAATGGAGTTGGAAGCAGCCTGCTTCTAAGAAAGGGATTAAATAACCTCAGCTGATGGTGGCAACTGGGACGCACTTCCAAACGGCTGCCTGGAAAAAGTATCCAAGCAATTTGCTTGTGCTGTATTCACCAGAGGCACGAAGACTGTTCAGTTTCACAGTGAGAATTAGCAATTCCCTGGCAATACAGGGCAGTTCATTTGAACTATGAATTGATAATTGGCTACAGTTGAGTCCCAGTTGAATAACTAAGGCGAAAAAAAAAACATCGACCTATAAGTAGTGTTTAGATTTAAAGCTTTCGTGACTGCAGGGATTCATCTTCTTGGTTCTTTCGGTAAAGTCACGTAGAAGGGAAATAATAAAATAATTAAAATAAAACATACTATTTTATTATGTTTTCTTTTCATGATTTTATTTTTATTATTTTATTATTTCCCTTCTACGTGACTTTACCAAAAGAACCAAGAAGGACATAATATTTTATTATGTTTTCTTTTCATTATTTGATTTTTATTATTTTATTATTTCCCTTCTACATGACTTTACCGAAAAAACCAAGAAAGAGCTATAAGCAGTGATGATATTAAATTTGTTTATAATATTTTACTCCTCTAGTCAGAAGCACCCATGTGTGGGCACACGTATAAATACAATTCATACTCATTTGTAGCACGTTAAATCACTGTTGAACATTTCAAAGTGTTTTGTTCAAAATAGCAACGAAGGGGACGGTGTTTTGACATTTCGGGTCTCATCAGCGAGGTGCAGCTGTCCCTCTGGTTAAACACACGCCAAAATATCAACGTGATACATTACACCGCCTTACAATTTGACTCCGCAGCGGGTGAACGTTGGAAACGCACAAAAACAAGTGCAGCTGTGCTGAGTCAGAGACTGCTGCTTGAAATGCCCCAAGGCCCTCCCCCTCTACAAGGGCGCAGTCAACCCCATGTGGTCCCGAGAGGGCCCCTCGCGTTTTGCCCGGTTCTCCGTGAGCAGTGTGGGGGGGGGGGGGGGGGCTGCATGTGGATACACGGTGAGGGCAGCTGTGACCGTGACGGCACGTTCGCTGCGCGGGCAGCGGCTGGTCGGAGTGTGTGTGTGTGTGCACAGGTGCCGTGCCGGCAATCCTCATTGAACCAGCGGCTGTGCAAACACAGGGCCTAGGAGATACGACGGTCAGATTCGCAGCTTGACAAGAGTGTGGGGAAACGCATGGCGCCTCGGTGAATTTGCTCGAATGGTGGTAATAGATACGTTGATAAGGGCATGTTTTTTTGTCGTGCCAAAAAGACAATAAGGAACTAAACCTTGCAGCTGAATCGGGTCTATGCTCTTTTCTGGCTACCTAAAAAGTATTTTGGCAAAAGCCCAAGTTGGAGGTGGCTTTTATGTTAAATTCAAGTTGAACACAAACGTGGCTAATAAATATAATGAATGGACTGTCGCCCTTTTACAGGAAATACTACAGCTTCGTTAAAATAACAAAACCTACAACACAGGTTTGATTCATAAAGTGTCTAAATACAACCGCATCTCAAAACGTCGTAGAAAATCGAGTGACGCGAGAGTGCAGCTCATTTGAAGGAACCTTTTTGGAAGGCACTAAATCGTGAGAGACTATCAAGCAGGGTAGGACGGAAGGCGGAATATGGCAGAGATGTGAGCTATTGAAACTAATTCAGCGAGAGAGACAGTCACAGGCAGAGGAAGGGTTTCAGGAGTCTCGCCATTTTCCACTGCCAGAGGAAGGGCGTTTCAGACAACACGGACACATGCAGAGAAGAAGCAACCTCCCATTTATGGAAGGTTATTGCAACCCTTTTTTCCTCAAAATGTTTAAAAACAACTACCTCCTTGAGGGGAAATAATAATAATAATTCTCACGACGTTTCGACTGCAACACAAGCAATCGTCATCAGGTGTGAAATCCACAGCAAGAATTTTTTTTTTCAAATAATAATAATAATTCTCACGACGTTTCGACTGCAACACAAGCAATCATCATCAGGTGTGAAATCCACAGCAAGAATTTTTTTTTTCAAATTTTCTTGCTGTGGATTTCACACCTGATGATGATTGCTTGTGTTGCAGTCGAAACGTCGTGAGAATTATTATTATTATTATTTCCCTTCTACGTGACTTTACCGAAAGAACCAAGAATATGAATCCCTGCAGTTACGAAAGCTTTAAATCAAAATTTATACCTCCTTGAGGTGAACTACAATGAGCAACATTTTGAGAACTTAGTTCACTTGGTTTTACGTGAACAGTTTAATCAAACTGGCTGCAGTTAGTAAACTGGTTTCTTATTTCACTCGAAAAAGGCTTGTGTTGGGGTAATTCTAGAGCCAACTGCGGATAATTATCTTCTGACTGGCATCCAGATGCTCCTGTCTGTCTCCTCACATTGATTCATTATTTAAGTAAAACGACATCATGTGCAATGTGTTGCATACAAATAACATGCAGCCCTTTTCCAACCAACTGCTAGAGGATGGACTCCCTACGTCATGGGTATTGTTTGACCATACTTCACCATGCTGGTCATTGTGGGTATGTGAAGTGGGTGGGGGGGGGCAAGGCCCAGGACAGCTCAGATATCATTCCGCACCGATGTTAGCCCTATCTGGGAGTTTAACTTAAGTGGCCAGGTTCATAGCAGAGTACTGTAACATGAACCATGTCACCCATCACTGCACCCCATTATACTATTTATCCCCCAGCACATATTATGTGTGGGTGACAGGATGATATTGCCTCCCTTGGATATTGATAAGGGTTGTGGGTTTTTTGCTGGAATATAACTGAAAGCCATGGCAAGGCTGTACTAAGGATGTAATAAAAATGACTCTTCACTGCTGCATTGTACCAAAGTACGCTACTTTTTGTGTTAATGAGTCACTTGTTCACCAGATCTAAAACATACAGCTAAACATACAGTTTAACTGTAACCTGGCTCTCCGGCCTTGCCATAATCACGAAATAACGATAATTGATAATTGGCTTAGCTGAATCTATAATGCCAGGTATTTTGCTCGAAACAGAAAAAGAAAAACGTTCACCAATTACCAACTGGTAAAGCAGACGACACGGTGGAAAATATCCTGACAAAAAATACCCGCAGATTTTAAATGTCACAACATTTCCCAACTTGACGCACACATTTTGTTGGTGACGTTTGACCACGGGGAAATGAGCTGGTGGTAAGTTATCAGCGATTTAATCCACACTGGCAACACACCCCCAATTCAATTATCTCTACCTTCAGTGCTAGCCTTGACACAAACACAATTGTGTATTCACAGTTCATAACGGCTAAGCGTTGAAAGCCCAACCCAGGGAGGGGTCCCGGTGTTGCACAACTGCTTTCAGGAACCAATATTTGCCCTTAATGTTTGACCTGTAGTTTGACTGCTCCCCTCAACTTCAATTACTGTTTGGACACCCAGTAAAACACACAAACAGCCGCCTTCTTGCAAGCAGCTAGGTGCTGATCAAACGTGGTTTGAGCTTCTAAAGTTAAATGACACTTTACTGTGTCGTTAGCCCTGGCCTCAATTAAGCATCAACAAAGCACAATAAAGTATAGCTGAAGGGACAAATCAAATGGAAACATGTAAATTAACATTGGTAACACTGTGGCTCGTAATGCTTCAAAGTCTACCTCGAATTGAAGAGATGCACGCACTGCAGGCCAATGTGCAATGTTGTCACGGTCTTAGGGTAACCAGGTGCTTCTGGATGAAGGCCAGTATTTAAATAGCGACAACCGCCTTAAAATGCGAATTCCACAAAGAGAGTAAACGCATCGGCTCAACGGAATCGCCATTCAACACGAGCGGAGCTGCCCCTCCTGACGCATGCTCCACTCGCTCAGTCACAAAGACTCAACTGGCGCGTGGCGAACGGACCGCAGCAGGTTCACCGCCGTAAACCAAATTGAACGCTTTCTGAAAAAGATGAAACGCCCGCGCACTTTTGCACATCTAGAATCTGGGCTGAGCACGGCACCTGCTGACTGCGATTGCGGCAAGGGCGGCGGCGACATCGAGTCGTTCACAGGTGCGGTGGCGTCCGCGTGTTTTGTCCAGGGTGCGGCCTGTCCCCCGGAGCGAAGGTCACTTCCAGGCGACGGCGAAGCGGACCGTGGTTCCTCGTCCGCCTTCCTGTTGGACGCACCAGCAGCACCCGCCGTGGCCGCCGCCGTTGCCGCCGCCGTTGTCGCCGTCGTTTCCGCTGCGAGACACAGGTGAGGTTCGTCACCGCGCGGCGAGCGAGGAGAGGCGACGCGGCGTGAAGCCGCCGCCAACGTGGCCAGGGTGGCCGGCACCTGAGATGCGTCGGCCCCCGCCGACGGTCAGAGTGGTGTCCCGATCTGGTACAGTGGCCATGCCGCGTTCGTTAACCGTGCTTCGTGACCAAACACTAGGTGCCCATTCGGTGCATTGCTATCATTTGTATTGCACTCGGCAAATAACAATAAGTGATAACTTAACTCGTGGGAAAAATATATAAACATTATGCACCTCATATACTGTAGACACACATGGCATTAACACAGACGCTTTGTATGTTGTCGTCTACATACAAGGAGAGGTCAAGAGGTGTAGAAGCCGAGATACTAAAGCTCACCAAAATCATCTTGCGCTTATTTAGTGCTGCCTGTACCTGCTGTATTATTGACTTCATATGAATGCATTCAGGGGAGCGGTGGCGCAGTGGCGAGCACAGTGCGCCTACGAACGTCAGTAGCAATGCGAGTTCGATCCTCGTCCGTGGAAAACATCAGCGGTGAGCGAAATCTGTCCTGGTTCTGAGCACCGCCTTCAATATCCTGCACTTGCCCGCGTGGTGAATCACAACCAACACAGCAAGGGGAGGCCTTCACGCAGCAGTGGGTTGAAAAAAGGCTGTCTTATCATTATTATTATTAAGCGCATTGATGTAAGCAAATGATATTAAATGCATTGACGTCACAGGTTACAAATATATTACATGTAGAAAATACTTTCTTGAACCCTCATGACAGCTCCTTGTATGTACACAGGGACCATATATAATGAAGGTATATGTTGAAAGCAATGTTAACAAATGCTGTTAATGCAGAGTTATTTTGTGCCGCGTCGATTTTGGGGCCCACGCTGCCCAGTCACAGCGTCCACCGGACATTTCCCCAATTCGTCAATAAGCCTGTGTTATCTGCCACACACGCAATGTTAGTGCACGTACGTCGCACCGCGGCCGGTTAGGGCAAGCCAAGTTGCTGGGGCCTCTTCATAAGCCACGCATTGTTATGCCCATTGCTGTCAGTGGGACCGTTCCGCTTATCAGAGTAAAAACGACGTGAAAAACACGAGTTGATAGACGTGAACGAGGCACAGAAAGCCATCGGAGCTCGCCGTCAGCCAAGCAGGAGTCGCGTAGCCACTGCAAACCGAGAACCCCAGCCACCCCCCACACACACACAGATGAGTACACGCAGCACCAGCAGTGGCAGCACCAGCAGCAGCAGTGGCGGTCATGTGACAGACAGGTAAACTGCAGGACTCCCCACGGGGCTTCAGCCCCAAGCCACTGCCCGGCGAGTGTGAGTGACGGTGGGACAGCAAGCTAGCCGGGAAGCATTTAGTGATGCACACACCCCAGCATTTGAGTGAACCAAACCAGGTGGCCTTAGGTGAAAAAAAGAGACTCAATGGAAACTTACTAATAAATGCATAGCACCGTTTGTTGGGAGCTGCTGCGTTTAAAAGTCATTCATTTGCAGCCATGAATGGCGACATAACAAATGGATTTTTTTTACATTTCGACAGGAAAGATTCAAATAAGAAACAAAAACCTGGCAAAGGACAAAAGGGGTTATGGACTCAGGAAGGTTAGACACCGACGCCCACAGATGGGCCTCCACCCAGCAGCGAGCGACCCGGAACCCGGCAACGCGAGCTCGGCCCCATGCAACGCACGCTTATCTCCGCGCAGCACCCGGCACAGCATCCCAGCATGCAATAGGAGGGGCCCCCATGGCCGACCAATGAACGCACAAGAAAGGACAGGCAGAACGGAGAGACAGGACCACGGGGGGGGGGGGGGGGGGGGGCACATGCAAACGCACGTGCGTACACACGCGTGTGTGCACCGCTCACAGGCATAGTCCTGCCCCCCCCCCCCCCCGGCGTGCAGCCTCCAGCTGAGGCAAGAGCAACTCCATCGCTTCCAAAACACGGTGTCGTGATCACATCGAATCAAATCTAATAATTTTGTATTTGACCATTCGTAGAGCACAAAAGGCTATCACGAAGGCGCTATACGATTCACAAACGATGAGAGTCTGTGTAGTTTCACAGCAGAGGGCGTTGTTGCTTTGTGGCTTTACCCAATTCGGTGAATGTAAGGCAAGAATTGTATTCAACACTGTGAATAAAAATTCACCCATGGCCACTGTGCAGTTAGCCGATGGAATTTGTAAAGATGAAATCTAAAACGCAATGGAGTCTGCTCTTCTGCTGCTGACATTTACGGCACCGGGTGGAGGCGGTTGAACGCCATCGACGCACGTGCGCGGACAAGCGTGCGAGCTCAACGCGCACGCGCACACACACGCACACGTCAAAGCGGACGGCAAGGTACAGCGGGAGACGCGGACAGAGAAGGCTACCTCCGTTGGTCGCCCGCAACCATGCCATGACCGCGTGGTTCCGTGAAGACGTCATCTCTGTGGTCGAAGGGTGCAAGAACACAAGATTCAGATATGCATGCACGTTTGTATTTTGTGTGGGGTTTAGCAGAAAACCTGCCACACGTGTACAACGGGAGCAACATCTTGCACAAACTAAAGTCCCAGCGCATCTTCGTTCCAGTGGCTGTAAAGGGGATGGGTGGGGAGGGAGGGAGGCAAGCAGGCGTGTAGACCTTGGCTCAGAATCACGAGTCAAGAATGCGGTCAACACAGTGGGCACGCTGGCGAATGTGGAACGGTGAACCTGCCAATCATTTGCAACCAGCAATGTGCAAGATTCACAACACCTCTAACCACATTATTTCAGCCTCATGACAAACGCGCAAATATGAATTCAGAAACCAATGTATAAAGCACAATGCAATAATATGTCCAAAGAGTGGAGAATTTCTGGAAATGGGGCTATATGGCATGTGGTTTTATATCCGACAGTAATAATTCCATAAGGGGCTGCATATACATTTCCTCTTCACTGTGATGAGCCAAGGACATCTGTGTGTGTGTGTGAGAATTGAGCCAAATAGGATATGCAACGAACCTATAACTAAGTCTCACTGTTCTCCAAAAGTGAATACTTGGCCCGGAGCTCTGAATAAAAAGTTCCTAAAGCTGTCAGCACCTGTGATTTCTGGCTAACCCCGAGCATACGGCGTACGCCAATGTGCAGCCACAGTAGAACAAAGAAAACCCTCACAATTTCTTGTGCAGCTTTTGTGATATTTACACAAGTTGTGAATTTATGAATTTACTTGTCAGATGGTATGCACACATTGGCATGGAAAAGTATATAATTTATTCACTTTAAACTCAACTGGCAAACTTTTCAAGAAATAATTTAGCTTGTATATACATTTTTAAAAATTACCGCTCCAAAGTTTGAAAAACGTCAAAGTGAGCATTGAGCACTTCCTGTTTATCTCCAGTGGTGGACCTCAGCCAACTGTGAAAATGTCCACATTCCTATGACGGGGACCACTCTTCATCAAGAAACCGTCTTCTGTCCTGAGGTCCATCAAGCAGTGCGGCCTCACCAGGTGGTGCTTACGTTACAGACCCTGGAGAGGTGATCGACTGAGTAAATAACGGCGGGCCGCACTTAAAAATAATGGTGGAGTGTTTGTGTAAGAGTTTCTATTTGTCCAGGGACTGCGTTTATGGTGCCTTAAGTCGTTGTGGATTCGCAGCGTGTGCGCACGCCCACAGTACCTTCTGCCACGGTGGCGGCAGTAGGCGATGCCTGCAAGGACCCCGGGATGGGCGGCTTTGCGGACAAAGGTGCCTGAACATCTAGCACTGGTGTCGGCTTCGCCTTATCCCTTAGCTTCAGTCGGGAAACTTTGTTCGGCAGCAAAGGGGGCGTGGGGTGGAGAGGGTTAACGTACCAGACCGAGGAATGGTAAGAGGGGAAATAAGGGATGTATGGGAGGAAGGAAGGGGAGGGCAGGGTAGGTAGGAGAGGGAGAAATGAGAGAGAGACAGAGAGACAGAGACGGTAAACATTCACATCAAGAGAAGCACAGCAGAAAATGTTTAGAATAAGACTCCCCTCAACATGAACCGTTGCGTTAGAAAGAGACTGCAGAAATGTGGCCTGACAATCAGAGACTCGCAAAGGACACTGCAAGATTAACAGAAATAGAAGTGAGCTTGGCAAAGAGATTGCGAGCAGTTTCATCGTGGAAAGTCAAACATCAAAGCTGCCGTAGTTGCATCTGCATGCCGACTTGATTCTGTGTTCCCCCACTCCAACCCCACGTGCTTAATCGTGAACACTCCCAAGGCAACTCGCAAAGACTCATGTTAGTCACCCAACACCTACAACGTTAGTCACCCAACACCTTCAACGTTAGTCACCCAACACCTTGAACGGCAGCCACGTTAATGGTTATACAAAGGCACCAACAAACTGTTTCCTGTGAACTCTCAATCCAAACTTTTATTACGGTCAGTATTACTCATGCCTGTATTTATTTCTTTGTTTAAACTCAGTCATAGTGTGAGGGAGTGTTGTGTGCGATACTGCTGTCAACGCATCTTCATTTTGGGCAAAGGTGCTCACCCCCCACCCCCCAGCCTGGCTCGTCAGCTGTGTCTCATTCGGTTACGAGGTGGCACACATCAAGCCACCAGCCAATCCATTTTCACAGCGTTCTACTGAATGGTCCTTTTATTTGCCCGTTGAAAACAAATGGCAGCTGAGAGCACAGCAGCCGGCCCCAAGAAGAAGAAGAAGAACAAAAAGAAACCACGAGCTGAGCAACCTCCTGCCAAAATGAAGCCATGTTGTCTAAGCAGTTTATGACTGAGGTTACGTGGGCTGGACTGGGAGCACACCGTGAGACACGCGGACACACGCTAACTCTGCCAGTGGGTGCAGCTAGGCCAGAGCCCAACACCATAGGAGAGGAGAAGGAGGGTGTGAGGTGGGATCATGTTGAACAGAGATATCGGAAAAGATTTGCCACTCGCTCCCTTAAGTACAGAAAGTGAGGCTCGTGCATGGCATTACCTAAGCTTTGCATGTACACGAGCACAACTTATTAGGTTGGCTGGTGTGGCTGAAAGGATGTGGAGACTGTTTGGTTTAATTGCTTTTATATGCAAGTGATGATGGAAATTTGAATCAACCTTCCTCTCCACTTTCTCCCCTCCAACATAATCGTCACCCCCCCTCCTTGGTTATGCACTCCTCCATCCCCACCACTAGTTGGTGAAGGTCGAGTCATTATTGGGGAGTGCTTCTTGCCGGCGTCACACAGGGCTGGTGACGCTTTGTGTGTCACCATCACACCATGCCCAACAGCGGTACCTGCACTGGTTAGGTCACGCTCAGGGCTCTGCAGACACCACCACCGGCCGGATTGCAACTCCCTCTCCCAGGGGTAATACTCTCCCTCTGGGAAAAGTGGGCAAAACACGGCCGAAAATGCTTTGACTGATGGGCGGATGGGCAGAGGGACAGACGAATGGAAGGACAAGACAGAAAGACGAACGGACGGAAAGACAGACGGATGGAAATTCCAGTTGGGTGGGCATAAATACTGATGGATGGACAGGACGGAAAGACCGTGCACTCATGCATGAGACCGACTTGTGAGCCCTGTCGATACAGTGAGTGGCCTCACTGGCCCTGCCGACTGCTCATAGGCCTCGGATAAGCCTGTCGAACCATACCCACTTACTCAGAATTCCCTGTCCTTTGAGCCATACATGAAGCCAAAATGTGATCATCTGGAACAAAACTCAGATTTTTACAAAAGCTACGGGGCACCGAATCAGCATTTCTGGGACTGTCTCAAGCAAACCATGGACCTTTTGGTAGCCTTACACTAATACGCCTTCACAAAAGCTGCATCGGCAAAGGGCCTTGCCAATGTCACAGCGAGCACAAGGTCCTGCGTGGCACGCAATGGGACCAGGAGGCAATGAGTTGGTTTCCTGGCACTGGCGCTTGGGGCTGCAGCTATTGTTTGCCTAGGAAATGAGGCTGATTGTCCGTAAACACATCTCCACATTCCTCACATCCTATTCTATAGCAGCATGTAGATGGAAAATCCATTAACTTGTCCAACGTGCATGGGTGTCCCTAAGGTGTCTGGCTATTAATGATGCATCTCAGGGTGTACAATGTGTTCACCACTAATGTTCCAGTTGATTACAAATCATTAATAGATAGGCTATTAATTTGTTTTTGACACATCAATATTTATCTTTTATATAGTAGAATAAATATGAGGTAACTACTTAATTTTTTAAATAAATGACAGACGAATCAATGCATCACCCAAAATGGATGAGACTTCAGCAATATAAAGCGTATAGACTGTTCAATACATCGCTCAGTAATATGGCACATACATCCTGTACTTAAGTATATTGTAAAACTATGCAGGTGGATATATATATATAACAATTAGCCCCATGTTTAGGGATTAAATAAAAATTCAACATCAACCATTGTCTATCCACTGCCCTGCCAGAATCCACATCGCTCCTGCACATCAACTCACATCGCTCCATCTCCACTGGGGTTGTCCTTGGGTCATGCTTTCTCCTTTGTCTGCCGTGGCATCACCAGTCGCCCTCATCGGCCATCATCCTGCCCAAGCCTACTTTTCCTCAATGTCAATATGATATGTCATCTCTCATTTAGTTTTCTGCCCCGATCCGGATTTATGTCTCTCAGTATAATTCCAAGCACACATCTCTCGCGGTTTCTCCACACCCTTCTCAGCTTTGTATAAAGTTCTTTGTGAGTGTCCAGGCTTCTGGTTCATCAATTATAGCTGGATCTGTGCAATGTTTAAAAACGTTTCCCCTCAGGCACAACGGGATGCTACTTTTATAATTAAATGTTCCCAAAGATACTCTTCCTTCTATTCCTGTTTCATAATTTATTTCATCATCTCGATCTCAACCTTCTTTCACTTAACTTCTAAGTATATATCTTACTGTGGATTCCAGTTGTATCCATCCAACAATTATATTGATTCGTAAACTGGTTGTAACGTAAATGAGTTTTTTACAATATTGATTTGTAAGGCTCTTCAATAATTTCCTCTCATTAATGTTCGTTATTTGTTATAACGACTATTTCTTCAGCAAAACAGAGTTGACTAAAACCTTTTCCATTCATCAAACTTAAATTACATTGCCTATATTGAGCCAGGGGAATTAATTCCTCAAATCGTCTTCTGGACATTCTCACAGTAAATAGGTCTCACCGAAGGTATCCGCTACCAGTTTCTCGCAGCAAGCATCGTAAATTACGCTCGGACGCAATTCCACTAATCTCCTTTCCCTGTTATCGGTGGACATAAATTAGCAGAAGGCTTTAGCATTCCAGGACAACCGCCCTCCCATAGTCATTACTAGGCTGCTGGGAAGACAGCTACAGGCAGCCAGACAGGCACACACAATTGTCCGTCATCAGTTACCGCATGCAGCTGGGGGCACTGGGGTAGAGGTCAGCTCTAGGGGTCACAGTTCATATCGAGAGCTTTGTGACTGCTGGCTCAACATTTCATTTATATATCTATCTATTTACTTGCGACACAACAGAAACAATGCTCACGTTCCTTACGATGTTTGGGTATGAAAGGTCCCATGATATTTGGGTGTTAACTTTGTAGAACATATGACACGCGTGTATTTTACATGCATGCGCAATGTGTGGCTAAAATGTTGTTAGCAACTTAGCATGGGCACCATACGTAAGTACCATGAACATTAATTTTCATTTAATCACTGAAGAAAGCTCCACATGGCCTAATTAAATTATACGAAAAAAATTCAGCGATTAAATTATCGATTTAAAGCTTTCGTGACTGCAGGGATTCATCTTCTTGGTTCTTTCGGTAAAGTCACGTAGAAGGGACTTTACCGAAAGAACCAAGAAGATTAAATTATCCTCGCTTTCCCTTCAAAAGAGATATCTCTGAAAAAAGAAACGCAACAAAATAAAATGTGGAGCCGTCAAACTTCAGCATGGAAGGCGGTGGGAGAACAACACGGGCGACGAGCCGGCTGAATCAACTGAGGAAAAATTGTGTAAAACCTTGCACTTGTGACTGTTACTGTCCTCCTCCGTTTAAAACTCCAGATAAGCAATGCCATTAAAATCCCCTTTAACGATCAAAAATACTTTTCCCAGGCTACGTTACGATCCTCTCTCATACTTATCTGACAATTGTAAATATATATACTATAACTGTTAAAGAGCCACTGCGGCTTAAATGAGATCTGTGTGTGTGTGTGTTCACAATACTGCCGGGCACTCATCCTGCTTAACGGTGAATCTTAGTGAACTCCAACTAAACCCAGGTCAAGAGGTATTTCAGCAGAACACTGCGTGGAGACGATGATCCATGTGGCAAAAAACACAAATCGAGTAAACAAATTCAACTCATTTACAAACGCAAACTGCAAAAAAATCCCCGCGTCACTTTTTTTCTCAATTGAGCAAAGTCGTCCGAAGCGCTCTGACAGCGGTGGAGGTTTTTTAAATCCTTTATATTAAGTTCGCTTGCTTGCACGCTTACGACCGTGCAAAATTTTCGGACGTTTTTTAACCCACTTCCCGTGATCCAATCGAGCTGACATTTTGCACACAGACTCGTGCGTGACAATGAATGTTCAAGAAAAAAAATTTTCCCAAAATTTTACACTTTTTAGGACAAAAATATTATATTTAATTACCAATTGCTTAATGGTGCAATGCAATCATCTGACCCATAGGTGGCAGCCATATCAAGCCAGAGTACGAGAGGACTTTAGACGCCACGCATATAAAGGATTTATAGTGAAAAACTTTGTTTTTACGGGTTATACTTGTTAGGTCCCATTTGTTGCGCGTATCCTGATGAGAACGCTCGGCCTGGGGGGGGGGGGGGGGGAATGGCATAAACCCCCGCAGGCCATTTCCTGCTCTCTCCTCAAAAAGATTTTCCCTTCAGCAGGTGCCATTTTGGCCACAGTGACATATATTTGTCACAGAGCAAAAGAACTGCACAACTGTTCAATGCAGACTCGTCGTTCTGGAGCATTGTGCACAATGAAATGTGGAAGAAAACTTTCAGCGGTGTTTGTATATTTCGATTTAAAGCTTTCGTGACTGCAGGGATTCATCTTCTTGGTTCTTTCGGTAAAGTCACGTAGAAGGGAAATAATAATAATAAAATTAAACATAATAAAATTCTCACGACGTTTCGGCTGCTTGCGTTGTGGCCGAAACGTCGTGAGAATTATTTTATTATGTTTTATTTTATTTTATTACTTCCCTTCTACGTGACTTTACCGAAAGAACCAAGGTGTTTGTAGAATGAGCCTGACTGCTGATGAGACCCAAAAATGTCAAAATTGGGCCATAGTTTGATTGTTTAATTAGTGATCAATAATATTGGTCTGGAAGGAACAATGACTGATGGAATTAAAAAGATTGTATGTGAACAAGTGCTTGTATCACAGCTGAAAATTACTGAAATAAAGGCTCTGTCCTTGCGGATGATCTAAGAATACGCGATTAGTCTGTCACACTGAATGTCCGGTCTGGGAACATTTCTCGTTAAAACAAAAAAATTTCACTGGGAACAATGAAACTCATTAAAGCTCAACGGATGAGAATGCACTGCTTGTTCAGGCACGTTCACGTATGTGAAGGATTGTATTACAACTGCATGGCTGGTTACGATATCTAAAGGAGAAAAATGTAGATATTCTAACCAGATCTCGCGTTTAATCTCTGAGGGATGCAAAATAATAAAAATATATAACAATGATAAATATCGAACTGATGTGAAATGTTTAAAAGTCATTGAGAACTATGCATCCAAGGCAAGCCTTAATTCACCATAACTTGAGAATTTACAACCTGGCCGAGATAGATTGCAGTGTGGGCAATCGTCTGCATGTTAAAGCCATCCAAGCAAGATACATCGGCACATTCCGCCATGGCTCGCAAGGAATGCTACTGGCAGAGTGAACCGTTTTTTCCACGTGATATGCCACTCGAGTTGGAACTGGAATCGAATACATTTGTTTATCCGCAATGTTAATCTCACTCGTATAAATATTATTGAAGCCGAATGATATTCTTTGCCGCTGCAAATACGATCTTTGGTATTTGCTACAGAGCTTCATGGTAACAATGTGGCAAGTTTCTTAAAGCCCTTCCTCTCGTCTGTCCACAAAGCAGTACAAATGGGCACACAACAGTTAGATTCGATCGGCAGGTGGTCGCGTGTGGTGGTGTGAAATGTGGCAACTCCCACCATCTTCCAAGACATCTGGCCTATGTGGAAGAGTAGGCCAAATATACCCTCTGGAAGGACTCTCTAGAACTCCCACTGGTGAAGGCCCTTCTGCCCAGCAGTGGCATGAACTAGCAAATGCAGGGCTGTATCTTTACCTTTTATCACTGTAAAACTACTTCTGTTGCATGTATTTTTTAAGTAAAACTTTTGAAATGTTAAATGTTTTGTCATTTTATCATATAATACATCCTATAGTAGTAGAAATAAAAAAAAATTGGCAACATTTTTAACAAGGACAGGAAATAATTCATCCCAGCGAACTGGGCAGGTACAATTCCTATTTAGTCTTTCAATTCTAATGTTGACATTTCACTTGATGTAGATCACTTGATGCAACTTAAAAGTGTTCCAATTTATGAAGAAATCTTTTTAACGACCACGAAAAATGATTTACGAGCAACATCTCACAATAAGGTCATGAGGTGGGGAACAAAAATGTCACCAAAGATGCTCCACTGGAGCCCCCTGTTATGCTGTCCAGCTCGGTCTAAACATTTTGAGCAAGGCTCAACTTTTGCATAACATCAACATTAAAGCTTGCCAACAAAACAACTCGGTGAGAGCTGGGACCCCATTGCACTGACATCACGTAATGAAGTGAGACCTGACCGTAAGCCAAGAGTGCGCCGTGCTTCTAAGCATTAACCGGTAACTCCTCCAAATCCCACCCGGGTTTCCCTTACCATCGCTCGATTCGTCCTCCTCATCTCCCTCCTCTTCTTCCTCCTCCTCCTCCTCGTCGTCGTCGTACTCCTCATCTCCGTCCTCGTAACCGTCCACCAGCCCCAGCGCAATCGCCTCACCGGCCTCGGCTAGATTTCGCGCCTCTTCCTCCGCGAGCCGCTGGGCCTCGCGCTCCGCCTCCTCCGCTGTGCGTCCCCGCAGGATCTCGTGCCGCTTCACAGCCTCCTTCCACGGCATGCCGCCCAGGTCCGACCCAGAATCATCGTCGCTAAAACCCTCCTCTTCCGCCTCTTCTTCCTCCTCCTCCTCCTCCTGATCCTCCGTCTCCACACTCAACCGCAGACACCTCTCTCTCGAGTTTGAGGGCTCCAAGGCTCCACCATTGGGCTTTGGTTCAGCGGAACCCCCAGCCACTGCTGTGCCATTCGCCTCCGAGGGAGGCTTCGCGGCATCGTTCTCCACCGAGGTAGCCGGTGGCACCGCTCTCTCCCGTGCCGCGTCGGCCCACACGCCGGCGGTCGGGGAGGTGGGGCCTTGTTTTGTCATCTCCCTCCATCGATCGTCGGTGTAACTGGCGGCGGTGGCGGCGGTGGTGGCCGCCGTCGGGAACCCGCCACCCCACGGGCCGGCCGCCTCATCTGATGGCGCCACGCGGACGTCAACCAAGGGATTCGCCTTCCACTCGAGGGGCTCAGGCGAGGGGGTGCGGTCCAGCCGTGGGGGGCTACTCCACGCCGAGCCGCGGGCTGGGCCGGCGGACGCTCCCAGCGGCACGTCATCGACATCTTCGTCGCAGTCCGGCTCTCCCCCCGACAGGTCTGAATCGGAGCTGAGGGGAGAGGAGATCACCAAGTCATGGTGAGTGGTCAGTGTCACTCATTCGTTTATAGTCATTAGTGTTCATATTCAGGTATTAATGTCATGTTTTCCTCTTCTTCTCTCACAATTTTACTCAACTTGTGTTACTTAAACTGCATCAGAGATGGTTTTGCGAAAGAAGATAATAAATAACTACTTCTGAGACCTCTTATCCACACTTGTGGTGATGCACCGTCCCACTTGCCCTGATGTAGAGGTGTTCATCACATGGCAGTCAAGCTGACGTTTTCGTTTTGAACATTCAGAGGAAATATCCAAATAAGATGAAAACCCATATTGAATCTGATGGTTTTTCCCAAGCAAACACTGGTGATGGAGATGAGACCATCAACTCCTTACAACGTGAGAACCCAGTTTCATGACGGGCGACTGCCCGGGTTCGAACTTGGGAACTCAGCATTGCCATCTCAGTAATCTGACTCTTGAAAAACCTGGCCAGCACTCTGAGATGTTTTCAAATGTATACAGAAATGTTTTACCTAATCCAGGTGTCAGCTTTACTGTAATACTGCATGTAAACTTGCTTTGACTTCACATTTCTGACGAAACGGATTGTTTTAACAGGTGGCCGACTGCCGGTTCGAGCTTTGCGATAAAAAAAAAGGAAGGGGGTTTAGTTTTAATATCAGGGCGCAGGTGTGAACATAACAGCGCAGGTGCTTGTGTTGGCAGTGCTACAGTAAAACATGTTTTCTGTCCAAAAAACAACGAAGATCTTCAACAAAAATCAGTGATGGCTCTCTTCCATGCTTTTAACAAATCCATTTTATAAACAATGATTTTCTAGCGAGCGCCGAAAGCCGCAAATATTTTCTCAAGGTTGGAAGAGACACTGATCCTCCATCATCATCTTAAGCCCCCAAAACACCCACTCCCTCCACAAGCTCCTGGCCTTCCTCTCTCCTAACTCATTCAACTATTGGGATTCGTAATATGTATATAACCACGGTAATTATGGTGCCCCAGCTTCGGCTCCGAGATGCTATCTTTACCAACTACGTTTTCCACTGAAGATAAAATCAGAAGCCGACAAAAGTAACGACGGCTGGCTAAGTGAGCCTTAAAGGTGTGGTTAAATAAGGGCTTGGTCATAATCATCTCTATCAGATGTGTGCGAACGTCGTGTGTGCGTGTGTGCTTTACAGCCTGATCCACTGCTGGATGACGGGCTGCTCCATACCATGTCGGTTGGCCAGTGTGGGATGGGAGGGGGGGGAGCTGGAGGGCCCATGACTGGTTCAGATACCACCTACCACTGGTGTACGTTATTGACGGCCATAAATCAAACACAGGTCGCCCGATCCATAACGCAGTGTGTGCAAACCATTGCGCCAACGTTGTGTATACATATGTAATAATGACGATAGTGATGCTTGCAAATATATATATTGCTTAAGTTCCTCAGCAACTTAAAGGGTGATACGTTTCTAAAAGCTCTGCAAAAAATTACATAAAAATTACAGGGACATTTTATTTAAAGCCTCTATGCATCTTCCTCCAATCTCAAAATTCCAAGCAATCATTCAACACTCTCCTCTGTAAGATAAGGAGCTGTCCCTGCCACAGAATCAACTGAGTCATTCGAAATCAGTGGGGTAGTTAGAAATGGACCACCCAGTGTGTGTGTGTGTGGGATAAAGGAAGAACGGTTGAGGGGACTACAAATGTGTTGCTGTGATGCAATCAGACGGTACAGTTAATATCAAAAGTGCTCCATCAAATCTCTTCCCGTGCAACAGGAGCATACCGCCCTTGAACAGAATATCTGGCACAATCGGAGCAAAGTTTTATCACTTCAAAGTTGCGGGCTTTGCTGCCAAAGAAGCATGTGTTTTGCAGGGTTTTTTTGGAAGAGCCAATTTTTTTCGCACCAGGTCCAACGTAATGCATGGGAACAGAATGTTAAAACTTTATACGGTGTCAAGTGAACTCGGACAGAAAACAGTGCCAAACACGAATGCCTCCAAGCATACGGTTCTCATCAGGAATAAAAGTGCGTGTTTTTTTAACGCTGTTGGCGTAATTCACACTTGATGAGCACAAAAAACCGCTCGAGTGATGTAGAGCTCTTAATGGCAACGACAAAAAAGAACAATGATTTCAATGTGTGTGATTGACAAAAAAGCTAAATAATGTAATACAAACTAGATACGTTTCTTTTCAATAACTCTTAAAAGGAATGAATGCTTATAATAGTTTGATGTTTAGAGAAATGGCACTTTCTTCATAGCAGTATGGTCATTGCCATGGTTATGAAAAATGGCCGATGCCTGAAACTTCGCCTGTTATATATGTTATCCTTTTAGGGCAGTGTTATTTACGAATGTTCAGTTTTTATTGTTTTTTGTGCTTGCACGCCACTGTCAACAGAGCAGTATTGCCAAAAATATTCATGAATATGCACGTGATTCGAAAAGTAATTCCAAATGGACATTCATTCCACGTTATACTGGTTAAACTTTATTTTAAAAGGACTGTTTCTCAATTATGTGTCCAAGAATGTTTAATTTAACACTCTAGAAAAATCTAAAAAATAAATATCATTCAAGTTATTATAATTGGAAAATAGCTCTTCCTGCAATTTAACAACCTAATGCTAAAACTGAACTGCAATTAAGAAAAGCTGGGCAAGCCAGTGCTAAGAGAGAGCCCCTTTAAACTTTGAAAGGAAAGGAATTTCAAAACCCGATACAAAGCATGGTTGGCAATGATTTTGTGGAGATTCTAAACAGCAACCTACATAAACTTCTGCAGCATATAAGCCAATGCATTAAAGTGTAATACAACCTCTCATTTTGCGTCACAATTCTTCTGATGGATTACATATTACTACTTCTTGGTTCTTTCGGTAAAGTCACGTAGAAGGGAAATAATAAAATAATAAAAATAAAACATAAAATATTATGTTTTATAATAAAATAATAAAAATAAAACATAATAAAAGATGTTTTAATTTTATTATTTTATTATTTCCCTTCTACGTGACTTTACCGAAAGAACCAAGAAGATGAATCCCTGCAGTCACGAAAGCTTTAAATCGAAATTTACATATTACTAATTAATCTTCGATTAGCACGGCTGGTTATGTACGGTGCGTAAGAAGTTCAACATATACACATACATACTTTCCTGTGAAAAAATGGTCAAATCCTATGGTGAGTTTGTGGTAATGTTCCTGTTATGCAAGAAATTACATGTTAAAATTCTAAATAATCATTCGCAGCCCTCTGTCAATCCACTGCCGCTAGATAAAGGTCTCTCCACATTGCTCGTGGGGGTTGTTTGACCATACTTCACCAAGCCCATCGGTGTCTGTTGGGTGAGAGGGAGGCCCAGGACTGGTTCAGATAATCACACACCACTTATGTGAGCCTTAGCCAGAAATCGAACTCAGGTTCCTTACTTTCATACTGCAGTGCACTAACCACTGCACCACCACTCCAAAGCAAACCCACACCAAGCCATTCCATATACGAGCACACACCACAAACTTTAATTGGTGTTGCTATATATAGACAATAAGCAGGAAAGAATGCGTATTAAGTCATGGAAAGACAGCACATTCGTTGGAGCACGATGAGATAAAGATGACGCACTAATAGTTTGTTTACTCCCAGGTGGAATCATTTTCTCTTCCCATTTCCCACACCCGTTCTAGATCTGGTGCTCAGATTGGCTACAAGTCCCTCCTTGGTACGAGAGTTTGAATGAGAAAAGGTTTGCCCAAAGCGAGTCGGCACATCAGGTAGCATGCTGTGACAAGTAAGTGGGATGTGATTCTTTTGTATTTCAGCAGGTAGCATTACTGTGCAATGTCAGGATGACTTAAAGTAACGTAATTTTCTTAGGCTTTCAAGCAGATTCATTTGTTTGAGATCCTGGCCTTAAGTGTGTTATATATACACACACACACAAAGTGTGGCAATACTTGAATTAATGTGATGTCTGGTTTCTTGTTACTAATAAAATAGGAATGTGTGTGTGCTTTTGAAACATTTAAGTAGAATTGTGAAATTCTGTTTGGTATTGCTAGAATAAACCAAATTTGAAGACAATGTAAATTTCATCTAAAAACGAAATAAAGTAACTGATTGCGTTGTGTTGGTATTGATGATGGTGCTAATGATCGCCGATGATGATAAATGTTCTGTAAATCTTAATTCTAGAATAACTTCTAAATTAAGGTAACTGGAACCTGTTCTAATGCAGTCACCATTTGTGTATTTGAGACTCGCTGTGCCTTTTTAATCCTGTATCAAGTGACATTAAACGTCGCAACAATTGCTCCTGTGCTTTCCATAGCTTGCGTTATATGTTGAATTTTGATCAAGTGTGCTGGATAACAATTATTAGTATTGTTGAGCAAATAAAGAGCTCGATTCGCATTTTGACAAAGTTGCTAAAAAACGCTCATGCCTCGTCGATTATAGACGCATTGTTGGTCATGGAGACATTGGCTCATTTTTGCAAAAAATAATCAAAAGCAAATGTACATTTTTCAGTATGTGATTCAGGCCCTAAAGTGGACGGTGCGTTTATTTTCATAATGCATATTTGCAAACATAGTGGTGACACTTTAAATTGGTGCAATGACCAGCATAGCATTAACAGTATGTACCTACATATCATCAAGTGTGATTGGACAGTGCAACTGCAGAGGAGACTTCAGAAGTACGTGTGCTTTATTGCCCTGACCGACTCAGCCTTAAACGAGTACAGTACCTGGTGCGATGTGTAAACATCAGCATAGGATAGACAAAGGCGGGCAGGCACAGTGGCAGCCACACAACCCCCTCGTATGCCGTGTCAGCTCAATATATGCTCGCAAACAGCACTTGTCCCAAAAATAGTATGCAGGATACACAGGGGATTTTCATCTTTGGCTTTGCGGGTTCAGAACATTCCTGCAATTGGAGGCTGTGAGTGTAGAGGAGAGGTAAGGAGCGCGGGTGCTTAGTGAGTAAGGAGCATATAGCGGCGTTCCTGGGGCGAGCATTGTGGTTGCGGCCGTGCCCACCCCACCTGCTCTCTTCGTCTCCGAGACCCAAACCCATGTCGGCGTAGCGCTCCAGCGTCCCGCTCAGGTTGTGCTGTGCCAGCGTCTCCTCGGGCACCTCCACCAGCTCCACGAGCCGTGCCGACAGTCGCCCGCTCTCCAGCTCGATGCGTTCGGGCGTCACCCACGTGCGCTTGGGCACGCTGCCACCGCCACCGGTGCTGCTGCTACTACCGCCAGCGGCGTCGTCCTCCTCCAATGCTGCCGTTGCCGCTGCGCCCGCTGGCTGGAGCGCCGATGCGCCTGCGGTGCCCGCGCTGGAAACGCTGGCGAGTGCTGCCATCGCTGCGGAATGCAGACACACGGGGGGGACAAGGGGCGACGGAGCGCGAGTTAGAAACGAGCATCGATTGAGATCGGCAAGAGAGCCACCCGTTTTACGGCGCAGACGGAGATGAATTCTCAGCATCGTGATTGTGGAATCGAGTTGAGTGATGCTCACTTTAGCTAATGGGAAGTCACTTTTAACAGCCAGTAAATTGGGTAAAGAGTTACGATGGCAGTAAAGTACAGCTGTCACTTTTATTAATTGTTTTTAAGAAGTTGATGTACAAGAAACTTCGTCAAGAGACTTCATCAAACTTGACCCGCTTTAGCTTTATAGCTCATCGGATAAATAAATATTCTGATCAATTCTTAACTTATCAAAAGTGACAGCTGTTGTTACAAGTGAGAGTAATCTAATAAACAGAACAATTAACGTGTTTCTTATAATGAAAAACACAAGACAGGTAAGTGATTTACACAATGAGATTGCGATACACAGCACTGTTGTTGAACACAATCCCACATTTGAAGAGACGCCTAACTGATAATGTAAACACAACAAAGTTATACCTAGGCAGAGGTCATTGGCTTAGTTATTCAACATTTATAACACCCAGCAATAAATGTCACGAATGTGCAGGAAACATACAACTCTTATACATGGTTGAAAGCAATGTACACAATTTTGTTCAATGTCTTGACATTATGAGATGCATTTTACCATTTGTTATTCAAACCCATCATGACACAACACTTGCATTATTGAAGAATAAAACAACAATTGTAGCATGAGGCATGAATTAGCACAGTTGGCTGCGTATGACGCGAAGGAAGTTCAACATACATTCATACGAATTATGAAATTAAACTTGGAAAATATTTTAGGAATTTGATTTTGTGGTTCAAACAAAGAAGCGTAACTTCGTTGTCACCACAAGCCTGAAGTAAAAACATCTGTATTATTCATGCGTCAGAGGGAAACGTGATCCAGACACGCGAGACCAATTTTCAGTTTTTTCTGAACGCAAGCGGACACCGATTTGCATCAGAATGCCCGAGTTCTAATTTCTCCCCTTCAATTGCAAACACATCCTACAACCTCCAGAACCCGCTCTCTCTCTCGCTCTCCTTGCTTGCTTGCTTGCTTTCATCAGAAGAGAAACCAGCAAGGCAGAGGTTTAACATCAAGGTGAGCTTACTTGTTTATCCACTTCACAGAAAACACACGCAGAGCCGACTCAATGCCCGCGAAGCCCCACGCACTTACTCTGGCCCATGATTGAAAAATGGGGAATACATGGTAGTAGTTTTTTTTATCTATCTGTCAAACATTCGTTTGATACAGGCCAAGCCAGAATGAGTGGTCTGGCATAGCTGGGGGTCCCCATTCAATGCGCGTCGTATGCTTGTGGTTGGAACAACTACAAGCACGGGGTCATTGTTATCTCTGATTTGGATTGAGACGCTGCTTGATCCTTTAGCTTCACAACATGAGTCCTTTGCAGGGCGTCATTGACAAAAGCACATGAGATCATTTCACTGGTATTAAGCACTGCCCTCCTTGCCAATACATTCAAACGTTGCTCTCCTATGTGACTATAAAAGGACAAATTTCTCTCACCCCAATAGCCCGAAACGTATTGACCAAGGTGGTGGCGTGAGTCAGTGAAGCACGGTGCATTCACGCATAGAAAGGAATGTGTTGTTTATTTATATTTTAACACCAAAAGGCAAAATATACTATGGGTGTTTTGTTTAATTTCATTTGGATACAAATACTGGAATTATAATAGGTGAGTTGCAATTTATTTTACAAGGATGAACTCTGAAACGTATAAAATGGTAATAGAAATATAATTCCACGTGAACACTGGGTCTCATTGCAGCACGAACATGCTTTTCGTTGATTTAAAGCTTTCGTGACTGCAGGGATTCATATTATTGGCTCTTTCGGTAAAGTCACGTAGAAGGGAAATAATAAAATAATATTGATATAAAACAATTGCAGTCGAAACGTCGGGAGAATTTTTATTTTTTATATTAATATTATTTTATTATTTCCCTTCTACGTGACTTTACCGAAAGAACCAAGAATATGCTTTCGTTATTGATGCTTTTACAGACGCTGAGACAATGACAATGCAGAGACAACCCTGAAATTATGACCATTTCAAATGTCAAGGGTCCTAGTTTAAAGCCTCGAAAATCATCGAGCCAGCAGACACGTCAGTCACGCGGCAACACACGCACACCTCCATCAAAGTCTACGGGGGATATGGTCGGAAATGAGCAACATACCACACGCATTCGTTCAAAATGACGCAAACGCACAGCCTCGACCGTCTTGCCGCCTGCTTACTATCCAGCCACTCGCTCTGCGGGACACGAGGGCAGGGAAGTGGTTGCACCTGACTCCCGAGTGAGACCACCTCTCACGGTCGTGGCCCAAGACAATGAGCTAGGATTTATTCATCAGCCGACTTGGACAGAGTCCTCACGTGACCGTGTGTGTGGACAGCTTGTGTGAATAAGACGCGCTGCTTTGTACAATGATTATCTTTCAAACTGCTAAAGGAAAGAGGGCCATATAGGAACGGTAAATAATGTAGACGCGTGTTTTCACGGTGGGGTTGGGGATAGGAGGAACTCACACTTGAATGCTTTTAAATGTTTTGCCCCAGACGCTTGCGAAGAATACAAATAATTATCAGCAGCAGCAAGGACTGTCAAGCGTAAAAGAAAACACCACACGAATTACGGAAACACACGCTACATCTTCCCGCAAATCAATACCTTAACATTTTCTTTCAAAAGGTATTTCACACATATAAGTAAATAAATAACGCTAAGCTCAAGCATATATAGTACTGAAAATTTGATTTTTGATTTTGTTTTAAAGAACATGCTGGTCCAATTCGTACTTGGAACAAACTTCGTAATCGGGTGTCATCGGCCACAGTTGGCTGCTCTATGGGCAGCCATGGTTCCTGTATTATGAAACCCTATTTCCAGTGCCCCATCTGCACTGCACAGATGCCACGGCTGTGTTCCGCCTCTATCCAGTAAGCCCCGTCAGTGAGATCTTGGCCAAATCCTCTCACGCAACCACCCTTGCATGCTTGTCCGAGTCAAACCAGCCTCCAGTCCTCCCCCTCTCTCTTATCCCCATGTGTACCCCCCCCAACCACCCCTCCCTCTGTCCCCTGTGCTGGCCCAAACCTCTAAACCCTCCCAACCATTCTAACTTTTTTTTAAAGACACACAGCATTCTGGGTAATCATGCCAAACCAAGACAAGGAGGCTGGTGTAACTCAACTCATTTTTATTATTATTTAACGTTGTTTGAGATTGTGTTGCAGGAATGATGATATTTCTTTTTGTCCCCAGGCAATGGGGTGGTTTGGTAAGGTGAGAAGAGCATTTCTATAAGCTCAGTCTCAATAGGGCTTCCATTTGTCTCATTAAAGATTTGTATTTTTTTTTTAAAAGGGCAGGAGATATCGTGATGCCTACACGCTACTGTCATGTGTTTTTAAATAATCGGCGTATAGTTTAATTACAACATTTGACTTAACAAAAAACAATGCTCATAAGAATTCCAAAAGTGTGCAAAGCATTGCTTTTACATTTCCCATTAACGCCCAATTGGCCAGATACACGAGATTTTGGAGCTGTGAAAGTAAAGCCGGTGCCTGATTATATCGTCTCTCACGGCTGGATTTTTTTTCGTGTAAAGATTTGGAATTTGGAACACGTTCCCAAAAAATACTGTCTAGACCGTTTCCTTTGATCTGTGAGTCACGTTTGGTTCTCGACACACGCGCGCGTGCACGTCAGAGACTCAGGAAGAGCTTGCCCCACGCCCGCTAAGTAAATAGCCCAGAGAACACTTCTGTGAGACCTCACTCTGCGATTACCACCCAACCCCTCCCACCACGACCAGTCGACAACCTCAAACGCATAACTCCCCCTGCTATAACTGCAGACTAAGACCGCCCCCGCACTAACGCATATGTACGTATGTGTGCATATATATAGATAGAATGGGCATATAAATATTTATACATGCTCGTAAACATGGCAATATTTTTTCGTCCGAAAGGTTTGCTTGTTTTGCTTATTTAATTAAGGATTTTTTTCCTAAACAAAAAATCCTCAAGTTGTCAACATGCCCGAGTCCAATTATATTGAATTGCTCGGTTAAACATGTGTTACGGTGGCTCAAAATTATAATAATCATGAAATTACTATAGTAATTTTCTTTTTAAGTGTCAAGGGTCTTAACTATTTCATTTTGTTTCACGAGCCCCTAGACTGCGTCAAGGACCGGGTTCTATTTGTTGAACTTTCAACGGAGATAAAGGCCAAAATTAACCTCTTTCCCACCAGGGAAGCTCCCGAGTTTTGGAACACTTTGCCTCTGCCAGTAAGACAATCAGAATCGTGGGTTATATTTAAGTCTGTCTTGAAAACCCTCCTCTTTAAAGTGGCCTTCACGCCCTAGTTCTGGCCGTTTACACTGGTAATGTTTATTTCCTGCTCTCTATACACGGCACGTTGGGATATACGGATGAAATCGGCCTTAGAAATGTCAATGATTATTCTCATGATAGAGCTTTGTATGGACTGCTCAAGCTTGAACGTTGCGATCATTTCCGCAGCAGTAAGGTGTTTGTCATATTTTTAGGGAGCTATTGATATGAAACAAGTACTTTTTGTATCAAAAAACCACAAAATCCATCAGATGTAAAATTAGCAATTTATTAAACAGAAAAAAACTAGAACATTTGAGTTTCCAAACACATCTCTTTAAAAAAAAAAAACCTTTCCAAATATAAAATACGTAACAAATGTTCGCTCAAGTGGTGGCAATAAGTTAAGAATTCCACATCCGCAGGTATTCTTTCGCTTTACACTGTGTTCCCCCACCAACGTCAGGAACTTGTTAACATCTTAACGGGGTAAAAAAAAGCGACAGCACTATAATTATAAAAAAAACTAATAAACAAAGTTCCTTCTTCATATAAAACTTGGTGCAATTAACAAGGTTATAATCTTCAAAAGAAATACGTGAACACAGGAACATTACCAAAGCGTGTAGAAGAAGCATTCCACTAATAGTGCTGCCCGACTGCGTACTTCACTTCACGTGCAATACTGACTCGCAGGAGCGGCAGTGAAAGCTGTGTCTGCGACTCCGTGGCCGATTTGTGCAAATAAGTAATAGTGCACAGCAACACTCGTTTCAAGTCCCAAAAGTCGCCATTAAATGAGGTGGAAAAAGGTGTTAATGGCCCACCACAATGCTCAACAGACAAGTGCAAAGTAAGACAAATTATTACGTACTCGAGTTGATTAAAGCTGTGGTATGGCTCTCAAATTGAATTCGTTATCTCCTGTACCGCCACTGCCTTGTCTGGGGGTCCCAATGACTTAAATTCCAATTTCCTGAAGGAATCAAAACAACTTGAGGGTTGGGGAAAAATGTCCCCGCCAACAAACAACAACACATTTCCACTTCAAACGTGAAACAAACTTTCTAACAAACGTGCCTTTTAAATCTCGGCGCTTCCCCGTCATGTCAGAGGATTTTTGTTACACTGTGACATTAAGCATTTTTCTTTATTCCATGCATGTAGATAAGCAAGTGTCAATAATATTTCAAATACTAAAACCTACAAAAACCACACTCAGCCAGAACCTTCACAGAATTCTGCAATTTAAAAAAACATGTTTTTTTTATGTCAACTAAAAATCTTTGGTAGTACAATTCACTGTCCACATTCAATCGTTAGCAGTGTTCGAGCAAGTATTATTATATCATAAGGAGAAAATGGTTTGCAATGTAGGATGTAGACTCGCTTAACCGTGACAATGTTCCTCCACTTTATTCCTGTATTTTCCACCTGTTTGGCTCAACTAAGTGTGAGCGTTAAAACAGTGGGGTTGCTCCTAGCCAAACACCAGCCTATAAATTGCTGATATGTTTTTAAGAACTATATTAGTAGAAAATCGGCAGCAACGCGGCTGCTTGCAATGTCAATTTCAAAATGTAAACCACGGTGGTTTACAAAGTATGAAACGTGCCACTTATAAAATAAAATCTCAAGGAAAAACGATTCCATTATTACTCGGCTCTTTTCATTCTTTCTCTAATACAGACGAACCACTGGTGGCTCCACCACCATCATCAAGTCTCATACATTGCAGTCACATTCTTAAGGCCCCTTTGGTTTTTGATGCAACAATGGCACTTGACTTGACACAAGAGAGCCCCATACACGAAGCCAAGCATGCCTGGACATGTGAGAGATGTGAACAGTTTAGGCCGATTCAAACCGTTAAAACTAAAGATACCAACTTTTGAATTACCGCGCGCACAAAACGTTCTTGTAAAACGTAAACAAAAAAAACGTCTTTACACGTGTCCAGATATGTTGGCAAGATGCACCAAGCAATGTTCTGCTCAAATGCACTTAACTCATAGCCCTTTTAAAATGTAAAACAGCGTATAAAAAACATTTCAAATAGGGCACGGGTAACAAGGAATTGTTACACGGTAATTTGAAGGTTTAAGGCCACGCGTGTCTGCAACATACATTTTTAAGCTAAATTGGCCCCCAAAAAGGAGTTTGGTCTGAGCACACTAATGATGCCACAAAGGTTTTTGCAAAGGTGGCATTTGATGAGCAAGCTTAGAAAAAACTTTCACCGTACAAATTAGGCCATTAATTTCCTTCAAAGTGGCCTTATTGTATTTAAACGATTCACAATGTCTACCTAAAAGTGGCATTCACAATCAACGTTGTTTCATATTTGTATGCTCAAAAAAAATGTGCAAGTCATTTGTTATCCAACTTCAATAAAACATCAAACGATTATATAAACCCCTCTGCAATGGTAAAGTAGTGATTCTCCCCCACTGCATAAAGTGATTTCACCCAATAGAATGCGGCGAGCGATTTCCTCACGGCGAGCAACCGACTGCGCACTCCAGACATGCAGGCAGGGGACACCTCTTACGGTCGCTGGTCACGCAGCCACTGGGCCAGCGACTCCCAGCCGAGAACCTCGGGGAATGACGCCCTGACCTCGCCCGCCATCTGCGCCAGCACCTCGGCCTGAGCGCACAGCAGCGGGAGCCCTACTCCGAGCAGCGCGCACGCATACGTGTAGCTCGGGTGGTGGTGCGCCACGTGGTGGCGCAGGGCGCGCCCCGCGTCCCCCGCGCGGCCGCACAGCTCACGTGCCCGTCGCCACGGCATTCCCGCCGCGCGCCTGAGGAGGGAAAGGCACGGGACCCTGTCGGTACTGCTGTTGCTGCTGCTGCCACTACCTGCGGCGGAGCCGGAGAGGAGAAGGGCGTCTCGGTTTGGGGAGCCGGGGACCGGTTCGCGGAGCGGCGAGCGCGGCGCTGGCTGCGAGGAGGAGGGTGAACGCGTCGGAGGCTTCTCCTCCTCGTCTCCAACCTGACAAACAGACATCGACAAGGAGCATTTTAATGTACGCAGCATCGAAATGTAAAACACACGTCAAGATGGTCTGCAGCAAAGACAGATATGTGTGTGAATCATACAGATTTTCATCGCACAGTCTTCTTTCTTATGGCTGATCTAGATGCAGAGCAACAACTACAATTTCACATTCAGGTGGTCACAAGCCAGATAACTGCGTCAGGAGTAGCGGAGTGGAACATCGCTGTGATGTCTCCTTCGCTTTTGTAGATCGGGCATTCATCGTTATACGCTGCACGGTCTTGTTCTGGGTGACCACAGTTGCACACTACTGGAGAGTTTTTAAGTTTCCATTTGTGCATCAGGTATCCGAATCTGCCTTGGTTTGTGTGGATACAGTTTAGGGTGGAGCATGAGCTTCGTGGAAGATCAAACCCAGAGGGATCTTCTGCGTTGGGTCTTTCACAAGATGCTGTTGTTTGTTTGCGAGTTCTTTAGAACTACATTCAACTTTCCAAGCTTCATCGGGGTTAAACTTGCATTGTTGAATGTTAAGCGCATAGGTCAAAAAGGGCTTGCATGACTTCAAGAAATGGCGAGGGACATTATTGAGGTCCTGATGAATGGGAAGGCGACTGTTTTCCTCGATTCGCACGACTCTGGAGGGTTGCAGCACTGTGGCGGATGGGTCAGGGAGAGATGTGTGAAAGCACGGCCAGCCAGGTTGTTGGGGTCGACTTGAGACATTCAGTGATACACCACATTGCAGTGTTGAGTTGGGCATCAAGTCGAGTATGACTACTTCTGGTCCATACTGTTGCACAGTACTCAGATACAGAGTACAAAAGGGCCATCGTTGATGTCCGTTGCACTTGTGCTGATGCCCCCCAGCTTGTGCTTGCTAGTTTCTGGACCAGGTTGACCTTGTTTTGGTCTTGGCAGCTACTTCTTTCAGGTGGTCGTGGAAGGTTAGCGTAGGGTCCGGCACAGTGTTGCCGCAGAAGTTCACTTTCAGAGTGCGCTTGGCGCTCCTATTGTTGAGATGAAATGCAGTGACTGTTGTCTTGTGGGAAGATTTGGCTTGAGCCTCCATTTCCAGACATAATCCCCCATGGTTTCTAGGTCTTGATTCAGAGTGGATTCAATGTTGTTGAAAGTGCCTGCTTGCGTTGCCAGGGCAAGGTCATCCGCAAATACAAATTTGCGTGACCTGGTTGGGGGCATGTCACTCGCATAGACATTGAAGAGCGTTGGCGGGAGTACTGAACCTTGTTGCAATCCATTCTTGAGGAACTGGGTTGAGCTGGATTTGTTGCCGATATAGACACGCAGTCACCTATTGCTCAGCATCGTCCATATCAGGCATATTGTTTCGAGGCAGGGAATGGTCCTTGCGAGCTTCAACATCAAGCCCTTAATCCAGACTGTGTCACAGGCCGATGACAAGTTGACAAAGGCTGCGCCGGTCTTGGATTTGTTCTGGAATCTGGCCTCGATGTGTGTCGCAAGGGCCAAAACTTGGATACAGCAGCTTCATCCAGACCGGAATCCCGCTTGTTCTTCAGGGATCACCGACTCGACGAGGGAGCCGATTCTCTGGATGATGCGTTCTAGGCGTTTATAGGTCGTGGACAGGAGTGATATTGGCCTTTGGCCTATAGCTTTCTGGGTTGTCGGTTGGCTTGCCCGGTTTGGATATGGCAATGACCATCGCCTCGCGCCATGCTTTTGGGATGCATCCTGTTTTCATGGTTTTTCTGTACAGTTTTGCCAGCCATTGGAGTCCTCTAGCACATAAGTGATGGAGCAATTGAATGAAATTGATTGTTTGTCCATCACTGAATCATTTGACTCATATTAGACCGAAATCACCAGATTTCCACATTTCAAAACTACAAGTTTGTTTTTTGAGAGGGGGTGGCTTGACCCGGAAAGCGAGCAAAAAAGTTTCATGCAGTGGAACTAACAGCTCAATGACCAACCTTCTCAGTGTCTATCTGCAGGTCGCAAAGCATTAGACACCGAGAAAAATATGAGCGCACACACCACAACAGTGCATGTTTGGACAAGGCCCTCAAAGGCTCAGTGAGTTTAAGTCACAAGATAAAGTCAGAAGATGAAGCCAAAGTGGACTCCAGCTCAAACATGCATGGGGAAAGCTCATCTCTTTACAGCTCTGAGCCCGTTGTAGAAAGGTCCACACTTGTATAACATTGGTGGATGAGTTGCTATACAGACAATCACTGTTGTATGCGTGTTTATTTATGTGTATTTATTTAAATTTATATACACACACTATATTCCTAAAGCATTCGCAACAGACATTAATGTGTTTTGCCAATGATGTCTTACATAAATTAACATTTTCTGTAAGGTATATTAATAATTATTTATCATTTTGATGTCAATGTAAAGTACCAAAATGCTAAGGATGCACATATTTAAGCTTAAGCAACTCCTAAGACACAATGTTGTCATGTGATCACTAGACTTATCAGAGTTACTCGGCTCGGCCTACTTGGGGCCGCGTCTGGATGCACTCACCGTACTATTATCAACACATCAAGACACGTGCATCATCCATACAACACCAAAGTAAAGGCTGCTTTGCCAACCCTGCCCAAGTGGATAATCGGAGCCAACCAATCTGACTGCCCGGTGAGCAATGAAGTGCGCGTTAAAAAAGCAAAAAAAACCTATCCACCAGGGTCAATGTGAAATGAAAGTGAACAGATACAATGTGCAGCAGGCGGCTGTGGGGGAGGGGGTACATTATGGGGAGCCGAGGGCAGTGCACCGAAATTCATGTTTGCACTGTACAATCGTCCAACGTCTATGCGCTCGTAATGCAGTGAAGTCGAATAACCCTCGCGACCCGCATGGCATGGAGAGGCCCTCATCAAGCGGTGGATTGACAAAATGTCTGGAAATGTACACGCAAATTTTGGAACGGAATAAATGCATTTGAACGGTCATCTCCCCTTTGGAGAAAGGACGTGTCACTGGTGAATTGGCAGGACGGTGTCCAGAAGCAGTGCTTTACCTCCACGTCAAGGGCCATCTCATTGCGCTGCATCTTCCTCTGCATGAACCCTGACAGGCGGTAGCAGTAGTGAGGCTTGCAGTAAAATTTTCCTAAAGCAAAAACAACAAAACACAGAGATGAATAAAGACCAACATGACAATAAAGACCAACACGACAATGCAAATCCAGCAAATGGAACTCGCACGAGTCACTTCAACACCACAAGCGTGATCACATCGTCCGTCCTTCTTCTTCTGCTTATTCTTTCGTACGGCTGATGTAGATGCAGAGCAACAACGACAATTTCACTTTCAGATGGTCAAGCCAGATAACCACGTCAGGAGCAGTGGAGTGTGTCGCTGCGATGTCGCCTTCGTATTTGTGGATCGAGTATTGCGTCGTTATACGTTGAATGGTCTGTTTTGCATGGCCTCAATAGTACATTGGAGCATTTTTAATTTTCCATTTGTGCATCAGGTATCTGCATCGGCCATGGTTTGAACGGATGCGGTTTAGGGTGGACCATTAGCTTCGTGGGAGATCAAACCCAGAGATCTTCTGCGCTGGGTCTTTAACAATGATGATGTTGTTGTGTCTTGTGAAAGAACCAACAACATCATCCGTGGCATTGATGTACTCAAGTCGGGAGGCACGCGGATTAACAACCAAGCGATCAACAGCTCAAGCAAAGAGCATGAAAATAACATTACATTTGAACTAAGAATGAAAATAACGTTCTTCCCTCAAGCAAATTGAAATGGAACTGATGAGATACAACTACTTTCCAAGTTTATTCGGCCAGAGCATACATGAGGCAGCCAAATGAACGTCCATTCTTGATACAATATATATTCGGATCGATTCAGGACGAATAAGGAGATTCTGGACACTTGTCTGGCAGTGATACATTTTTAATCCGACGATGGGAAACAATCTACGCTGACGGCGTTAAATCAGATCTGGGCTATCCGATTGTTAAAGCAATAATCATCTCATTGAATTATTGGTTCGATTACACGACTAATCGGATAACACAAAGATAACATTTTTTAAAGTCTCACCTCACTTCCCACATGTGCTGCTGGACAGGAGTAATGAGCAGGGCTTGGTGATGTTATCAGCATCACTGACTGACGAGGGAGGAGGCAGGATACCGGAGTGGCCACATATTTTTAATAGGGCCCGAGTATTTGACCACAAAAAAAGTAGTAGATAATTTTTTTTTATCAATTAATGGAATTAATCTCCCCTGTTCTATTTTGGACAAAAACGTTGCACAACCTGGCCACGCAATATCTAGGACGACAATGATTTGAGCAAGGCATTCCGACCGGCGTACCGTCTTCCACGTCGAATGCGAATGCTCCCAGGCGTAATGTGACATCGCAGTAGTTGCACTTGAAGCAGCCGCGGTGGAAGAACTTCCCCTCAGCGCTCAGACGCTCCATCACGTAGACTCGCCGCCCGCAGAAGTAGCACGTGTCGCTACCACCCAGATTCTGGGGAAACTCCTTCCGCAGGGAGCCCTTCCGTGTGCACACATACAACAGGGAGGAAAAATCACGAGAAAACATGTGAATAATTACAGCCAACGTTATTGATGTTGCCGCACCTCGTCATCATTTCCCTTCTTCCAGATCCTGTAGTTTTACAAAGTAAGCACTTCACCAACAAGATCCACTCTTACAGTCATCATCATCTGTGATCCCTCGAGGTCCAGTATGATGATCGTGATGATGGTCAGAGTTTGTGGGTTAGCAGATGGCTGATAAGGCAAATCCTGGAACGAAACATCTTGCTACACTCTCTTACAGTAGCCTACCATCTGAATGTCGGTTTTCACTTTGATCGCTGACCTCTGGGTGCCTCTCTAAGGCCTCTCTCAGTAATCTGCATTCCTCCGTTACGCACACCTTCCCCATGCACACCTTCCCAATCCACCGTGAAATCCGCTGCCTGATTACATCTACATCTGCTGTGAAATTCCTAGCATCCTCTGCATGCACCTGTATACAAAGGCCATAGCTTATTTGCTATATAGGTAAGAGACAAATAGATCTTAGGTTGGCATTTGTCCTTATATTTGTTTTACAAAAGTTGAGAATCTCAGTCGTACAAGCAATAGTGGAAAAGCAATGTACCTGAAAAGGTTGCAGATGAGATAGAAGCATCGCCCCATCACTGCTTCTCAATGCAATCTCCACTCATCTCAACATAATAATGATGCCAACCTCTAAAGCGCTGTAAACATTGCAAGCCATTACAAAGTTGCTCAAACATATCTCTTATACTAGAAATTCAAAAGAAGCTGCCCTTTTTATACATAAAATAATAACTAGATTTAACTCTCGATTATCTGAGGTAATGCGGCCAGGCTGCCCAAAGAGGTGGCAAAAAGGGTAATTTGCCAAAGGCCTCAGACAAGAGAGGGCCTCACACAAGAGGGCCTCACAACAGGACTATTTTTCTTCGTCTTGGTTCTTTCGGTAAAGTCACGTAAAAGGGAAATAAAATAATAATTAAAAATAAAACATAATAAAATAATTCTCACGACGTTTCGGCCACAACGCAAGCAGCCGTCCTCAGGTGAAGACCAGGTCTGTCGGGGAGACAGCGTCTGAATGAAACACCACCACGCTTGGAGCGTATATTTAAGCTGGGTTGGAAGGGGAAGAGCGCCTTGAGGACTATTTTTGACTGCCACTAATGAATAAAGGGGGCCTCATATGGTACGTTCCCCAGGCCACTGGGAAGCCCTGGTAAAGGGCAGACAAGTAATTTGGAGAAAATAAAACACAAATAATAATACAAATATTAACTAGGCTATTAAAACATATAACTGTTCGTTTTGGCTGCGAAAGTCTACATGTTAAATACAAGTTATTGTTTACCTACACAGGGTGGAGATTAAACCTTAGAATGTGTTGCCTGTATTGCTCTTTAAAGTAATTGTTTTACTTGCAGGCTTTTCAGCTGTCACTTGGGCACGTAGTCATAGACCTTAGATGGGTGAGGGGCCCCAAATGATTAAACCAGCACGGGTGTAAACATTTATGACAAAAAAAAAAGTCTAAGGCACTGTTAATCTGCAACCCAGATAATCTGACCAGATACAATAGAGTTAACTCCATTCCTTTGGGCCATCATGCCAGTCATGTGCCACAAGCCTTGAAAACCACCTTGATCAATGTACCCATACGTATTCCTTAAAAATTCCAAAGAATAACAGGAATTCTAGATTTGAAGCTTTCGTGACTGCAAGGATTCATACTCTTAGGTTTTTTCGGTAAAGTCACGTAGGTAAAAAAACAATTAAATTAATAAAAGTTAAATAAAACTAATTAAAAAATTTCACGACGTTTCGGAAGCAGCACAAGCCTCCGTCTTCAGGTGGAATCGTAACAGCCACGACAGCTGTATCAAGTAAATGAGAGATCACAAGAAATACTACCCCGTATATATAATGGTTGAGGGGAAAAGGGCCAGGAACGGCACACTTTTTTATTAATATGGTAAGATGAGGCTTAAGACCAAGAGTAGACTGCATAACAAAGGACTGAGCCTTTGTTATGGAGAGGTGCGGTTTGTAACTAATTTAATTTTTTTACCTACGTGACTTTACCGAAATAACAGCAATACCAGCATTAAGTTATTTCTGATTTGTACTGGGATTTTGTCCAATGTGTAGGAAAAATAAATAGATATCTGCAACACATGCCCGAGAAGGTTAAAACCAATTGCCACTTATGTTGTGATGAGGCAGGAATTAAAGCACACTTGCTGGTATTGAAACGTGATGATGCATAAACTGCTTTGACATACACTTACATACGTGTGTCCACAAACATGCAGTCAGGTTGTTTTTTGCATTGCTTAACATGAAGGCATCATGGTCACAAAATCAAGATTATGCTAAATGCATGTACATCTGGGAGAAGGCTCAACATACCGCACTAAACTACTGCATTGTGAGCTTGCAACCAGCATGTCACACACAACCCACTTTACACCACAAGCCTGAAAGAACATGTGGTATTAAGCATGAGAACAGACTACCACGTGGATGTACAGCAAGTTAAGACTGGCCTTTCACAACCATTGTCTGTGGAATAATCCAGCGACTCAACCGTTAAAACGTTTCTGTACCATGGAAACGAGCGCTAGCACCAAGTTAACTGTAAACACAACTTACTGTGCTAGTTTATTTGAGCAGGACATGTCACTAAAGTCTGCCAGTGCGTGCTGAAGCTTGCTCAAACAAGACGCCTTCAACAGCTTACAGCAGGCCAAACAAACGGCACCAAGCGACTCAAGTGTCAGGCCTGAATGTAAGCCAAGGAACTCATCGCTAGACCACATAAAACAATTCATGTTTTTCTTTGGAATGATTGCAAACAGTACAAACGGTCTGTGTGAAAGAAAACATCTTAATAAACATTCCAACCACGAGTTAATATTTTTTAAAAGCTAACTTTCAGAAAAATATATGCATTACGCAAACGAGACTCAATGCAAACACAACATGGGACTAATTCCCGTTGCGATGACTTACTACCACAACATTCATCATGCCTAGGCAGGACATTTTTCGCGATTTACAATTCAGTACCGTAAAAACATTTAGACGGCATTGTACGGATGCATGCAGTAGAATATAATAAATGCAAACTCATCGGAGCTGAAATAGATGGTTCCTGCATACAATAGTGGTAACATAACAACATTGTTTTAACATAAATGACTCTTCAACAGATGCAGAAGGTCAAAACCGGTTGTGAGTTTGCTTGCTTATGCAAGTGCTGCTTTGAAACATTAATCAGAAACACCCATTTGTCTGGACAAGAAAAACATGTCTTGTAATGTGGAGAGATGGACTTGTCTTTGAATTTATTTACATCACGCACAGCTAAATTTTCAAATGCCAGCTCTCATTGTATCCAAATTAGCTTTTAGTAACGTGCACAACAGTTCAGCTTTTCATTTAATAAAAATAGATATCTAGTTTATGGTGGGATCAGAATTTACATAAATGCGGAGATGATCAGCCGAGTGGTTTATAGACGGTCTCTCTTAGGACATGACACCAGCTTAACCCTGGAAGAACAGTTACTCTGCAGTTCAGAGCATCACATGTCAAGTGAACAAAGCAGATGGGGATCAAAAGCAGGAGATCAAACTCATCAGCACTTCGAGCTCTCATTGATCTGCCAATATATGCCACTGGTATAGCTTTCGTGACTGCAGGGATTCATCTTATTGGTTATATCGGTAAAGTCATGTAGAAGGGAAATAATAAAATAATACAAATAAAACATAAAATAATTCTCACGTTTCGGCCACAACGGCTGCTTGTGTTGTGGCCGAAACGTCGTGAGAATAATTTTATTATGTTTTATTTTTATTGTATTATTTTCCTTCTATGTGACTTTACCAAAAGAACCAAAAAGACTGGTATAGCTGACAAACTGTTTTCTTTTCTACAAAGGCAAGGATTGGCCATTTAACATTGTATAACTATGCATCACTATTAAATGAAATTAATGTTGAAGCATGACATATCGGCCAAAGCTATGCCAGGATTTCAGGGCTCACGGCAGCATATAAAATCACTTTTGATATGTTTGTTGTATGGCTTTGGTGATCCTTATAAATATTAGCTTTAATGATTTATTGTAAAAATATATTAAATTTGTAATTTTAACAAGAGATCAGTTTAAAAAAACGAAAACTGTTGCTGCAGTGACCTGCGTTGTGTTTATAAAAGCTGGGTTATTGTATCCAGTATCTCATTTGGTGCAGTATTTTTTAAGAGCATTGGTTAATATCACCGGACAAAATGTGTCTTGTATCCAACCATTAACCATTTAAAGGGAACCCACGATAATTCTTCAACCTGCAGGCACAACAGGGGCCATTTTATAAAATGAAAGGGTGATATATGTCTATTCCCTGACATTGTCAAGGCATGCCAGGTTATAGATAAGTACAGTACTGTGGAGTGATTTGGCTGTAGAGCGATGTGCGTGCCAGTGAAAAGTATTTTCAAATGTATGCTTTCATAAGTCCTGGCCTTTTTTGGAAATTTGACGGCAGATTATATCCACCTATTTTCATGTTCCTTTAGCAACTCTCCCACCATGGTAACCGTCACAAACACAGACAAACAGCTCTGCAGCTTGCAGCTTCCAGCCGGGGAGAAAGGACAAGATCCCTGTTTGAAGTGGTGTCGGCCAACCAACCGCCATGTGGGAAGAATTACGTTCATTTCCGAAGAGCAGCAGTGGTTGTGGCCGCATCCACTCGGGACTCCGTGTCGCCACTCTCTGTAATCACTCCAGTGTTTGCTTAATGAAGTATAACGTAATGCTGCGGTTAAATTTAAACAAATAAAATAAAATATTACGCTTGTTGTTGTTGTCCTGCATGGAAACAACGTAAATTACGCTGAATATCTGTGACCAATTCTGCCAATGTTTTTGCAGATATACACCACCAAAGCTGGCAAAAGAAGGTTACATTTTCCACATACTAACCCCGAGAGTTGAGATTAAATGTGCCGTTTTACAAGTTGTATTGTGTAAAAAATGAAATTTCAACTTATTTTTGAAAAAAAAGGTAAATTTCATCACTGTTTGGGTACAAGTGAATGTGGCATGACAAACCTTCACGAAGGACATTGGTGATCATGCCAGGTAACATCAGGCTGACACAGCCCAAACAAGTCCTAAGCAGAGTCGCGTGACATTTCACAAAGTGCCTCTTTCTGTCAGACGCACTTTACACCGCCGTGATAAATTGCATTACTGAAAGACAATAATAAAAAATAAAATAAAAATTCCTGCCAAGTGTCACACTCATAAAAGTTTCCTGGGCACCCTTTAATAAATTAGGCGTGAGTCAAAGTTTGTGGCGAGGCTTTGCCTGCTCAAAACCACAGTAGGATATACGGTACACACAATGCAAAGCGCATGCAGGCATCCGACACACCGGTGCATGCGTGCGTGGTGTGGAATGCCGGCAGTGAGGAATCGAGCTCAATTCAGCCGTCCTTTGCTGGCAATTCTTACCAAGTGCTTCAGCTCCCTTTTGTCTAGGAGGGGCCTGGGCCCAGCGGGCTGCATCTGGCTAACAAGCTGTGCCGCCCTCTCGCTAACGCCCGTCGAGTACATCCGAATGTACGACTGGCCTCGCCGAACGCCAGCCCCAAAAGGAAGAAAAGCCAAGGTGGAGGATGTTCATCAGGAGGAAAGGGGGGGGGGGGGGCAGGAAAAGGGAAAAACATCACAGAGCAGAGTGGGATAAAACAAGGCAAAGGAAAAAATACAATGCAAACAATAGGAAAGCGTAAAGGGTGTGCAGACTGAACAAAGAATTATTGATGCTTGAATCAAAGATAAACACGACAAAATATAAATAGATACAAGATCAGAAACTTTAAAATAAATATTTTTTTAACTCACAGACATTACACACAACCAGAAATATGTGATAATACAAGCATATCGTATTCAGTGATGGGAACAGACTTGATGCTGGTTAGATATTAATGAAGACTCAGTGCAGTCCAAGGGAATTAGTAAGTAACAAATACACACAAAACACTAATGAGCATGGTCACAAAAATAAATTAAATTTGGCTGCATGATAGGTGGCCTGACATGGTATTTATTTTCACAAGAACATGCCTCAATATTATTTTCAGGCCGACTGATATTGTCAAATTGCTTTTGTGTCGTCTTGCCAAGTATATGCACGCAGCACGGCAAACCATCAAAACCTACGGAGTACATACCACACCGACTTATGACAGATGCATGTAGGTCACATTGCAAATGAGCCGAGGAATTTATGGAGCAAAGCACGCTGAATGGTTTCATTGCCATTGTAAAATACTACGAGGTCAGGCTCGCCCCATGCCTATCAGCGATTCAACAGAGGCTGCTACCTTGAGCATAGGTGTCAAATATTCACCACCTATTATGGGGAGCTTTTTTTGTTCCAGAATCTCACGAAACACCCCTACCCCCCCCCCCCCCCCATTACAAATCTACCAGGGAAGAGGAAAACTAAAGTTAAAACAATGACTGGAAGGCTAGAAAATAACAAAAACACTGAACAATGGAGGTGGCCAGGTGGCTCAAGGGGGTACAATACTACGTCAGAGCCGGTAACACTGGGGCGCTGGGATCGAACCCGGGTTTCATCCGTCTATGGTTAAACTGGTTTCTCATGTGTTTAACCTCAGTCACTAATGAATGAGCAAAAACTAAAATCATCAGGTTTCATGAGTTTTTTTTGGGCTTTTTTCAGTTCTTAGAATTAGAACAAAAATCAGTTCCATTACTGTACACTATGCGGGGAATGTGGGAAGGTGCACCAATCGGTATGGGCAAGAGGCCTACAGCAGTGACTCCATAAGCGGTTCTGTGAAATCATTTGAGAAATGGTCAATGCTTGCTGGGAGTCCCAAATGCTTGTAAAAATTGCTCGTGAGATCTCGACATCACAGTCGGTACATACAGTACTTGGTAAATTAAAGAATGAAATATGACACAAACCAGAGATAATGTTGCTTTCAGGATAATAGCCACTGCTATTTTTGAGCATCATGCAAAACCTCACGTGCGCACGTTCGGCTTGGCCAGGTGCAGTTCAACCCAGTTCACTCCCTTGCAAGCCAAGACTCCACCGTGCAGATGTGAAGCACCGCAAGGCTCGACCCGAAACTCAACGTTGTACACGGCGCGGCACGCTGAAGGAGTCTGCCCTGCCCACGCCAGTTGTGTCTGACACAAACTATTCAAGACTTACGTTCAGGGTAACACTAGAAAAAGGTTAACTGAGGCAATTGTCTACTTATTTATTCAGGAGATTAAATTAAACAAAAACAGAGTAATACACTATTATATCAAGATGACATTATAAATAACAGAAACAGGACCAATTTTTTTAAATAAATTGGTCTAAAATAAAAAAAAAAATCCACAAAAATGACAATTTCCATTGAGTGACATCAGACGAGGCAGAATCAGAAAATACCACGTTCTTTAAAGTAAAGTGTCAAGAAAAAGTCGAAGACTTGGCGAATGCATCACTACAGAGCTCCTCGCGTAGTTTGGCCATTCCATTAATCCTGAACAAACACGGAACACCCAAGCAAGCACTTCCAATATGACTGCTACCTGTCTGCGGGTGGCGGCAGTGGCGACCGTGCTCTCATTGGGAGAGAAACGTTTCTGTTCATCAAGAAAACAAATAACAAACGCCCCCATACGTTCGTTTGCTTTCGGAGCCATTCAACGACGCATCAAATTCATTCTAAGTCACTTGTGATCCGTTATTAAAATACCCGTAAACATAATCCAACCCACCGACAACCAAATTAAAAAGATATACAAGTGTTGAACACAAAATGTCTCAAAATGTTACTGTGATTATTTACCTTAGGACATCTAACATGACACAAATTACTGTTAAATGTGCAGACGACTGTTACGCATGTATGACTAAGTAAGTTCCACAACAACTTCAAAACAGTCACGATGTGATGGAGCCAGTACTGTTACTGCAAGGACAAGCGAGTTATTGGAGTCTCTCAGAGGGTGCAGTGCACTACGTTTGGTGAAAAGGCAACTCTGATCTGAAAACGTTGTTCAATTGTCTGCATTTTTTTATTTCCAAAATTGGTGTCAATAGGAATTCAACAAATTGTATTTATCCCAGTGACAACCACGAATGACATTCATCATCTCTTTTACAAGAACGACAGGGGGTTACGAGAGTGACAAAGAAACTACGGCACCAGAAACAATGTCTTGCATGCTCGTGTCAGGGAACCTTCGATGTCAGGGTCGGCCTGGATAGCCCAAAATTTGCTTTTGCAATTTGTTGGAGAAATAACCAAGCCGCTGTCAGAATCGAATCCTCGGCTTTACGCAAACCGAGTGGCGAGTGAGTACCTAGCAGGCTACGCAGCCATCCCCACTTGCATGCAAAGTATCAATTAGGGCCTGCTACCAAAGCATCCAGGAATGGCATTAGTTGATTACTTTTATTTCAGTCCAGTATATATTGTATGGTGGGTAGTAGATGGCAGTATACAAAATACTGTATATTGTTCTCTACATCTATGATGCCACATCTCCACTACCCACCTTCACCAACCCGCACTGACCAGCATGGTGAAGTAGGGTCAAATATCCCTCAACGCACGGCAACGGCAAGCCATCATCCAGCAGATGATCGACAAGAGGTTTGTAATAAATGTACATGTACTCTGCAAATAAAGATGATCTTGAGTTGCCCCTTTCAGTGACTTAACCACTTCCTGCGAGAGACGGCAAGGGAAGGGGATGAACACTTTGCCTGGCGGCGGGAGCCACGCGCGGGGCAGTGCGGCACACTTCCTTCACACGCATGCCGGGTCACCTGCGACTTGTCCGACTGCCCCTGGAAGAGGGCGGCCAGGTGAGATGCGCGCTCGCTGATGCTGGGCTGCTGCTCGGCAGGCAGCTGATCGTAAGGGCTAATCACGGCAGGCAGCTGCTCGTGCTGGCGGGTCGACGCAACGAGCAAAGGGGTCAGGGCGGCGGATGAGTGTGGGGACCCGTGGAAAACTGATCAACTTTGATTCAAGCAAAATGCCACATTTATTTGAGGACAAAGAACTATAGGAAGCAAAGGGATTTTAAGGAGTAATGCGGGGAGAAATGCATGTTTGGAAAATCGGAATGGCCACACTCTCCCCGTGATTTAAGCATTGGTCACCATGAATTATGAAGATATATTTTAATACATTATCTATTGAAGAGGACAAAATGTGGCATGCCAGTGAGTTCAAATTTCTGGATCAGCTTTTCCTGGGCGTTGGAACAAACTGACGGTGCCGATGAACTCCACAGAATGCATCCAAAAATGGAAGCATCCTAAGATGACTCATCCATAGAAAAACACACAAAACTACATGTGTTTGTAACTAAATGGGGTGTATAATTATTACTGTACCAATTTTGTAATGTTTCGCATTCATGTGAGGACCACATTCCAGTACATTTTCAAATTACTGGAAATACAACCAGGCATTGGTATCCTTCACTTTGCGTTAATTTAATATCTAAATACTGTACGTAAATTGTTCATGTAATACCTATTTTCAAGGTTGGAAACAATGTTTTGAAGTGCATTCCATCAGGTAAACATGACGAATTTACACATAAGACTATAAAATATATATTAGGTACAGAATACTTATAAGTACATCTACACACACACACAGCGACACATTGCGCTTGTTCAAGCATGTGTGTGTATAACATGCAGTGTCCTGCACACAGCACAAAGTGCAGATGAGTAGCACTAAGTATAATCATATGTTCAATTCAGACTAGCCTCCTAACATTAGTAGAGATACTGCATGACGGATTAGTAGCCTCACGACGTCCCGATGGACACAAAGACATTACATCGGCATAAATAAAACCGCATGCTGTTACACATTCCCTGAAAGTGATCTCAATGCTGAAGAATTCACAATTATGTAACTCGGGTCACAAACAACGCATTTACCGGCCTTGTCTTCTCACTCCTTTTGAAGTCCTTTTCCCACTTTCTGAGAAAGTATTTACTCAGTTTCTAAACACAGACCAAAAGTAAATAAGGACAAGGCTCTTAAAAAGCAGTATTGTGGAATTCATTTAAAATGTATCATTCACACGGGCCCAGCAAAGGTTTGTGAACACACACTAATGTGCACACTTACAGCTCAACACGACTATGACCATGCATTTACTAAAGATCAGGTACAAACTCATTTTGTATTGTTGTGGAGCATTATGGATTAAAGATGGAGCACTCTTCCCATTAACATCAGGTAACACAGCAGCATGTGTTTAAACAACCTTGGCCGTGCCGATGATACTCAAAAGGCGGAAACTGGTGCAGAGTTTCTTAATTATACTGTCTGGAAAGTCAATAGGCCAATATTATGAAAAATCTGTTTAATGTGTAGAGAGGAAGATGGTGCCCCACTTACTTATTCCTCTATACATAAGAGACAGGGAAAGTCACAATCTCTGCACATTCACAACTTGGACAACTTCAACACCAAATCACGCTCACAGGTCAGACAACGCTCATCTCTGTTCTTTAACTGAACTTGTGGGAACGGGACGCAGAGGTTGGCAGTAATCTCACGCAGTGTCACGGCGATACTCAAAGTAGGATCTCAAAGCAGCGCATTCACATGCAGCCGTGCAGCAGACGCACACACCATGTGCACAACTCCAACAATAAACACATTACGATTGCAAGCGTCAATATTTAACCGACACAAAAACGCTTTTTTTTAAGTGATAAAAATAATAAATTATTATCAGTCACCAAAAGGGGATACGAACAAAAAGAAACATTTTAAAACAATAAGACATGAGTGCCAGCTGTTAGTCACACTGGTTACTGTGGGGTCTTCACGCACAGCAGGGACAGTAAACAACACCACCGCTGCAGGCACACAAGGGAACCATACGGCCTTCTAAAGACGGACACGAATGATTATTCATGAGTAGAAAACTGAAATTTGAATTTGTCCAGTCTCTTCCTTAAATTGGTGTTGTTAATACAAGCAGGCTTCTGCCTAAAAACTAACTCGTCTAGCCCAAGAAAGTCGGCTTGTCTTTGAGTGATTTCCAAAACGAATAATTTCCACTTGAAAGAACAAAGCATTCCACAGTTGCCACTGACACATTTTTGATGATCATGTCGGAACAGACATGTGCCTGATTAGTCACGGAATGTATTGCTCTTTGTCCTGGCAAACTCCCCTGGATTCAATTACAGACATGTGAGATTTGCAGGAGAAGGAACATGATTTCCAGAACTATTATGTCCTTGTGATGTTTCACTGCAAGCTGATAATGGCAGAACGCATTGTGTATCGAGCACCTGTACATCAGCTCACCTGGCACAAATGTCAGGTGTCAAGGTAAACTGTGACGCAGACTACTGGTCTTACTGGGCACCTGTTGTAGACAACCTGACATACAAGAATCGTCATGTATAGTGGTTCCAGGTGTGCCGGCCAATTGCCATAAAGGCCACCTGATACAGTCGACATGATATGTATATAGCTCGAACACAGGCAAATGGAAATACTGGCTGCACTGCCGAGCAATTAATTATGTTCGTTTCTCTACGCAAGTCTTGCCGAGTCTCAAGATGCTTTATTTAGGGTCCTGCTACGTTTTTGCAGAAGGGGACGGTGTTACTCTGTGTAATCCTAGATGAATAATTTGCAAGCGACTGTTGAACATTGGAATGTTTGTCCAATACCAGTTACATTGTACATTTATTTTTGCCTGGGTTCACTGGTATTTCGGGGTACTATTTTACACTGGTAGTTCTTCAAAACAGGAGCACATAGAGTTGGCTGGGTAGCCCAGGAATTATAGCAATGAGCAGGTGCTGGTTTTTTGAATACAGGCAGTTACCCATTACAAAACTAGGTGCTCGAGTGTAGTAAGTTAATGGTTTCGGCCAATCACCAATGACGACCCAAATAATTATACAAAAATTAGTTTTCGCAAATTGTGGCAAAAATTCTAGTTTGAAGAATTGATAACAATTTAGTTTGACAACCATTCGAAAAGCATCTCTGCAACATGCAAGTTGAAAGGGCAGCACCCTCAGTGCGAATAGGACATCACTTGAATCGATCTCAGAAGTAGTTCAGTAATATCACCTTCCACAAGCCATTCTTCAACACAGGGTAACAACACACAGCTTGGTGTACACTCCGAAACTACACTTTGTCTCAAGACATGATGATGGGACTATCGGAATAACTTTGGCAAAACAAATTTAAAAAATGTTATTCAACAAACACACGTGCACACACGCAGAGGACAGCAGACGTCTCTGTTAATACCACAGCACGTTAGGGTAGAACCAAAACTCATGCTTGGACAGGCAGAACCTGGCTCCGAGCCTCGGGAGGAGTGGCGGCGGGGGAGGTGCCCAGCATGATGATTTTCTTGGGACAAACGCGAGGAGCCCGGGCATAGATGCCCTTCACATCGCAAGAGAGCGGTGAGAGAGACAAGTGTGAGTGGTGCCCCGTATTGGCACGCACGCACGCGAGCGCGACTCAACACCAAGTTGCCATCCAGGGCAAAATGTCTCCGTATTCCAAATACACAGCTCCAGAACCGCGTGAACAATCACACGGTCCGAATGCAGCAGACCCAGAGCTTTTGCTCGTAACACTTCTCAACACACATTAATTGCTAAACAACATGAGATTGACATTACACAGCACCATAAAACTTATTGTTTTTATTTTGTTCTGTTAAAACATTCTTGGCAAAACTGTTTTATATCCGAGCAAACTTGTAGAACTCTGCTGACTGAATCCAGCGCCAATATTGTGAAACTCCTGCAAATCGTATCATGACTAACAAAAAAACACGACTTTTCTAATTCTAAAGATAAACAAATCCCAGTGTTCTTTTTGAGCAAACACACATTGTTGGCACGTTTTTTGTTTTCATGTAATAAACTACAAATGTATTTATTCAATGTGGACATTGACAATGAGCATGCAACTGGCCAGGCGGTGGATGGGAAAAGATGGGGGGGGGGTGACTTCATGAGCATTCAACATCACAGCAAAGGCCTCCTCACTAATGGCAAGATTGGAAAGGCACAAGAGAAGTGTAAGGTAAAGAGAAACAAAGTCACTAACAAGACTGCCAAGGGGAGCCCATTCATGGATAATGAGTTAATGAATGAACCAATGATTTTATTTCAGGCCGTTTGATCAAAATCACCTTACCTGATGGCACACAGGCAGAGAGTTTGCCCGAGATAGCTCCTTGCGCCGAGTGGAAGGAGGCGGAGCTACGCGCTCCATGTAGGGCAGCATTATGCTCTAGTCCAGAGACCAGCAGAGGAAGGGAGGACGGGCCAGGGAGATTAAAGCGCAGAGTAGCAGCAGCAGAGAAGCACGTCCCCTTCCCAGAGGAACAGTCAGGGCAACAGAACCGTAAAGGGCACGAGCAAACGACAGAGCAATGCGGCAGGGACATGGGACGTCAAACAAAAACATCGCTCCGATACAACTGAAAGGCGACACACGTTCCTCATAGTTGCCGTAGATCATCTTTCAGCCAAGCGACCACTGAGAATATGTCCATGGTGCATGCTTATGAAGCACAGGCTTAGGGCATGCAGCACTTGCTTAGAGCTATGTTATTGGCTGCCATTTACTTAATCTGCCAAGCCTCACAGTGCTGTGACAACCCAGGGTGGATTTCAGGAAAAAAGCGGCACAAGTGTGTGTGAATATGTAGATTTAAATGCGTTGTCGGTCTATCAAAACAATTGTGGATTCCCCCCCTCCCCCCCACAAATGCCTCAAGTAAACAAATACAGAATTATTAAAATCAGCCACCTTCTTATCATCATCTGAATGTCGCATACAACTAAATAAGCCACAACCTAGTGGCAGAACAGTGATCCATCAAAAATACCAAGCCATTCCATGCTTTAAAGTGGAACATCTAAAACCATTCACTGAAGTATGAATGCGAGACATGGAGAGACAACAACATGCGACCTGGGGGGGGGGGGGGTGGGGGGTGTTGTGGAAATGAACATGCTAGAGCTGTGCTCACAGGCGGGGCCACATTGGCCTCGCACAAAATCACATCCAAGATAGAATCTTGCGGACCTGCAAGGTCCTCTCTTGCGCACGTGACCGACTCTCGTCCGATGTCTCACCCACCTGTCGCTTGAGGTTTGACTGCAGTGGAGCATTCTCCTCAAACTTGGCCAGGAGCTGGTTGGCCATGGACTTGACTTTGTTCTGATTTCCGGACACCGCGTCGGCACGTCTCTCTCCGTTGCCAACCCCCCAACGGTCCTCCCGCCTGGCCTGCATCTCCTCCTGTGAGAGTTCGCGCCAACCACGGGGAGTCACGCACTTGGCAAGCGCGGATAAAACAGAACGAATGACTCCACCCTGCCTGCTAGTGTGCTAGATTGCAGTCGGTACTCCTGTGCCAGCTGAGATTGGTTCAAAGCTCCACAGCTGCTATCAACAGTTTTTGCACTCGTGACCGATTGTTTTTCAGTGTTTTCACGTGGTTGTTCCTGTCTGTGCTGCCTGTGCTGCCTGGAACTCCCTTCCCCTGGGCCTCTGCACTGCCAATGCCCTCACCCCTCTTAAGTGCAAACGCCAGACATCCCTTTATTCCTCAACCTTTGACTAAACCTAACATCACACAGACTTTCCCCTCCCATGTCCTCGCGCATGTTCTAATCCTTTGAAGATTGTTAATTCAAACACTTATTAGATGTATTGTAATTTGCCAAGTCATTGAACAAATTTAATGACGTAAAGACATTCAGACTATTCATTCTATATGCATGGCTTTCAAAACCAGGCACACAACGGAAATTAATTATCCAACCAAAATGGTCATGATTCAATGTCGACATATATATCCAACATCTTGTAAGCCATCTCTCTCTTATAAACATCCATCGCGATAACTGTTCAACCAAAGCGCAGTACATTTTTCCACCATCCTTGACACACTCGTTATCTTTGACACACCTCATCGGACGCCTTTTGTCCCGTTCTGCGTCGTTTGCCGAGCCCATCAACCTCCTTCTCCTTCTTGTCCTGTGAAACACGTCACAAGCGTTGTTTGCGATGCAGGTTAATTTCTGACCTCTTGAGTAAACGCAAGCTCGGTGGTTAGCAGAAGTGCCTGCGATGGTTTCTCTTTACGAATCTCCCACATGCCATGCAAGCAATTTGGTCCAAATTTATTTCAGAAAATGTACTTCCATGAACTTTGGACGTGCTCATGACTTTACCGTTCAATGTCAAGCAAAATCAAACATTTTTTTAATCTGCACAAGCAGTGTGTTAATAAAAAAATTGAGCCAAATGGCCACTTTCAATACTTTTTCCCCATATACACATTCAGTTGTGTTTTTCAGTTGCGTCCCTTTTGTTCCAACATTAGAATTGATACAAAAACTACAACATAATAGATATCGGTCAAATTACATACATAATCCTACCTGCCACCTACTGTAAACCCTCGTTAACCGCTATTAAATGCCTTGTGCCACTGCACTTCCTCGAGCTTCCGACAAAGCCGTCTGTAATTTGCCTTATGGGCAATCCGAATGAAAGCCACCACTACTCCACCCCTTGAATGTGCTGGCAGGGCACACAACTTTCACGGGCAGCCTTCACTCGCTCTCATTACCTGGATTCTTTAACAGGTGCTCTCAGATCCCCGGGCGTGCCCGAGCGGGATCTCTCTCTCTCTCTCACACGCCAGCGGGGGGCCGCGGGGGTACACAAGAGAGGGGGGGGGGGGGGGGGGCGGCTGGCGAGTTACCCGTGGCGTGCGCTTGCGGGAGATTGTCTGGCCCAGCTTGCTCAGGAAGGAGATGGGAGACTTGGTGGAGAGCAGTGCCGCCGACCTGTCATCCTCACCCATGAGCTTGTTGTACTCTGGATGTGTGCGGGAGTGAGGGGGTCACATGGTAACAATGTCACAGACACGTGTCGATCACGGTCGTCTGCGTTTAATCGTTATCCAGCCGGCGCTGGGGCTTACATCATTCTCGCCCTGCCGTTAAAGAGCAATCTCCATCGCGATTTTGGTCGAGCACCACTCTCGTTTAGTTTTAGTTCAAGCCTTAAAACTTTTATTTTTGCAAGGACATCTGGACGCGAGCCCTGTTTAAAGAAAGTGTTTGTGCTTGGCAGTGGTTGACTCGTGCCTGGGTATATTGTTATGACTAGCTGAGTATAGTTTACAATATTTGTAAAGGATATTCGTACAGTAATGTGCCTTGGAGTAGAGTGGTATGAATGTGATTTAATTTCTCTACTACAAATTTTTACTACTTCACTAAAACCATGTTATTCTAATGGGATGAAAACTGTTTAAAACCAGTCATTGGCAAACATTCTGACACAAGTGAAAATGTGTAAGAGACAATTTTTCAGACAATGACCCGACTTCAGAGGAGCTGCAAGAGGATCATTACTCCCAACATGTAGTTGGAGACAGCATTTGGCTATGTGGTGCCATAAAAACAATGCCAAATTAGAGAATCAATTGATATGTAAATAGGCCTGCATGAGCAGAAATGAGGTAACAAACAGGCCCCAATCACATTTCCTGTATGCGCTTTTAAACCACATCCAACAGTACGCCATATATTATTTACTATTCTAGCACAATATTAACACTTTCAATTATATTTCACTACCACTTACCAATGAACCTGAAGGATATTTGGCTCCTTGTTAACTAAACAATTAAAGATGACCCACAGTGCAGAGACTGCCGCCTCCAAAACAAAACAACGGACCACACCGCGAACAACTGCGTTCTACGGCCACTCTTCGATGGACTGGACAGCGTTAGTCGCGCTACTCCCCAAGCCATCACATGGCTCACAAACTTCAACCTTATCTACTTCTGCCATCTACATCACAAAGCCTCAGCTGCAGCTCCAGGCGTAGCCGTAACTGCAGCACAGGTCTACGTGCCTCATCACCAGCCCATAACCCCCCCCACGGCCCATCTTGGCTCCTCCCCCCTCCCCTTAACCAGTAGATAATCTCGTGTCTCTTAGAGGTCTCGTCACTTGATACAGTGATTTTTGCTATGATGGTGCCACCTGAAGACGGAGGCTTGTGTTGCCTTCGAAACGTCATGATTTAATTTATTTGTTTTCTCTTTTTTTAACCTACGTGACTTTACCGAGTATGGATCCTTGCAGTCACGAAAGCTTCATATCTAGAACTGGCCATATGCTCAAAGAAGAATTAAAAAAGCGTATTCACATGCACACACAGATGCTGCTGTAGGGACACTTAGGAGGGAGAGCGCCACTCCATATTGAGACAGGGATGCGTTGGACTGTACCACGCACCAGCGGGGGGTAGCGTGTCACGGAACATCTCGTAGAACTGCGAGAGGTACATGACCATGCTGAGCTTGTCAGGGTCGGCCACACCCGCCACCTCCTGCCCCGTGATGATGGGGGAGATGCCGAACTCGCGCTCCGCCACGTCGAAAGCCAGCTGGTTGTTCCCAGCGACGTTGCGTTCATCCAGGGAGTCAAAGTCACTGCGGACGAACAGAGCACGCGATGCCTTCACACGGCCACTCCACGGTTTGTGCCAAGGGTTTTTCTTAAGTCACTGCGAAGGATGAAATACAATGTCCGTGACATCCCGTTTCCCGATTCGTGGATGATATTTGTTTGTTCGATCTTTTCCCCCAAACTTTACTTCGACTGTGTTCTCAAATTCGCGCCGTGAGTCAACGTATTCATTTGGAATGCTCGTGAGCAGTGCACCAACCTGTGTGTTACAGAATGGCTCGTGGAATCAGAAATCACAAAACTGCTGCCAAGATGTCTTCATGTTACTTTGGGTTAAGTTACTTTTTTTCAATTTATTTGTTATCGAAATGGAAACCCTAAGTTTAACACAATGTTTTTTATGAAATCATTAGAGGACTGAGACCAACAAACTCAATATACATGAGAAACTGGCTTCATCGTGGCGTAGCGGACAGAATTGGAACCCTCCATTTCACAGGATGCGGCTCAGTGCTCAGAGCCCTAAACCAACCACCTCTATGGACAGTGTTTTCTAATATATATGTCGATTTCATATTCCTCATCTTCATATTCCTCATCTTACTCTCGTATTTAATGGTCACATCTGCTGTATAAAACGATCAATACACAACATCACCAATGCTGAGGTGAGAGCATTCTGGGTAACAAATAACAAATCATAATAATAGGGTTTTTTCCCCTTTTTTCTGGCAACAAAACTGAAACCTTTTTACAAGGATTCATGTCTGCATTAACCACAATACTTGCAGTCAAAAAACACTCATATATAGACAACATATATATGGAAATACGATAAAATTTGACCGATGTTCATCGGTGCAGTGCCCGGATGAGGCCTCACATGAGGTCGGGCCGGTAGCGGTGGATGATGGCGCAGAGGGCCAGGCCACTCTTCCACGAGCCGGTGAAGTCGACGACGCGCACGCTGCGGTAGCCCTCGGTCTGCCGCTGGCACCAGTTCAGCAGCTTGCTGGAGCGCACGATCGAGTCTGCAGGGAACAATCAACGTGGACCAACGGGCCATGCAGTCACTCTTGGTCTTGTTGACTAAAGCAGTCATCGATTGAGTCAAACGCTCTTAGTTATTAAATGGTGATGTGACGGACGCAATTCCACCCCCCTAATATTATCAGGTCAGCCAATTAATGTACTGATAATAGGGGTTTCCTCGTTTTTTTTGGTAACAAAAACAGGTGTTAAGATGTTAAAACACCAAACTGAAACCCCCTTTACAAGAAATCATGTCTGCATTAACCACAATGCTTGTGGTCCGAATGCAAAAAAAAACACTCTGATAATATATGCATTGTCCTTGAAACTGATTGGTCCACACCAGAGACAACTTTCTTTTGAGCCTCGTCTCAAACGGTGTTGGACCAGAAGGCGTCCTTATCGTAGTGCCTTAGTTTAGCTATTCTATTGTGTCTTAGCAGATGAAGCTTAAATATAAATTAAATATTTCACTCGGAGATACAGCCACCTCCGTGAGTCAGATTGCTAACTTAGCAACCAGTGCAGAGGCACTTCTACAGAGTTTGACTCGATTATCTTTGACACAACATTCGAAGAAATACAACATTCGAAGAAATATAATTCTTGCTTCAAAAATTCAGTTCAGAGCATATATTTCAGTCGATAGATTTCCCTTGGCAGGGGAAATACACACATCGAGCACCACACTTTGGCTGCTATTGATGAAAAACACTTTTATTTTTCAAACGGAAACGGCCCAATATTCCGTCACGTACTACCAGCTCATGCGATGTGGAACACAAGCAAAGCTCGTTCACTCTAAATGAGCGTTCGACAAAACTCTTGCTTGACAATGGAGAACAGCAGCATCCGGAGGGAACTGTTGTCTTGCTCGACCGCTCGCTCACCGTGCCTCGTGAGCCGAGAATCGGCCCCCAGCGAACTTTCCACGTCCATAGCGGTCTCCCGCGCCTCGCCCGTGTCGTACAGGTGCCGCACCTGGGGGAGGAAGCCAACGGTCTCTTAACACAAACCCTCACTTCTGTTTCACTCGGTGTGGCCTTTTAAAGCAAAACTTCCTGCCCAGAACGGTAATCCCCGCGGATTATATTCTGACAACTGGAATGTGATTTAAAGCACTTTTTTTTAACTAAAACACAATCCCATCGCACTTGAGGTTTATTCCCTTCAACAAGGCTGCATTAACAAGCATCAATACCCAACACAAACAGAAGCAATTCATGATTGGATGACGGTTTCCTCGCACCATGCGGGTAGTAGGGATACTTTGACCATACTTCACCACTCTAGTTAATGTAGGTTGGTGAAGGTGAGAAGTATAGAAGTGGGAGCATAGAAGCACAGAACAAAAATGTATTGGCTGCATTGTCCTCTTCTGTCAAGAGAACAATGCAGCCCCACAACAACCTATAATGCCTGTTATGCACGGTGATAGCCCATCCACGATCTATCTAGCCTCAACCGTTCTTACCATCTGATACCTGAAAATATTGGGCTGCATTCCAGGTGATTTGGTTAGAGGTATGATATATGATGCAGTAATAGACGGGGCTTACATACAATATAGATACAATATGCACCTCAAGATCCTGTACAAAACAAAGACATGTAAAGTGTGAACGAGAACATACGAAGTCGACAGTGTATACACATTGAGCGCCACAACTTGGGAGGTATTGATGAAAAACACTTTTGGCTTTGAAACAGGAACGGCTTGATAACCCGACACATGGCTTGTATTGGGCTCATAACGATTGTCCACGCTGCCCACATCACGTGCCACCAGCTCATGGGATGTGGAACCAAAGCAAAGCTCGTTCATTCTAAATGAGCGTTCCACACTGCACATGGGCTATGAGGATCACTAATATTGCATTGCACTTCACGGATTTTGAATTAGAAAATCGGACCTGTTTAAACAAGTCTTTATCACGCCAACTGTACATATATTCAATGCGCCGTGTGCAAAAATAAATGCGTGTTAACACGCATTTCCCACGCGACTCGTCGTGTGTAACGCTTAACAGAGGAAAACACATTCAGTAGACTGGTTTCACATCCAGTGTTCTATATTTAATGTTTAAAGCGCCGCACATGTTAAGTAGAACATTGCAATGCGTTTACCTGGCTGGCTCGCAGGAAGTTCAGGTTGACGTTGGGGTAGCGCGTGGTGGGATCGATGCTGTACTGGCTGAAGTTCTTGTTTATGTTCTCAGGCGTTGTTTGAGGCAAGAGTCGATAAATACTTTCTCTGCACGGGGATAAACAAAGACATCTTTTAAAAACAATAACGGTAACATTTACAACGTACAGGCAAGGTACATCCAAATCGTTACAAATGTGGAGAAAACATAAAAACGTGCGCGAACACGGAGTTCGAGGCATCTTCGTACCTTTCAGCTAAAACCTCCAGTGGTGGGGTGCCCTGGGCCCAACTTCGGATCATCCAGGCGGAATCGAATGCAGCAAGAAACCCTCGGGCACAGCCTGTGCCCATCGGCCAGAAAGGCTGGCAGCACAACCACACAGGAGGGACATGGTTGAATTACAGCCATGCAACACAATCATCGGATATAGAGCAAGCACAGTGGTGAAATCCACACTAAATGCAGAAAACTCATGAAGAATTTGTGTAACACAACCACTCTGTGTGGGAGGTTACTCACTCTACTTCGGTGCCCTCATTCTGGAACTCCCTTCCCTTCCACAGTCATCCATCAACTCCCTGCCCTTGTCCAAGTCCAGGCTCAAAACCCTCCCCTTTCCCTCTACCTATGATTGACTGCCTCCGTCTCTCTGTAAAATAAATTAGCCCACTATGTATGTTTAGCAATCTGAAATGTGGTCGCATTTAGCCGCCACATAAATACATTGTACTGCACTGCAATTAAATGTGTGGGGCGGCGCTCAACTCGTTTACAATCTTCATCAGGTGGTGAGAATTCCTATGATAGCAGTGATTCCATTCAAATATTCGGAGAACCACTTTTGAGTTCCCACAAAGTAATATTGATGTAGTAAGCGGATTGTCTCGGCCGACTCAACATGGCTGCTCAAATAAAAAAACAATGTCACTTAATCTTCTTCTTGTAGAAGAGAAATAATAAAATAATGAAAATAAAACATAATAAAATACAATTCTCACGACGTTTCGGTCACAACGCAAGCAGCCGTCCCCAGGTGAAGAACAGGGCTGTCGGAAAGACAGCGTCTGAATGAACACCACCAAAAAATGTTTCACTTAATTCGGCTTATTCCTGCAATGTGTAAAAAATGAAATCTGTTGCATGCGATGTTCCCTTGGTGTGAATTGAATAATGGGGCTTATCCAAGCAGGTTTATAAATAACCTCGTAACAACATCATCATAATCATGATCTTCTTACGGAGGAACCGTCCTGTGCCACAAAGTGCCATGTGCCGCATAGCCGAGCGTCTCACCTCCAGCAGGCTGTCACCGACGAGGGCGACGAGCAGCCGGTGGCCGTGACGCTCGCGCACGAGGGCCGCGTTCTCCGACGCGTACATGCACGTGAAGTCGAACATGGCGACATCGGGCTGCCCGTAGTGGTTGATGGCAAAGTCGAGCGAGGGCAGCTGGTGGTTGGTGGAGAAGTCGGCGGCGCCGCGCGCGTACTCCTGCAGTGCCTCCTGGTCGACGTTCTCACGGGAAAGCAGCATCTCCGTGTCGGGGTAGTCCTGCAGCGGACGCCGACACACACCCAGAGGGCACACGTCAGGGACTCGGGCGGCTCCTCTTCTGTTGGACGTCTCTGTCCTCACGCTTGGAATTGTTTTTTTTATTTTACACAAGATCTGATTCATGCCCAAGGCCAAATCTGCCTTATCCAGGAGGCTCTGCGCCCAGGTCCATCGGATCTCGCAAGCTAAGCAGAATTGAGCCTGGATAGCGCTTGGATGGCTACATTGTGGATAGGAAAGGAGAGTGCATCAAAATAAACTTGTTGTACTGTACTTCTATGCTCCTATGTATACATTCCTGATCTGCACAAATCTACACAAACCAGAGTGGTGAGTGATAAGTCAAATAAAAAATCCACACAGCCTTGGGAGGTTTTCATCCAACAGTGGATCGATCGATGCTAACGCATGTATTTATCTGCGGGTAAGTGCGTGGATATCTGCAATAATTTTTGCTGATAGCCAAGGATGATAGGATCTGCCAACAGTGCCATATACATTAACACAAATAGGAGAATTCACTGTGAATAGAATCAAAATCTTTATTTACACTTCAGGAATCCGATGAGCTATGAAGCTCTTTTTCACGGGTGTCCAGTATGGGCGGGTCAGCAAGTAAGTGATATTAGCAGCTGGCTTATGCGGTTTTGGGCTTCGGAGCGCTCGACATAAATCACAAACATTTATAAAACAACAGTCTTGTCCACCACACCTTGTCGCCTATATGCCTGGGTTAGAGAAAGCCTCAAGCCCAGCAGAGCAAGATGCATCTCAGCCAGCAGGGAGCTTTGGGGCTTTGGCTTTCCGCGCAGAAGGCATGGGCCACAGCCCTTTGGAGGTGCCACGGTGGCGAGATATAAACTACCCCGCTTGATATACAGGAGGTCGTGGGTTCGAGCCCGACCCTGACGCCTGTATATCTGGAGTTTGCGTGTTCTCTCTTCCCGTGGTCACGTGGATTTTTCTCCGAGTCCTCTAGTTTTTCCCTCCACATGTAGAATAAACATGCCTTTAGAGTATTTGGCTGCTATGCATTTCCACATAAGCCACTTCGTTGAGCTATCATCTGTGGCTAAATCGCTTCTGAAAAAGAGCTATATAGCTCAGTGGGCCGTACATGGTAAAATAAAAAAAAGCTTTGAAATAGTTTAGTTAGGAGACGATGTCCTGCAACCGAGAATCGTGCCATTGCAGAGGGCCCTACATTCAACAGTGGAGCGCAAGACATCAGGCAGCCTTTGATATGCGTTATAAATTGATTACAATTGCCGACTGTATTAAAACTCTGTTGCAATTCCATTACTAATGGAGTCGGAACAAAAGATAACGATGATGGAAGCCCTTGCACAAGGAGAGCCTCACACTATGGCAAGGAATGGCCTCGGATGATAACTTAACAGACGCATTTAATCTAACCCAAAAACCTTTATTATGAATTTACAGACCCGCTTCTGGAATCTTTCAAGAGGGAGGAGGAGGAGACCCCACCTGTAAGATGACTCCCTTCTCCAGGAGGCTCTGCTTCTTGGCCGTCATGACAAAGTAGTGCGTGTCATCCTTATAGTACACAATGTTCTCCAAGTCAATACCTGGAAGGGCAAGATCACGCAAATACAAATAAATAGATGTCAGACAAAGTTAAAAGCCGAGAATTGAAAAATTATGTATTTTCAGTTTTTCAGTATTATGAAAACTACTGAAATCTGTGACATTGCAAGACAGTGAGAGATGGTGATGACTTGGGGAGGCCTTCATCCAGTAATGGATAGATCTTGTTTTGTGATTGATGGTTTTAGTAGACACAGCTTTGAGAACAACCGTTTTTATCTTTCGATGGGAAAAAAGAAAACATGCAAGGAAGCTGAGCAACTGAGAGGACTCATGTGGCATGCAAAGTGGGAGAAACGAGCCATCCTGTTTAGAGTTGCATCCCCCATCCCCCCTGGGTGCCCAGCACATCTGACAGGCAGCGCAACATTTTGTTATTTGAAACAACCTCGTTGATGTCACACGTTTACTCGACACGCCTTCAAACACGCCGTCGCTGCAATGGCACAACTCCCAACGTAACACGCAAGTCAAGTTCCTACTGCACGCACGCGGGAGCCACACCCGACTACCACGATGGTGCACTCTGAAAACACATTCCTGCGGAGGGAGCTGGTAGGAACGTTGTGTTGCTCGGTTAATGGGCAGGCGTGGTGTATTCCGCAAATATGGCCGACTGTGAGGGTGGGCACAATCTGGCGTGAGTAGGTTAAACGTTGAGTTTTCTAAGGGCACCACGGGGTGATCAGCCCCTCACAACTCAGCCCCACCCCTCCCACCCCCCACCCAGCCCCTCCCCACCCTCCCCACCCAGCCCCTCCCCACCCTCCACTCTCCACCCAGCCCCACCCTCCCATTTTTGGATGCACAACGGACGGACACAATAATCCCATGTGGGCTGGTGTAACCAGGAGGTTCCTACAAGTAAAAATACAACATCTCGTAAATTAGCTCGCCAACTCCCACAGCTGTGCGCACGGGCACGGCATGAGCTCGCCCCCGAGAGATGTCGAGTCAATTTGTGCAACGACCACCGCTGACTCTGCGGGGCCAAAAGTGGACAGGCGGGACCCCACGTGTCCTCGTTCCACGTCGAAGCAAGCCAAGATCTGCGAGCACGACCCACCGCCTCCCCCGTACTACACCTCCCCTGGGGGCAGCCTGGACCAACGCAGTCGCCCTTAAATCCACATGTTCGCCAGCCGGTTTGTGTTGAGGTTCCATTACGCGAAAATGTATTGTGTGGCAGTTGCATTATTAATTAAATAAATAATGGCTACCGGTGTGGGCGTATAAATAAGGCAAGGGGAATACACATTAAGAATTGCCCAAGCAAGTAAGCAGCATCACCATAAAAATGCTGACCTCAGCAACCTTAAATAATGGTCAGCAGTAAAATCAGAATACATCATAAATAAATGTTGATATCTCCCAGCTATGGCTGCTGCCCATAAATACTCTGGCTTTAATGAAATCAAATGTTATTGGTCTGGGACAAATGAGAGTATCTATGCCAAGCTGCATGATGAAACTACTGTACCGGTTTCAAGAGGTGAAAATGTCCACAGCACAAGAGCATACCTCCCATACCTTGTTTAAAGGAATAAAATATATAGCGTCTGGATCAAAACAGGTTCTCTCGTATTTCAATCAAGGCAAAGAATGTTGTTCTTTTTCATTACCACATTTTTTTCGTCCACCAAAAAAGCTTTATTACCTCGGGCATTTGCTTATTAATATTAAAACATCCCCGGCCCTGTATTCATATAAAAATTAGATTTGAAGCTTTCGTGACTGCAGGAATTACTCTTTGGTTCTTTCGGTAAAGTCATGTAGAAAATAAAATCTAATAATAATAATAGAATACGAAGTTTCGATTGCAACAAGCAACCATCAGCAGGTAAGAACGAATGATAAAACACAGACACGGAAACAACATAGGCAGACACACATGTTCCACACTTAACTTCTAATTTTGCAATCTTTGGAAGAACGTTAATCAACCAGGCGATGCGTTAACTGTGTGTTAACAGACCCTCTGTGTTGCATTGCATTACACTTCTTAATTTTACTACGTGTGCTTTCTTAAAGTTTGATTTCTTGCTCTAAACCAGTGTCTCTCCTCCGGCCACTGTGGTCCGGAATTCCACGCTGCTTCCTCTTTGTCTCTCTCTGCACGTGTGTCTGCCTATGTTGTTTCCGTGTCTGTGTTTTATCTTTCATTCTTACCTGATGATGGTTGCTTCTGATGCAATCGAAACGTCGCGATTTATTTTATTTCATTTCTACCTACGTGACTTTACCGAAAGAACCAAAGAGTATGGATTCCTGCAGTCACGAAAGCTTCAAATCAAGATAGAAACTACGACGTATCGATCGCAACACAAGCGCTCATCTTCAGGAAGAACCTATCTACTTGACTTTACCGAAAGACCCAAAGAATACGATTTCCTGCAGTCATGAAAGCTTTAAGTCAGGATTTAATATAGTTGTAGTTACATGCACAAGTGGAATAAAGGGTTATCACACAAACCCTATTCAGCATGAGCTGTATCACATACAAAAGAAGAGTGAGCCGCCAAAGGTTAAGACCATAATGCCCATTGTCACGGAACATCAGCCTTGGTTACCAGAACGGGCAAATCAATCAAAAAGTGGCAATCGCTGGTGGGGCTCAGCCCTTGGCGAATTCCGAAAGTCACGGACATTCCGCTCAACATCTCTCTCCAGCGTTAAAAATAAGCGCGAGGTAGTGACAGACGACAAGCCAGCCGCCATCGGCCGTCAGCACTGCCTCATTAATCGAGCTCATCGCACAGCGTCAAGCAGACAGAGGGGGAGAGAGCAACGTGAGGAAACTAGACCTCGGTCAACAACCACCGAGTAAACGGTGCGCGGGTGCACAATTCTCGTTGCCGAGATGTGGCCAGTGGATTGCATGACGAATCGCTTAGCGATCACGTGCGCGAGGACAAAGTTCGCATGGATCCACCGCAAAATGTTATGCCAATGTTTAATTCAGAGACCACCACCTAACTGTACAACGGGGAGAAAAAGCTCAAAGATGGATACGTCGCTGCCAACAACGTAGGGAAAATGCTGCATCGCTACCGCACGTTAACACATGGAACGCATAAATCTGAAATGCAGAAAGCGAGAATGAATGGGCTCAATATAGAATCCCTGACGTTTGTGGTTTTGAGTTAATGTCAACCAAATGCTGCATACATGCAGTTCGCAATAACCGAAAGAATTACGGGATCTGTTTGGATTTTAAGAAGCTCCTCTGATGTTTATGGCAAGAATCTGCCATGTCGTCTCCAAGGGGCCCAAATGTCAATCGAGGAATTTGGGTCATTGTGAAGATGTGTGCAGACCCAGCTTCTCCAAAAGCCGCAACTTTACCCTCCCTCCCGTGGCTTTCCGCCACTTCTGCCAGCAAACATTAAAATAAATCCATTATTTCACTGTCACTGTTCAGCTCTGCAGGGATTCACAAGACTCCAAGACCCACTCTATTTCCCATCTGAAGCTAAAGATTATCGCATTTCTCATAATGTGCATGCAACCAAAAATAACCGAGATTTAGAAAGTTCTCCGTAACAACAAATAAAACTCCGACGATTTATTTACTTACATTTTTACAAACTATTTAAAGATTATAATTAAAGATTATCCCGGCTTTATGAAAGAACAGTTAATTAAACCCTCCAATTCCAATACGTAATTAATTAATAACATACACCCCCATTTTATATGACACCAAGCTATGTATTCTAACAACGATGCATCTCATAAATTTACAATGTCATTACCTTTACAGGCCAAACCCTCAAATCCCTTTCCATGTACATTTCCAGACCAGTGATATTGGCCAGGTGTTCAGACGCACATTCGCGAGCCAGGGAGCCAAAATAAAACACAAGATGCAGGCCAAGCTGCCTGCTGTGTGAAACCTTACCTAGTGGTGCAAGGATGACCGGAATTCATGTGAATTCCGGTCATCCTTGCAGTGGATTTTGGCTCAAAATCAAACAAAGATGGTCACTCCATCGCACGCTTTCAGATGCACTTCTGCAGCCGTCTAAGAATGCTCTTCCGATATTACGAAGCCACTGGAGCTATGCACTTTTAAATCTAGGTTGAAAACCCATTTCTTTAGAACTGCCCTTGGTATTTTGCTAGTTGTCCTTACCCCAAACCTCCTATTAGCACGGTTGGCTACGTACAGTGCAAAATAAGTTAAACATACATACATACAGATGAACACACATCAATCAGCAGGCCCCCTCGGGGAGTTCTATTCCACGCCAGTCTGCTGGCGCTAGACTCCATGGGACAGACGTACCCTTGGAGGCCCTGAGGTCAGTGAAGAACTTCTGGTTGAAGATGAAGGCGACGCCACTGAGCTCCTCTACCTTCGCCTCGGCTGTCGTGTTGCGGTTGATGAAGTTTGCCGTGATGGCGATTGCCAGCTTCCCCCGGAACTCCTTCCTCCGGAAGCCTGCGCCGAAACAGAGCGTCACGTCAAGGCAAGGACAGGGCACAGTCTGAGGCATCGACAACTGAGATGAACCTGCAAAACCGCATTGGATTCCAAAACTTAACGAGGACGGCCAATGCAAAATCAAAGGGCGACCGCAGAATCAAAGGATGCCAGGTGTTTGCATGTTTGTGTACAAAATGATGGAAGAGCAGCTGCTGCAAGACCAAAATGCCTGGATGCCCTTCTTGGCTGTACACAATAGAGGCAATTGTTATCTATGCTTTATTAGAGCATCACCTAAGTGAGCTCAACCTAAAAATTGTCTGCCAGATGATGTATTGTAAATGTCAGCTCTGGATAGACAAGAGTGGCCGAGTGCGTCGAATTGCCAACCTCATTATTACCAGTCATAGTCGGCTCTTACAAAACTGGTCTCACAAGCGGAATTGTAACATTTGAGTGTTCCCACCTTGCAACGTATTGCGATGTCCGTCAGCCCCGATGATGACGTCAAACTCGTACTCAGCGACGGGATGTGTGTTGGGAACAATCTCTGCCCTCCATCCGATCCCTGCAAGGCAGTTGGCGGCGGGGGGGTATTAGGTCAGGTGCAGCAAAAGAATCCGTAATGTGTGTGCGCCAGCTATGCATCCACATCAAGAGTAAACGTTTCTAGAAGCAAAACCAACCAGGTGTGATGTCATTCCATTACTCAATGGTTGAAAGCCTCCCCACACTATGCACCAAGCTTTTTATTGCGGCTTGGTGAAGGGAGGGAGGGGGTGTGGGGTTGCGTGGCAGGGCACGGCTGGACTGGTGATGGTATCACTTGCTACCGATGTCAGCTGGGCATGAATCAGAATCAGAATCTTTATTTAGACTGAAGGAATCCGATGAGCTGTTCCAGCTCTTTTTAAAAGATGTCCAGTAGGGGGAAGATCACAGTTACAACAACAAACAATACAACAACATTATAGGATTGCAAAGCATTGGAAAGGTAATCAAATCACAAATAAACCCAATTTTTATTTTACCAGATAAAGAAGGCCCGTGAAGCTATTAGCTTCTTCTTCAAGACACTAACCACTGGACTACTGCTGCAAGACCTCATTCACCACAGTTGAAAACAAAACAGATTCTGGCGAATAGGGATTGTCAAAAATCTGTCCGAATCGGGCTAAGCTGGCTGATGTGTGTGTGTGTGCGTGAACGGTTGGTAAAGGCAGGCGTACGATCATTCTCCTGGTCCTCAGGTGGCTCCATAATGCCCTTGAACTCCACATTGACGTGAATTTCCACACCCAGGAGGAGGGAAACTTTCAGCAGGATGAGCTGCAGCTGGCGGATGCCTGATCAGCACAACAAGACAAGCAACATGCACGCAGCACAATACGGTCAACACGAGTTACAGAAACACACAAAACCTTCCGAGCACCTTTTAACACATCTCACAGATAAATAGTTGATTACGATTGTTATTTATTTCAAATTTTTGGTGCTATTTCACCTTAGTTTTTAAGTTTTGTTGTTGTTTAGATTTGTGTTATTTATGTATTTGTTTCACCTGTATGATTTTAATATCAAGCGTACAATTGATGCCAGGACCACCTTTGCGAATGAAACTATCTCATGCTGTCTTGATGCGGTTGTGTTCCATCTCCTGATAAGATAACAAATTACGAGATCTGACCCTTTTCCATGTATACCATGTATCGCATTCGAAAGGTGGTTTATGTCTCATCAATTTTGTTGCACATTATTGAGACGACCTGAGATCATTAATGTTTGGTGCCACCATAAACGACGAAGAGTGAGTCTTGTTATAATGCGGAACAAGAGTAGGCAGTAAGATCAGTGTCAGGGAAACTTGTTGATCAACACTCCCATTTGTAATTTTACGTTGGTCAGCTGTTCCCAAGCTGGATAACATTCATGATAAACTGATCTTGGTGCCAAGCAAAAGCGTCAATAAGAACAGAAGATGTAGTAGTAGGTTTTTACCCTTTTAAACTGGTACAAAACTGACACCTTTATTCAAGGCATCATGTTTGCAATAACCACAACACAAGTAGTCAAAAAAGCAAACAAAAAGAAGCAACTCTGATAATGATAATAATATGCACTGTCCTTGAAGTTGATTGGTCCACACCCGAGACAGCTTTATTTAGAGCCTAGTCCCCATTGGTGTTGGACCAGATGACACCAGAAGGCGTACAACTCAAACACAGTGCAATATCAGAGTATTGAGAGCTCGGGGTAAGCATTTACACTATGATATCTCTTTTACCAGTGGCAATATATAGTAGTAGGTTTTTACCCTTTTAAACTGGTACTAAACTGACAAAGAGATCTCATAGTGAACAGAAGATGTAACAAGATCAGCTGATGTCAAATTGACCATAATTCGTTAATGTATTTGCGAGGGATTAATCAACCTTCACAATCATATTTGTGCGCAAACAGGGCCCTGTTTTGCAATTCATGGCACCGCCAGCACCTACACCATCATTTCGACAAAGTATTCCCAATCACAACCCCAAGTATGTATCTGACACATACTTACACTTCAGTATAAGGGTCATTTGATTTAACCACCCACGCATCACGCCCTAAGAGTCACAATTTCACAATGAAGTAACTATGATATCACCACGAGCTTGGTTGCAATAAATGCCACATGGACACAGAGTCCAAGTGGCCAAGTTTGCAATACAACTTAAATAAACCGATGACTAAACGTAGCCATGAAGCACATTTACTTGGTCCGGCCAATGGTCTGTTACAATAGTACACAAAATGTTCTGCAAGTCATCATCAGTAAAGTAATAAAATTCGTGCATTCTGGGCATTGGGTGGCCCTATTCATCGATCCTTTAATTTCTTCAAGAGGTGGCATGAGCAGGCTCAAAATAAAACGTAGTCGTGGTACACCTCCTGCGTCGAATGAAGTCACATTGACGGCTATGAAGATAATGCTGATGAATTCACAATAAACTTTCATCATCAGTGCACGGTCTTTAAGAGTTCAACAACTGGGCTTTGTGAGAGAAGCTGCTGTCTCTGCCACAGGTCCGCGGGTCTTGTGCCATGCCCTGCCCTTTGCCTCACGATCTCTGCCCTCTGGGAAATGGATTTGCCCTCGTCAGTTTGCAAGCATTCATGCGTCAGACGACCAGTGTCCTTTATTTGGAGAATATTATCCGAACCGTGGTTACTTCTATACATCAATGACCATATTTAGCAAGTCTTTACGAAAACAAGTAAATAATGCCAATACCAATTGTGTAATGTTGCACAAATTACGTGATTGTAATTTAATTATTACGCTCACGATACATGCTGCAAATAGAGTGTGGAAGGATGTTGTATTTTCAATTTGTAATGGTTGTATGTGATGGGTTAATGTTATCCCTATTGCCACAAGATGCCTCTACATTCCTCACAATAGATCATAAAGGGCGGGTTCAATCATTACAGGCCTAATGTAAATATGAAATAGCAAGATGAATAAACAGACACTTGCACCTCAATGCACCATCGCAGTGGAGTGAAAGAAAATCTTATGCGATTAACTCAAATGTGCAGCAAGGCTTGGTATGGATAGTTTTCAATACCAATGCGAATTTCACATGGAGCTCAAAGAATATATGAGTTTGTAAATTAGCGCATTCTGGTTCGTCTCGGCAGAGGCGAAGGCAGATTTGCGAGCCGTGCGTGTATGCAACTTCTGAATTTCCAGTGCGCCGTTTTGGCTGCACGACAGTGCACCACTGTTCCTGCTCAACGGTCGCTCCGCCAAGGAGGTTAAAATGCAGCGCAACACAAATCAGCACGCGTTTCCCAAGAAGACCGACGAATACTTCTCCCTTCAGTAACAATCGCTCCGCAGCAGAGCTCAACAACAACGGCTGCACACTCGGCCCATTCATTGGTTGCAAATGTCCAACTTTATATACAAATCGGTTCAAACACCACCGCATAGACATAATTTACAGTCATCCCTTGGACTTGTGACCATGGCAGTCAGCCGCAGCTGGTGGAATGCTGAAAGCTCATTTCTACGCTTCGCTATCACCCGACCAATGTCCCAAGATGCCTCAGAAATTTGCAGCGCAAGCACAGACATCCGTGTCACAAATTCCTGCAGAAAACTTGGCGTGAAAAATGAAGGGATTCTGTGCGAGGCTATTTTTTTTGTACTTGCGGAGAAACATTATCTGTCGCACTATCATTGCACATGAATCTTGGCATCATTTTGGAATTTGCCTAGTGGCAAATCATACATTTGCGGGTGAAAACACAACAATGTAATTGAATAAACGCGGTCCTCCAGCTGGCAGTGCTACAAAAATTATTGCAGTAGACGCGAGCTTTTGTCACAAACAGCCACATGACCCTATACTCCAGAGTTGTTTTTCACACCAGGCACAAATACACACCTCAGTCATGTGCCAATATGAAAGTGATTGAAAAGAAAATAAAGAAAAGCACGCAACTGATTGATGGCCTATACTAACTCATTCTGATTATCAAGTAATCACCATGTCTTAATTACAGTTGCTGAGAGATTTGGGCGAAGGTTGCCGAGGACATGACAGGCTGCCATGTGGCAGTTGGCATCAGAGTGTAGAATTAACATGGGCCAAACTGACATCAAATACTCAGTGTGCACACTTTCTTGAGCGCAAGGCAGTGGGGTTATTGTTTATAACTATAACAACAATGCCCTTTATTTACCCAGATAGGTCGCACTGATTTCCCAGAACTTTCACGAAGATCTCTGCCTTGGGATTTATGGACAGTTCCATTAATGCGAGTTTTGTGTGTGGGTGGAAGCCCGAGGCCCTGGAAACAACTCATACAAAGGGAAAATACTCAAAATCCCTCTAAGGATAGATTCAAGGATTAATTGCCGTCGTACCATCTTTCAGCTACCTTGCAGCCTAAGCCTACAATACCTGGATATTCTCAGGCAGCCTCCCATCCATAGTTGCCAGGCTCATCACTGCTTAGCTACCAACATATGACATGACGAAATGCGTGCACAGTGAATGGGTTGTAATGATTACGAATCGCGAGACAAATTATTGTTTCACCATCATAAATTACTGTAAAATGCACGGGAGTGGGAAAAAACTGCGTAATATCCCATTACGTGCATAAAGTAATACATTTATAAATTCCATCAAGGTCCTTAAGATCTTCCCATCTCTAACTGCTAAGCACTCCCAGGTCTAGCTGATGCTCTTTTGGTGATCGGGCTTTTGTTAGCATGGCACCCAAGCTATGGAACGCCTTGCCACTTGAAATCAGGAAATCAGACGGGAGATATATTTAAGTCTGCTTTGAAAACCCATATCTTTAAAGTGGCCTTCCCTCTTTAGTTTGGTCGATTACCCTGGTTCCGGTTTTGTTTCCTGCTTTCCATGCATTGTGCATTGTGATCGAAAATGTAATGCGCATTATAAATCGGAATTAATATTATAATGTGGTAACAGAAAGACAGTAAACATTTGCGCTGGCAAAGATTTGTTGCATTTCAGACCGAGAGGCTCTCTAAGGAGGCTTGGAGGAGCATATTTAACACAATCGCTCGATACTCCCTTGACATTTGTTCCTTTGCACACTGGCCTCCAGGGGAAAACGAGTATGGTTTTGCAGACAATTATAAAAGTGCACTACGCTTCCACTGTGCCTTCAATAACAGTAAACCAGGCAAACCTCAGCACTGCAGACTAGCCGATGGGCCATCACCATCATACTTGACTCCTGCCTTAAGGAATCATTATGAATGATAATTGTCAGTTAAACAGCATTTTGATATTCAAGGCATTTATAGACAGACATGAGACACTAGAATCATCGGGTTAGTCGTCTCGAATGGTCATCAGACAATCTCGTGAGCAGGGCCACTAATTTAAATACCGTAATGCCACAATAATGTCATTTATTTTTCATCGGGTTCGTAGTCTCCAATGGTCATCAGTTTCACAAAAAAATCAGGCGGACAATCTAGTGAGCAGGGGCACTAATTTAAATACCGTAATGCCACAATGATGTAATTTATTTTTCCGAGAGAGTCCCATAGGGACAAAATTAATGTTTTACCAGAGGGTCTTACATCGGTGTTCAGTCATTGCCTTTTAAGGAATTATTTTAACGTGTAGGAGGAAACCGGAGTGCTCAGAAAACACACATTTGACAGGACAGCACTCACAGAGCTGCACAGTCAGGAAGCCATTTGAGGTGCTGTTATAAACCCGCACATATCACAGCCCAGCAGGTTTGGGCGTTTAAGTGAGAACAAACTCAGATAAATCCTGAGAAGCCTGCCAAGGTTACAACCTTCCTATAATCACGTGGAGTTAAAAGTAGCGTGTTGGGTCGCACGCAGTGTGCCACTTACTGATGTGATCGATGGCACCGGCGCAAAATTTGCCGTGGAACTTCTTGGCGCCGAGAGCCTTGAGGTCGTGGATGGTGTAGGGCCACAGATGCAGCACGTTGTTGCGGGAGAAGGCATCTCGCTTCTCAACGACCACCACCTTGGCCCCCAGCAAGGCCAGCTCGATGGCCGAGCGCAGGCCACAAGGCCCAGCGCCGATTATCAGACACTACGGGTAGGGGAGGGTGACAAGGGGCAACAGCACGCACAGTCATCAATCCACATGACCTCGACCTTATGGGATTATATATTACCCTTGACGTCAGATTAATAGGCAGTGTATTTTATTTACCATGCATTACAGATGTACACCACTGGCATCTCGGCGTGGCTCATTCTACGTTGCCCAATATTGGTCCAATGTCACAAAGATATCTGAGATGTTAAATGCAGGCTGTGTTTAGATGCTCACTTTGTGCATTATGGAAACAGTATGTTTCTCTACACTTGGTGTGCATAGTCTATCGATGTAGATGCAAGGGCTTGATCACTCCGTTGCACGCAAAAACATGCACGATTTATTCAAAGGGGGTGGCGGAGTGGTTAGCGCACTGCACTTTGAAAACAAGCAAATCAAGTTAGCGTCCCGTACATGACTAACAATGTCAAGTGGTATCTGACCCAGTGATACTCCCCGCCCTCTTCCCCCACAACAACACCCCCTCCCCCCTTCTTTATCAAACACACTATTAACGAACGGCGGGAAAATATTTATTACATGGTGTATTTCATTATATACCATATATCTCCACGGTTGTGAGAAAAACAAAAATTCAATATTCCTAAAGGGAATTTTGCACAATTTTGTGAGAAATATGTCCGGGGGTAGAAATATTTTTTTGAATGTGCGTGCCAGTTCTTTCCTTGTCAACTTGAGGTCATTTAGAATTCATCATTTCCTTGTGCACACAAACGTTTACACTCGATATCGAAAAGTGAACAACGTAGGACACATGGCTAAGAATGCTGCGAAAGAAGTTCATACATAAATGGATTGCTTCATCCACCCGGTTATTGAATTATTTTACCGTCACAATTAAACTCAATATTTTTTTTCTAACATTGCAGTGAACATTTGCACCTCTAGTGGTTGATGCACTTAGATAAAATATACAAATTGGAAAAACATTGACTCTTACGCAATTGAATGCACTTATCACATGGCTTCTGAAGAAATATATTTATTTAAAAAATATCTAATTTACTTCGTAAAATTCATGATGGAAAATCAAAACATATATTAATCATGGAGTGTTAAGTTGCACGTGATATGCAACATTGCAAACTAAAAGGCAGAAGTAATTATCTTGACGTTATAGCTGTCGGAGCAATACAGTACTTATTTATATTACGATTCAATCCCACACTAAAATAATTCTTTCAACAAAATTCATTCCCCTCCTGTGGTTTAATCTGTACACGAACAGCATTACATACAGCCCCAGACTTAAAAAAAAAACTACAGTTACTAGTGTCACGGTTATATTCAAAAACAATAAACAAGAAATAACCGAAATGACTGCACTGCACTTTGGTTTTCGATAAATATTATTCATACTTCTTAAATAAGCATTCAGAAAAATAGACATCTGTGTGCCGGTGGATGAGAGAGAGAAAAACACACACGCACACAAGGTCAACAGAAAAGGCGCCTGGTAAAATTGAGGACACGAAGCAGGCTTTCGATTCCAAGGCAACACGGAAGGATCCGAGTGTTTCCAGGTGGCCGCAGACCCCACGAGATGCAGTGAAAGGATTCATTTTCCGCTATTTCCAGGTCACTCGCCTTCTCCGTAATACAACTGCTCTCAAGATAAAAGTATTTGTCGTGCAACACCTCTTGCGTGTGTACTATTGTCAATCCAATGTCAAACGGGTCGCGGGGGGTAATGGGACCATCCTTCGCACTTGCTGGTCAGTGCGGATTGATAAAAGCGGGGAGCATTAGGGTATAGAAGTACGGTACGACTATTTATTTTGCTGCTCCGATCCTCTGCTGATCACTTGGTAGCAGGCCTGCAAGCAACCTATCACGTCTTAGGGAGCATAGTGATCATCCGTCCCAGCAGAATCCAGGCTCAAGCATGCTTCGCCTAAAAAAAAGTCTTATCTGTGAAATGAAAACACCCAGATGACTGGGGTTTCCTGTGATCTGAGCTAACAGGAGTCGAGGGTAATATGGCAAGGGTAAGAGCTTCACTGTAAAAGGAGAACAAATATGGCGTCCACCATTCAGCACAGCTGCAATCGGGCATAATTTGCCATGCGTAAACATCCAGTGCATTCCTCTAATGACATTCAATTAACTTAATGGAGCTATTCGCCGTGAAAAAAAACCCGCAATTGGCAAAAAAATGAATGCATCTACAGTACCTAAATAGCGTGAACGATGCAAAAGTGCCGCTTTCATCTGCAAGCCTCAGCTACTGTAACGGCGAATGAAGGGAAAATAAAGCTATGTTTACACCATGTGTTGTTCAATAAAATATGGGCTAAATTTTTGCACCAATCGGCCAACCGGACACCGAAGAGATGGAGGGGTTTTTTAGGTGTGGGTATTATTATTTTATTTTACACTGCTTTCATATTTTTTTTCTTTTTCAAGTAGACCTGTATCCAGGGGAGGAAAAGGTCAGCAGATGTTGCTTGCGGCATGGCGTGCCACGCAAGCCTGGCGCCAACTTGGCCATGGTAGGACATGACGTCTGTTTTCCAGAGACTATCTCGGCGGTCAGACCGATGGAACCTTGCCAGAGATGGGTTTAACAGGAAACAGCAGCCTCCAATGATACCTGCTAAAGTCCCCCATAAATTTTGTAAGTAAAATAAATAAGCAATTACCTAGTACAGTACTTTTAGGAAAACGTAACAATTCACGTAGCGCTGCCGAATAAAATCACGAGTGCGCAAAAAATGAGCGAGTATGAAGGCAGCGTTTTTTTAAGCGCCAACTATTACTTCAGCGCCATTGGTGATTACACCGTATTCAATTGATGCGTCGTAAAAGAGAAGTCTCGGCTCTCGGGTAAAGCTCCGTAAGAGGAGATGTGGAAAAAGTTAGCGGTGTCAAAGGTAGGCGGAAAGCACTATTCCAACTGTACCATGTAAAATCAATCAGTCCAGGCAATCACGTCCACAAACTACAGATTATTAGATGTTGCTGAAGCAAATGGATGTGGGGTTTTGCTGGAACATGCGCACAATGGAATGGAAAATTAAATTTCCAATCGAAATTTAATATACAATTTCATAATGCTGCCTAACAAAGAATTTCCAGGCAGCAGCCACCATATAGGGGTTTTGCAAAGTACTGTGGGTAGAATAATTACGTTACCCTAAAAAATAAATCTGAATTTGGTTGATTCATATCAGATTATAATTGTGGTAAAAAAACACAATCCTTTCAGTGGCTGAAAATGATGGTTTCAGTCGAACCATGGTATTGTTTAATTATGAAAACTATATTGCACACACGATGACCTCTATTTCAATCACAAAAACCTTTGGCGTAATAATGTAACTACGGTAAAAAATGAATGCAGCATTTATTAAAATATTAAAAAACAGCGAAATAAAAATTGGTTTTATGTCTGCTATTAATATGAAAATCAGCACTGCTGTGATTAATAATGTTGTGAGCGTCCCACTGATGTGGTGATGAGAACCGGGATTAAGCCGAACGAGGGAGCAGTGCACCCAGTAGACAAAGGGCTCATCGTAGCATGAGAATTAAGGTTTGGCAGCCGGTCCTCAATGCCCCGCATACACACACACACACCACCCACACAAAAAAGCAGTGCCTGTAAATACTGCTCAATGAGTAAACGAGACCAGGGCGATGCTTTATTGTCAGCAATCAGTATTTATACACCGTCTCCAGTGGAAAGTAGTCAGCCAAAGCTTAGTCCAATGCTTCACCCGGCTACGCAAGAAAAAAAACACATTTTTCGATTAGTGTTGACATACGACCGTGCATTAATGAGGAATGCCTTCCTGCTTACAACTCAGGCGTTCCCCAACTGTAAATGCGTGGGTTCATCAAAATTATCCACTTGATTCTATATTTGAAGCTTTCGTGACTGCAAGGATTCATATTCTTAGGTTTTTTTACGTGACTCTACCGAAAAAACCTAAGAATAAAAATTATCCACTTTTACTCTCTCGAGTTTCACTGCTCAAAGCAATACAGTTTTGAACATCGTGACATGGAAGCATATTGAATGAGCACTTAAAATGTACAAAAAACACATGGGAAGATATGTGACGAATATATCGATGTAAAGGTTGCCTGGTGTGGTGGTGAAAGCCGATAGTCGAGCGATTTGTAGTTGGGGTTGGTGACTCCTGCTGAGATAGTGTGAAAATGACACCCATCCCAAAAGAGGCAGTCAACTGTCTGTAGGAGGCAGGAAAGCAAGAAGGTTATACACAGATTTGCGTGGTGTTTGTCCCTGATGTTATCCCTTGGGTATGTGTGGGTTTTCTCCAAGCACTCTCCGTTTTTTGTTTCCCACGTTCAAAAACACTCAGTTTAACACGAAGGTTTTCGCGACCAATATCATCCATAATACAGTTTTTTTTGTTTAGATCACGTAAATAAAAAGTGTCGTTAAACCCGCGTATTAGAATAAGAGGTGCGAGTACCCACACTTTACCCCACCGCACGCAGCCTGCCGATCGACTAGTTGTGGTGTAACCATTTACACTGATGGGTGGACAGACGTGGTGGGGGGAGAGGGGCGGGGGGATTTAAAAAGATCTGCCCCATTGTATAACTACTGTGATAGGAGACGCAATATAAATCCAAAGTACATGATTTTGTTTAGACAAAGCTTGTAACAGCCAACGACATAAGCTAACAATAATTTTTTTTAAATATTAAGCATCAATAATATTGCACGAGTAAACAAAACGTGCGAAACCAAACGTTTAAGCCAAGGCTCAAGGCATTTCAACGTTCACATGACAAAATATAGTTGGTGCCACCGAGTCCAGGAGACGCCTGTGGAGACAGAAAGCCATCCACCCTGGGGAGCTCGCCAACAACGACACCGTCGTGTCCTGGGGCCAACGCGGAGCATCGACGTGCCAGCGTCCCACCATCAATTAGCCAAAGAACGCAAGATGGCGGCCAGCGTCTATGTGCCCCCCCCCCCCCCCCCCAGTCCA